TTTTACACAGGAATATATAGGAAAAATCTTTAAAAATCTTCTTCTCAAGAACCACTGGGCCAGGAAAGATGAAACTCATGTGGAATCATCCTCAGGTAGTGTAGATTCAAGTTTGTTCAAATCATGACCCCTGGGGCTAGGGTGGGGCCAAAATGGCCGAAAGTTTTACATAGGAATATATAGGAAATATCTTTAAAAATATTCTTCTCCAGAACCACTGGGCCAGAAAAGATGAAACTCATGTGGAATCATCCTCAGGTAGTGTAGATTCAAGTTTGTTCAAATCATGACCCCTGGGGCTAGGGTGGGGCCAAAATGGCCGACCCAAGTTTTACAAAGGGATATATAGGGAAACCTTTTAAAATCTTCTCTTCAAGTATTTCAAAGCTATGATTAGTGATATTTATATGGAATCATCCTCAGGTAGTGTAGATTCTAGTTTGTTCAAATGATGAATGCCAGGGGGGGGGGGAGGATGGTGTTAAGGACGGTACACACGGTGAGGCTTGCCTTATAAGTCGAAAACCTTACGTTTTGCAGGACGTACGGCCCTCATGTCCACACACTAAGGCAAGACTTACAAGATTATAAACAACATTTACATAAATTCTATGTGGTTTGAGCCATAAACATTGCACATATCTTAATAGAATAATAGATTACTAGCTATAGAACTTTGAAATAATTTTACGACCATTGCATTCACACTTCTTAACAAAGAGGAAAATGTTTACAGAATTTTCATTATCTTATTCGAATATACTTTGTGTTCCTTTCAATATACCAACGTGTATGGTTTAATAAAAATAGATTGAACTTTGGGTGAATAGTTTTCATTGGTTCAAAAATAAACGTCAGCTAAGTCTTGTATTAAGAAATAGAGCAGTGTTCTATTTCTAAGTCAGACTTTTAAGGCTCGAAAAAACGTGTATTAAGGGTGTACACACGGTAAGGCTAAAACTCAAGTTCCATGACTTATAAGGCAAGACTTATCGTGTGTACCGGCCCTTAAATTCAAGCCCAATGTGCTCAGGTGAGCGCTGTGGCCCCTGGGCCTCTTGTTGTTAGACCTTTCAGTTGTACAGGATGTCAACAAATTCTTCTCTTTTTATGCCCCCCTTCGAAGAAGGGAGGGCATATTGCTTTGCTGCTGTCGGTCTGTCGGTCCACTTAGTTTCCGTTCATTTTCTTCGCAACCAATGTACGTACTGAAATGAAATTTGGTATACAGATATATCACATGAATATCTAGGTCAAGTTCTGTTTTGGGTACAATCACACAATTTTTGACAGAGTTATGCCCCTTGGATTTAGAAAAATTCCATTTATTTGCAGTTTCGGTTCATTTTCTTCGCAACCCTTGTACATACTAAAATGAAATTTAGAATACAGATATATCACATAAATATGTAGGTCATGTTCTGTTTTGGGTATGATTGCACCATTTTTGACGGAGTTATGCCCCTTATAGACTTAGAAAAATTCCAATTATTTGCAGTTTCCATTCATTTTCTTTGCAACTGTTACACATTCTGGAATGAAATTTAGCGTACAAATTTATCAGATGAATATCTAGGTCTGATTCTGTTTTGGGTATGATTGCGCTATTTTTGACAGAGTTATGACCCTTGGACTTCCAATTATTTGCAGTTTCTGTTCATTTTTTTTAAGAGGTTGCACATACTGAAATGAAATTTGGTATACAGATTTATCAGATAAATATTTAGGTCAAGTTCTGTTTTGGGTACTATTGCACCCTTTTTGGCAGAGTTGTGCCCTTTTGGACTTGGAAAAATTCCAATTTGGGGGGAGGGGACACAAGTGTTTTACAAACATCTCTTTTTCTCTGAGAAATTATATCAACGTGTCTGAAAAGATGTGGTTTAAAAATTCAGCTTCATTGTCTCTTGACCTTTGTTACTGTCTGAGTGGTTATAGCAAATTATGATTATTTGTTTTATGTAATAGCTTAATGTCATGAGGATGTGCAATGTTACTAATTTCTGAATTCCTTCTACTGTTTAAGGGCTTCCAAGAAGCCCACTTCCAGGGTATGATTTCTTTTGAAAAAAAAACTTTTTACTAAGAACAATATAATTACATATTACTATAATCTTTTTAAAAAAATTAAATAATTATGCTAAGGTTGAAGATTTATAGTAAAGTTTAGGATGCTGTAGGTGCAGATATTCATTTTCCAGAAGATTGATTACAGAAATAGATGTATACGCTGCAATTATTATACATGTTTAATGGTGAAAATTATGAATGTAGGACATTTTCAGTTAAATTTTAAGTTTGTGTTCAAATCAAATGAATTTAAATAAGGAAATGATGATTTTATTATAAAAAATTATGATAAACTGAAGAAATTTCTGAATCAGCTGTATGACAAATTGCAGTTACACTGTAATTATGTATTATTGTAAAATGTTCATGATAACTGAAAACAGTCAGTTTGAATATAAAATACTAGTAACCCCCCTCTTGAGTTTTAAAACTTACTTCAAGCAAAATGTATCATGATATGCCAATATATTGTTTCACACAGCCCTATAAATTCGAATGTGAGCTAATTTTGTCAATGAATAGAAAATACATTTGCTGTTCTAGCAAATTATCAGAAAGAGGTTTTCAACAATAAACACTCTACAAAAGTCATTGTTTTAAGATACAAAGATTATTGTGTATTTTTCAGCAAAGTCCTAAATTTTGCGATAGCTGAACTAATGACATCTTAACGCGCTTTACCGCTTTACGTGAATGGCATGACATGTTTACAAACAAGACGTACGAATTAACTGATGTATTTAAGTCATACTTCAGGAAGGAGACCACTCCAAATGTACTTCAGTTTAAGTGACGGTAGATTTGATACACTGATTTCAGTTTTATAATATCTCTCTTTGTCAAGATTTCATCTAATGACTTAATCATTTAAAAATAGGTTTTTTGTGATTGTATAGTTGAAGTATTTTCTCGAAAAGTCAATTGAGTATGTGGCAGATTTATTTGTACAGTTGCACATGTAAGTATTTTCTACATATATGATGTGAATTAATTTTAGGCCTTATCTTGTTTGAGAAAATATATAAAATGATCCTGGTCTGATTTTAGGTCACCCGAGTAACTCTTGTGACCTAGCTATTAATTGTTTGTCTTTGTGAAGTGTGCAGTGTGCATAAATGTAGACTATTTTCAACTTTATCTTGCCTTACACCATTTTATCAGTTTCAACTGATTTTGATATATAGCATCTTAGGATATAAGGAAAAGAACTTGAATGAAAATTCTATGGTTCCTGAACTTAAAACGCTAGAATTTGCAAGTGTAATTAATCATAGTAGGATAACACATGCGCATATAGTAAGGATTTGCATCTTTTTTTTTATCCATATTTTAGGCCTTGAAATCCAAATACATGATAAACAAAATTTTATATTTTTGATTTCTTTCATTTTTCAATATTTTATATATATTTTTAAAAAAATTATACCATTTTTGGACTTTTTTTTTGCCCTGACTCCAAATATTTCGAACTTTTTTATTTACTTCACCCCCTCGGCCGGACTTTTTCTTAAAAATTCCTGTTAAACTGAAAATTTAAAAACTCTGGCCTCAGGGGCACAAACCATTAGAATTCATTCATTTTCAAAGATCTTTACTCCTGTAAAGATTAGAAGGGAAAATGGTATTACTTTGTCTCTGTAGAAGTTTTGGGAAAATTGATGAGAGATATAACACTAAAACATGCTACATGTAATATCAAAGTGCCAGGGATGGACTATTTTGTGCTTCATAATATAGTTGTTCATTTGTAATTTGTTATCACTTATTATAGACATGTTTGCTGTGTGTTAATTTTACTTAATTGAGAATACAGAGACATTTAAGAATCTTCCTTTCTTTTGGTCCTATAGTAAACAAACTGGTTACATGTTCAATATGTAGAAAATATCAAATAGCAGGTATTGCATTAATGTCTGAACTCAGGCAGAGAAACAATTTCCATTCATGACAGAGAAACAGAAGTTTCATCAACTCTGTAAGAAAGTTAAACAGAGCATTAAAAGTTTTGAAGTTACATCAGAAAGAGGACAACAATGCTAAAACCTCATGATCCCAAAAGCTCCTGATATATAAATGTAGGCTGTAATAGAGAAGGCAGTGATAGAGACAAATGGTACCAGAAATACTTTGGGCCTCAAGACCATAAACGTAGAATAGACGTCGGTCAAATTTTGATCCTTAATATCAATCATTTGAATTCTAAATAATATATGTTTTAAAAAATTAGAGTATAAATATTTGAATACAATCAAAAGTTATATTCATTTGAAATTTTGAGTTAACAACTTTGTTCTCTTTTTTATATGGTTTTGCAGCTTGGAGTCATTAGAACTTGGATTCAATTGACAGAATTAATGCTATATATTATACAGTGTATAACAAAAATACATGATGAGAAGTACAAAAAGACAAAAAATGAGAGAATTCAAAATTAAACAAATGGAAAACAACTAGTGAAAAATAAGGGTTGACACCCAAATCTCTCAGGGATAGATCAAAAAGGTATCCAGAATAAAATATAAATAAAAAAAAATAATAATAAAATTGTGTAGAAAAAGGGCAAAATTGAATGAGAGAAGTAGAGAGAGAGGGAGAGGAGAAAAATTTAAAAAGACTGGGGTGTTTATAACATGATGAAAATGGGGATGTTAGGTCCAAGACAAACAAATTCATAACCATTTAAGTCACCCCACCATTAGAAGCCGATAATCAGATGTCAACAGGCCTGTTGTTTATCAGCATGGAGAATGTGAAACTTGTCATGAAGTGATATCAGGTCTGCACAACAGAGATATAGAACTGTTTTTCACAAAGTCCATGGCCAACAAAAGTGCAAGCAAAAAATTAGTCTGCATTTGACAAACCCTCGGTAAATATGGATTTAAAAATAATTAAATTAATTATTAAGAGTTTTAATGTTATATTTTCAGACCACAATGTCCATGATGAACATGACAGGAATGACGGGGCATGATCACCACAACATGCATCATGGGAGTACAGGGATGACGGGCATGACCATGGACCACAGTGGGCATGATATGAGTGGGCATGGTGGGATGGGCGGGGGCATGGGCGGCCATGAAGGCATGCATATGAACATGAATGACACTGATGGGTGTGGCAATGGCATGTCAGTAAGTACCTGTAGGGAGGAAACCATGTTAAAAGTAGAGGAATTTTTAAGGAGGAAAATTAACCCCTCCGGAAAATGGGTTTCATTAGGTCTCCAAGATAACACCTGAAATAAATATGTTTTTAACGAGGCCGAGTCTAATTATTTCTACCCTAGGGATTTCGATAATTTTTATTAATTAGTTTTTACTGTTATATTTATTGTTTTAAGATTAAAAAATCGAATGCTTACCACCTCGATTTCTTTGGGGGTCATCTCAAAAGTTGTCAAATTTTACTATTGGACCCTATGGAAATTTGTTGGAAAAGCGCAAAATTATCAAATTTTTTCCATATTTTTCATATTTCTGCCCTAGAGATTTCTTCTTCAGTCAAATAGATGAAAGCTATTGTAAAAAGTCACCAAATTGTGAGATTTCAAAAACGTTGACCATCTAGATTGGTCTGGATCTTAAACACCCAATTTTATGTTAACGCCCCCAAAATCTACTTGATTCAAGATCAATAATTTACCGCCTGTCAATCATTAAAAAAAAACAATAGCTTCTGATTTGATTGACAGGCCAGCTATTGATAGTCTGAGTTTGTGTCTTTTGAAAACGATTGCCTGGTCACGCGTCAAACACTTTCATGTAGCCGCGTTGTATACACGGGGATTAAAAAAAGAATCTTTGTAAAAATTTATTTAAAAAAACAATTGAGAGTAGATAATTAAAACATAACATCATAAAATATTTGATTTCAATCTCAACAGCTACATTGTATTTTAGGCGATATGTCGTCCAAGATATCTGCTGTAGAATTTAGACTGGTCCGTGCACAGAAACGCTACTTAGTATTTGCCGATTAAAATTGGAATATGATAAATAAGATATTTAGCACAAAATTCCTTTATCCCATGTTTTATCTATATGTATTTATGAATACAATCTACACCATGTTCCGTTGTAAATGAAATGTCAGAAACATGAGTTTCGAGATTGTAACTTTTAGTTCGAATTTCCTAACGACTGTTAATACCCAATATTCGAAATTAGAAAGTGGGACAAAGCCAAAGATCAATTCTTAAAAGTATAAAAGAAATCTTGCAAACAATAAAAAATTGTAAACACACGAACACCCGGAAATGGTGAATATTTTCGACAGTATTGTTGGTCTGAACATAGGCAGTATTACTATCGCAGTACATTGTATAAATGTTCACACGACGGATAGGCCTTTGAATGGAATATTTTATTATTTTTTAAATTTTGATATTTACACAAATTTAATTAAAAAGAGATGTGCTTACTTTGTAGTTTTACTCTATGTTCTTTTCTTAACATTTTTTACATTTTTTTTTTAAATATAAAAACGATATTTCTTTATAACTTTTTTTTCTTCATTAGATATCGCTGAAAGTATATAAATAAATAAATTTTATATTGAAATATTTCAGTTATTTCAAGTAGTTTCACTCAAATTTAGACACGAAACACGGAATGTTGACCCTGATCATCAGACACAGACTTCTTGTGCAATGCTACGTGTATACAGATTTTTGACATCTTGGGTATTGGGGGTCTCCAGGTAAATAACACCACTGTTACTTGGACCACTCCCCCTCCTCAGGTAACCGTACGGTAAAAAAATTGGGTCTTTAATTACAGAGTTTATTTTTTCGATGCCCAATATCTCTAAAATTGCCATATTGTGGTATTGGTGCAGATGAATTATCGGCGCATATGATTTTTTAATTGGTACAAAATAGCAATATTTAGATTGCTGATATGTTTCTTTTGATGTTCTGTCATCAGTTTTTAGTAAACTATCCATGGACGTCTATGAACATATAAGCGAGTCATATACCATTCTTCAGCGTCATGCATTGCTTACAAAATCGGAAGACAGTGACGTCGTTAGAGCCATTTCAGCTTTTTTCCCCAATTATTGTCAAAAAATCACACTTTCAGACCAGAAGGCGTTTCAGATAATGTTAATCTTATGTTAAAATCACAATATTTGGGAAAGTGTACTTTTGCACTTATGACTGCGTGAAATTTAAAAGGCTGCGCAAAAGTCATGCGCACTCGAATTAGACTCGGCCTCGTTAAGAAGATAATAACACCTAACATAGAGAAGGGGAGGGGGGTTAAATACTTATTATAGATAATTATGTTTTTTAGGAGGAAAAAAACCAAAATTGTGTTTTAAAGGGAGAAAATCAGTTGTAATTTTAGACAATAAGCACCTGACTTAGATTTGAATTTTAAGGGGGGGGGGGGGCACCTGAGTTGGTGGTATAAATCTCAGATTAATTTGTTGGTGAGGAGGCAAACACCTAATTTAGATTTATTAAATTATTACTGAGCAATAATTTGGATATTTCAGTATATTCCAATTTATTGACAAAAATATTGTATTGAGATGAGTTTTAAGGTACGTGTACCTGTATATGGACAATCTGCTAAGGCTTTGGATTTGTAAAGTAAAATATAAAATTTATACAATGTGGGAAACCTTTTCAATCAGTAAGGTTACTGGTGTAAGGTGGCTTTTCATTGCAAATCTAAAGAAATCAACAAGTACTTTTCTGTTCCAATATATTTACATGTATTAAATACACTCTGCTTGTAAATGAAGGTTAAAAAAAAAACAAGACATTATCATTTTTAGTTCACATTGAAAATAATTTGCTTCTCACAATACAGTTGAAAATATCACAGAATATTATAAATACAGTACGGAATTTCAGTCTGATACCCAATCCTATAAGGAAGATAACATCTGGTCAAGAGATCAATTTTAAGGGGGGTACTTCACTGACTTGAGATAAATGCATTTTTAGGGAGGAAAACCCTCAGATAAGCTTGATTTTATAGAGAGGAAAACATCTGAAATAGGGGGTGTACATGTATATCTCCATTTTTTTACTTGTTAATTTCATTTTTGTTTCCACAACGATGGTAAGTTACCTTTTTTGCAATACATGTGTAAGCTATAGCCTATTTTTGTACCCAATCACAATGTTTCTGTAATTATGACTTCATATGTACCGGTACAGAGTCATTTCTGTTTTCTGTAATTATGTCTTATGTACAACATTTCTGTGTGTAAATGTGCCAATATACAAAATGAGACTGAATTTCAAAGATGTAAATGTCAAACAAAATCAACATGTACAAATAATTTTTGAAAAATGCAATGCAAAATGCGAGATCAATCTGGTTGTGAGAAGTTTTATTTGTCTGTGGATGGGAGGGGTGGGGGTAACTTTTAAACTTGAAATGCTCTACAATTTATACCATGATAACCCTAATATTCCTTTCAAATTATTTCAGATGTTTTTCCATGCAGGAAAATGTGAATATATACTATTTGATGGAGTACAGACCAAAACAGTGGCAGGTAAGTCTAAAAAATGTCTGTAAAAAAGTTTAAATCATTCAGACATGTAGTTTTTAGCAACTTCATTTCCTTGTTACATTGAGTGAAAATGATAAATGAAATGCATTTGAACTCCTGTATCTTGAATACCAAATAAGATGAAGTACATGACTTAAAAGTCCCGACTTCCAATTAAAATTTTCCTCCCCCTAGGTGTCTGGTATCCTAGGACATCTTGTCAATTTTTCTAAGTCCCATTAAGTTTGAGATAATGAGGGTTCTCTGTATTTTTCACCAAGTTTCTGTTCATTTTCTTTGCAGTGGTAATTTGGTATACACATTTTTCATAAGAATAACTAGGAGAAATTTTATTTCGAGTACGATCGAGCCATATTTGAAAGAGTTATGCCCCTTAGACTTAAAAAAGTTCCAATTATTTTCAGTTTCTGTTCATTTTCTTTGCAGAGGTTACACCTACTGAAAATGAAATTTGGTATACAGATTTTAGGTCAAGATGTGTTTAGGGTATGATCGGGCAATTTTTGACAGAGTTATGCTCTTGTACTGAAAAAAATTCCAGGTATTTGGGGGAGGGGGTATAAGTGTTTCACAAACATCTCTTGTTTTATTTTAAAATTTACACATTAAAAAATATGTTGGGATTACTTCAGAGGCTAAAAAAAATATGCATTTTACATTTATTTTGAAGATTTCAGTTTTTGACTATATTGAATATTAAAATATTTTTTTTTATTATGAACTTGAATACAGGTGCCCTCTAGTAATCATGTGTCTGACCATCATCGCTTTTATTTGATGTGATAACTTACTTGAATGCCTCTCAAAATACTGGTACACTTGATATTTTTTATGTAATTAAAGGATGGTTAGAGGAAATTCCCTGTATTAACAGTTTTTGTGTAGGATACAAATTATTCTCTTCAGAGAAGTGGATAGGCATGGCCTATGCTTTTATCCATGAAGTGGATGTTGGAGGGCTGAACCTATACACTTCTCTACAAGAGAATAGGACACAAAACAGAATTATTTTGCTAAGACTATTACACATTTATGTGATGCAATAAAATCTATTTTCACTTCACCTTTGGTGCATTTAAGTAAAGAATTGAAAAAAGAAAGTACATAATTTTTGGCTGACTTGTTTCAAGGTCAAGGTCAAAATACCAAGCTTACTGCCAGGGTAATATATTAATTGTACTGCAAAGTGCCATTAAAAATGACAATTGCAGATGTGACAATCCAAGAATTGCAGAAGTGAGAACCCAATTTATAGCAATTTTCAGAGCAAAACCATTGAGGACACGTAAATATTTTTTAGGTATGGTTGCTGCCTGTATCATCGTATTCTTACTAGCAGTTCTATATGAGGGCCTAAAGGTGTTCAGGGAATACCTCCTCAAGAAAGCCTTGATCACAGGCTCTAAGTACCAGGAGGTCACCATAGGAGCCAATGGACAATCTATTGTAGCCGAGACGAACATCAAAAACAGGTATAAAGTGACAATGGACTAGTTCAAAAGAAATTTGATCAATGTTTTTTATTTTCTCATTTTTTCCCATTAGTTTATAAAATCAGAAAAATACAAGAGAAAAGAATTGCATATCATTTTACTTCAAAAGAATGTTAGAATTTTTTTTTTTAAAAACTCCAATGATGTGCTTGAAACTACTCATAGATTTAATAAAATACTACAACATTGAAGCAGATCGGGATGTGGCTCTGGCATGGCAACTTAATTTATTAAACATTAACTTGCAGCTTCTGGTTGCTACAAATTTGCAGATAAACAACTTCAAAATAAAATGCTGAAATCAACTTTTCAAAATAATTTTAATAGCCCCCCCCCCAAAAAAATATAAATACTTATTTAACAGGACTATGTACCGGTACTTGAACTATTTCAACATTATCATTAAAATGCCATTACTGATTTGAGATTTTCAACCCAGCTTTTGAAGGTTTTTGAAGAAAAAAAACTTTTGTTTTTTTCAAATTCACCAACTTATTTTTGTAAAATTTCAAAACATTTTCAGCAATGGACTTGACTACAAGCCTGAGAAGAAGCATTCAACTGGGTGAATTTTATCACCTTCATTGAATAGTCTGCTTTCATATCATGCTAGATATATTTATCTTGGTGCCTCCATGATAAAATCTACCTTGCGGGGAGCAGATTTAAGGCTTATACATGCTAGAAATTAAAATCATTCATTATGGCTTGCATGATTACAGTATAGAAAGAGCTATAAATGTCTGTCTTCACCCCTTGTAATAGGGAGAATAAAAAAGTTTCATTTCAGCCATGATAACTCTCCATTGATCAAAGATGGAAATAACTGAATATTAAGCCATTACCTCAACAATAAATTATTTCATTCAGATAGGAAGTACTTGTATAAGGAATATGTAGATGGAAACTACAAAAGCTTTTGAGAATACTAGCTAGCTATATTTCTCTGACTCTCTGTGCTAAATATTTGAATGTTCTTAGCTTTTGACTAATATGTAAAGAACATAATTAGTCCAGAATAACATCTCCGCCTTTTTTTCACCCAAATAAAAAAAATCATCCGTAATTTTTTTTTTCTTGTTATATTCACATTCTGGTTCCAGTTTAACATCTGAAGTATAGGCATGCAAGAATAAACAATTGAAAGGAATGTTGGACTTTAAATTAATATTGTTTTAGTTTTTACTAACACTGAGAAAAGACAGAGAAAAATGTTGCATGTGAATTGTTTTGTTTTTGACAGTCATCAAGTGGTCTTTGGTAATCCTATTCTACATAACAGGTATGCCATGGAGTTGTAGCTCTGACTACTAATGGTACTTACCCGGTAGTACTTTTCTATGTAAACAAACGTGTACCTTAATATTGTAGATATACCTATATATGCATTTCTTAAGTTTGTTTTAAATTAATATATAATTTTATTTGCTTTATTTAAAGGGAGTGCAGGTTTTTGATCTTTGTTTGGAAAGGACAAGGGTACTATATTAGATCTGTATACTTTGGACACTTTAAATTTCTTATTTTTTAGAGTATTGGTTAGGAAAAATGCATAATGGGAAATCTGTCAGATATACAGTGTATTCTTTCTGTGGTTTGAGATGCAAAAGGTATTTGGGGGGGGGGGGCTAACATCTGAACAGACCTCCACAATAGACAGACAGATGGACAGACAGCACCATACTGTAAAATGTCTCCTGTTCATCTATTTGTGGATTTTCTATATTAATATGTAGTTCACTATAATAAACATAGTATTTGTAGATGGAGGGGTGGGGGAGGTATATACAAATTGCCTTGTCCCTCTGTCTGTCTGTCAGTGACTTTTGTCTAGACCACAACAACTTCATGGAGAATTGTTGGAAGCACATACTAGACATTTTTATGGGGAAAAACCCTCATTTGATACTTGGCAAAATCTCTTTTCTGTCAGTTTCAATAAATATACATTGTGAATTGTACAGGAAAGTGTATCAAGATTTCTTTGAAAAATTTCACATTTTTAAGACATTTTAGAATGCAGACATATTAACTCTTATATGTATCTTAAAAATAATTATATTAAAAGTACATCTAATTAACCACACAGATTATTTCATTATGGCCATGGGGACATGTACTTGCATGTGTTGTATTTAACCTTTTGGTGATGGTATATAACCCTGCATGGTTGTGGTTTAGCTATTTTGCTTGAGTGCATGTTTATTGTTTACATTTACTGCCAAAGGTATTAATCAAAGTCGAGCTTGTTTGTTTATACTGTAGTAAATGCCATAATTAATATATTTTTTTCTTCTTTTATTGCAATAATATTTTTTATCAGTTGTTTTTAATACAGACAAAAGAAGTAAAACAGCTGAAAATATATCAAAAAAAAAATGTGAACAAGCTTTGTCAATTGTTTTGTGTATGGAAAGTTTCATGGCTTTGTCAGGGTGAAATAAAATATAGGCTTTGAATTTGCTTACATAAAGTATGACTTTGGTTACATAAAGTCTATCAGTTTATCCAAAAAGATCATTTAAGGTCTATAGATCTGAAAACAAACATGTCCATTCAACATTCATGACATGAAAGTTACCCCCTTAAAAAGAAGATGCTGTAAACTTCTTCTTTGTAATAGATTCTTGAAGATGCAAGGACTTTATTTGTTCATAGAAGCTACTTTGTTTGAGGATTGAAAATACAATGTGGTGTTTTTAATAATATAGTACCACTGTCCATTGAACACCCAAATGAGTTTGAGAACAAATCTATTGAACTTTGATGCAGAGAACATATGAAAGATCAAGAGAAAAGTATTTAAATAAATCAGTATCTCACATACCATTAGTAATATATTCTTCATTGTCCAAAAATCAAAAGATTTTATTAAAAGTAAAATAAAGATCAAACAAATTGAAAGTAAACTGATCTCTGTTTGGTGGTTTGGGAGACTTCGTTAAATGTAAATGTGAAAATAATTAGAAAAAAATCCCTAGTTTTAGTTTTGCTACTTCCGTCCATTAGATGTGTATAGTTCAGTTAGTATACATGTGTATTGTCTCTTATACACTGTGCAGCTGTGAGATTTTTGCATCAATTTTAATATGAAAGTTATTAATTTGAATTTTCTCTTCACATTTTAGACTAACGATGATCAGCACTTCCCACCTGATACAGACAACCCTACATGTGGTACAGGTGTTTATAAGCTACTGTCTGATGCTCATCTTCATGACGTACAACGTCTGGTTATGCCTAGCGGTGATTCTCGGAGCAGGTGCCGGATACTTTTTCTTCGGCTGGAAGCGAGCTGTTGTGGTAGATGTTAACGAACACTGTCACTGAGAATCAAAAATTTAAAATAAAAACGATGATGGTTCCAAACTCATGTGATATATATCAATTTCTTATCCTCCTTTATCAGATTGTTGAACAAGATTATTCCAGGGACTAGTAGCTCACAGAGCATTATATTTTAGATACAAGCATATTTTTTTTTAAAAAAGGTTGCAATGCTTAACATTTTATTTTTTTTTTTAAGGATTTATATATGTACTGACATCAGATATATATATAGGGAACATTTAAGCTGCAGTTGTAACCATAAGTTGTGAATCTGCTTTAAGTCTACCTACAATAACAATATTGTATGATCTCAAATGCACCCGGTAGGGAGAAGCTGATGAGAGATATATATTTAGCTCACCCAGAAATGTGGGGGGAGGGAGTACAAACACATCTACTCTCATATTGTTATTTTCTGTAGCAGCTGCATTTCTTTCTTATTCCTTTTTTTCTGAAGAAAAATTGAATATTCATAGTACATGTAGCATGCAATCATGTACTGTTGAAAAGTTTTATTGCATGTAAAAATTTTGGAGAAACAATTCGTGGGGATTATAGACTTTTACTTTTTTGTCTAATGTTCAAACTTGATTTTTCTTTTTTTTTTTACAGTTAAAATATTTGTAACTTTTTGCTCTGACATTTTTTTTTCCTATGCTGGGTGTTGAATTTCCAAAGAAAAGGGAAAAAGAACACTAACTGCTATTAAAAAATGGCTATATTGTAGTAAGGTTTTCATTTTGACTAATTTGAATAGTTACCATGATGAAAATAATATGCAAAGTATCAAATGTTAACGAATTCTGTTGGATTTTATTCAAACAATAAACAAACTTTTATATATTCAAAGTTGTGGAAAGAAAAAGTTCCTGTTACGTTTCTGTTAAAATCAAAAAATGTTATTTGTGTTGATTATTCATGTGTGTTTTACATTCATATTCATCTTTTAGCAAATTTGTTGTAGATTGTATAAATACAAAGTTTGATGATTTTGTAATATTATTAAGACTATCAGCAAATCTGTCTTGTCTCATACAAGAGTTCTCTCTCTTTTTCCACTCGGTGAAGGTTCTAAGACTGTACATATGATATCATACACTGTCTCTTTTTGCTCATTCATTTGCAAAATCATGCATTAACATCATTCATTTTTTATGCAATTTTTTGCTCATCTTTAGTAAAGCCTAGTTTTTCCCCCATTTTTGATAGTTTTTGTGTACAATTAATAATTCATGCCAAAATCTAGTACTTAACGCTGCCAGTATTGTACTTGCCTTGAACTGTTTAAGTAGAGATTTATCCAGTCTTATCATGTACTTAATTATAACTTGAAATATGGAGATTAATTTTCAGCATTTTTTATTTTATTTCATATATTTCTAGGGTTGATATGGCACAATTTACATCATATTTTAACTCAAAGACTATGTTTAAGAATATAATAAATTGGATGAAAAATATAATCACATAATTTGAAAGTACATGTACTGGCATTAATGATTTTGCAGATAGTGTTTGAAATTCTTTTTATTACAAAATCTGTTCAGCAATATAATACTAGTGAGTGTGTAGCACGAAACTATGTATAACTTAACATTTCTGTAATATATGGGAAAAAAATTAATATCAAATTTATATTCAACAAGTAACATCATATAAATAAATACATTTATTTTATGCTAATGTATAATTTTTGACTTTTTGATGAAGAAATGAGTGATTATAATTGTTTCTTACTTCATAACTTTTATGAAATCCAGTGTCATTAATATTGTTATATGGTTATCAAATAAAAAAGTATATCTCAGGATTTGGTTTTTATGTCTTTTGAACTGAGTCAAGGTATTGATGATTACTGTAAATCACCTATGATTCATTTCATCCTTTATTTTTGATTTGTCAGTTTTCAATCAATCATTTACAATGAATTTTTGCAACTAAGGAAACCTCTGCAAATACAAAGCAAAATAAATAGTTCACAGGGATTATTATTTGCGGATTAATGTAGGTGACAAAACTCGCAGATATTTCTTGCACACCATTAAAAGTTGGTTTACAGTATTTATTTCATGCATATGCACATTGTTGGTAACCCAGGGCTTAAAATGCTTCATTCATCTCTCCATCTTTGACATTAGATCAGAGTTTAAGCAGCTGTACGTTGGTTTCCTATGATGGCTTGTCCATGGTAAAACATGATTTTTTTTCAGACATTTTAAGACTCCACAGAATACTGGAAATTCAAATAAGCTCAGTCTTTGTCAGAAAATTTAATAAATAAAGTCTATTTTCACAGGGGAGAACTGTCAAAATATATAATATAACATTTTATAGCATAAGAGTATGTTTGTGGTCTATCTTCAGTTGATAGAATCCAGAATGATACTTATCTGTCCAGAAACTTCATTCATTTACATATAGCATCGAGGCTGCGTTGTGCCATTTATTTTCATTGAAGCTGTAACAACTAACAATCCTAACAGTATTTGAAATATAATTGACCAAACAATCTCTTATTTGTATATTAATATAATATACTAGTATATCATAACCCCTCCATGAAAAACCAGAATCTGGTCACATTATTTGCAGAATTTAATAGGAGTCTGTATTTTAAGTCTTCAAAAACTGTTATAACTGGTGATAGAGCTTTGTAGCTCCTGTTGTTGTCAAATGTATACCTAGTCCAACCATAGATAAAATTTACTTATTTACTGTTGCAGTAAATTCCATTACAAAAGGTAAAGGAATTTAAGAGATTTCATTCAGAAACTAAGGTAAAACTTTCAGATGCATATTTATGTGACCTTGGCCTTTTACCTATTTGCCTCATAATCAACGGGCATTCCCTAAGTCATGGGGACGTAAGATTTAAAATTTAATTCTAAAACTCAAAGACAATGAAATTTATCATCCAGAAACCTTTAAGCAATTAATAGCCACAGACTCATGGATGGAATAACAATCAAAATTTAAAAACAAAAGGTGTTTGTGAAACACTGATCCCCCCATATGGTGACATAGTAAAGAATAAATTTTCTCATGTGCAAATCAAACATGTTTGTCCCCAAAGTAAGGCCTTCTCACTAGAATTACTATTGTGGTATATGAAAGCCCTAGCATTACCAGTTCAAAAGTTATGGCCAAGGTTAAAGTTTTCAAAAAGTAGGTCAACTCCAGGGTAAATGTAAAAGGTTCAAAGTTGTTAGTTTCGAATGAAAGGTCTTGTTACAATTATGTGAAGTATTAGAGCCCTAGCTCTAACCTTTCAAAGTTATGGCCAAGGTTAAAGTTTTTGTAAAGTAGGTCAAACTTTAAGGTCAAGATCAAAGGGTCAAGGTTGTTGGTTTCTAATGAAAGGCCTTGTTACAAGGATTACATAATGTGAAGTATGAGAGCCCTAGCTCTAACTGTTTAAAAGTTATGGACAAGAAAAAGATTTTAAAAAGTATGTCACACTCTAAGGTCAAGGTCAAAGGTCATTGTTGGTATTCAATGAAAGTTCTTGTCATAAGAATAACATGTATGATGTATGAAAGTCCTAGCCCTAACCATTCAAAAGTTATGTCCAATGTTAACGTTTTTAAAATGTAGGTCAGACGCTAAGGTCTAGGTCAAAGGGTCAAAGGTGTTGGTATCAGTGAAGTATGAAAGCCCTAGGTCTTACCGTTCAAAAGTTATGGCCAAAGCTAGATTTTTTTTTTTAAATAGACCAATCTCAAATATCAAGGTTAAAAGATCAAGTTTGATCAAGTTTGATATCCAATGGAAGGTCCTGCCACAGAAAATACGTTAGAAGTATGAAAGTCCTAGCACCAATCGTTCAAGAGTTATGGCAAAAGTAGAAATTTAGAATTTTGTGTAAAAGTATGTCAAACTCCAAGGTCAAGGTCAAATTTGGTGGTACCCACGAAAGGTCTTGTCAGAATGATTACATCTTGTTCTAAAGTATGAATTCAGAAAAGGAAGAATTAGCAAAGGAAAACAAGATGTGTTTGTGAAACACTAATGCCCCCGTATGGCAACTAATATTGCGAGGGTTGAAGTTTCTCAAATGCAAGTCAAACTCCAAGGTGAAAAGGTAAAAAGGTCAAATTTTGGGTATCCAAAGGAAGGTCTTATCAAAAGGAATATATATGTAATTGTGAAATATGAAACCCCTAGTCTAAATGTTCAAAAGTTATGGCCAACGTTAAGTTTTTTTTTAAAGTGGGTCATAATCTTTTTACCGACTAAAAGGTTACTTGTCACAATGAATACACGTGAAGAAGAGAAAATCCATTGTACTAATTTCAAACTCTAAAGTCAATATGTCAAAAATATCAATATATACACCCATTGAAAGTTCTGTCACTATGAATATTCCATTGACGTCGGAAGCAAATTGAAAGTGTGTGTGTGGGGGGGGGGAGTGAAAAAGAACAAAAAATCAAATCTACAAAAAACAAGATGTGTTTGTAAAACACCATGCGCCCGGTGGTCACAGTCAAGGTCACAAGGTCATTGACCTTGATGTCTTTTTTAAAGAACTTAATTAGTGGAGTCTGCCTACCAGATATGAAGTCTCTATCTTCTATGGTTCAAAAGTTATGGCGAAAGTTCGAAAAACTATTTTTAGCATATAGATCACGGTAGAGGCCTTAAGGTCATTGCCCTTTATGTCATTTGAAAGAACTTAATTAGTGGTGTATGCATATTAAATATGAGGTCTTTATCTTTCATGGTTCAAAAGATATGGCGATAATTCGAAAAAGCTATTTTTAGCATAAGGGTCACAGTCAAGGTCACAAGGCCATTGATCTAGGTGTCATTTGAAAGAACTTAATTAGTGGAGTATGCATACCAAATATGAAGTCTCTATCTCTCATGGTTCAAAAGTTATGGCGAAGGTTAAAGTTGACAACAGAGCGACAAACAGCTAAACAGACAAGCAGACAGGACAAAAACAATCTATCGATCCGGGCGCATAAAAATTGACAAGCAGAAACAAGAGGCCCGCGGGCCTTATAGGTCACCTGAGTATCAGGTAACAACTTTCCAACAATTGTATTTGGTTCATGTTTTAAACCAGAGGCCATGAAATTCACAGTTTTGAAAGAGGCATCATTGCTTTTCATAACTAGCCTAAACACTTAGCATGCTTACTTTGGTTACGTAATACCCAGAGGTACATCAGAGTAACAAAGAGAAAATGCATTTAAATTTATAACCAGTTGTGCACCCCACCCCAAAGGAACCACTGACTCTGGGGGCATGTATTTAAAAATTTTGAAAATTTTAGCATAAATTTTATTCATCATAAATGGTTGATAAATACCCCTGACACAGGGGCCCTGAAATTAACCATTTTGGAAGAGTAGTTAGTTTGTTTAATCCCCAAGAGCAGAGATGAAGATTTTCAAAGAATTCATGCATTTTCACTACATCACAGGCCTAGGGACTTGAGACAATCTGAGAAAAATCGGGTATATAGTGTAATAGGGGAGAAGGGATCTAACGAGCCGCCATTAATTCCTGGGTGCCTCGCACCTTCTCCCCTATTATGCTACATTGTATATACCCGATTTGTCTAAGATTGTCTCAAGTCCCTGTGTACTATATAATCAATAGAGCCCCGCCCTAACACCAGAACCCCTGACCCTGGGGCCATGAAATTCACAATTTTGGAAGAGGAAGTCTTTTCAACATAACCCTGTACTTGGATAGTTTACTAAAGTACTTAATGCCCAGGAGCAGAGGATTTTCAAAGAATTAATGCATTTTCACTATGTAATCTATTAAGCCACACCCTAGCTGGAGATCTGTAGCGTTATGTATGGTTTTATATATTTGTGTTTGACCATAAGCTACAGATCCCGTAATGCAAAAAAGGTGCAATTTACGGCGCAATCTTTTTTGCGCACTTTTGGGGAGAATTTCTCCACTTTCTAGCCTTGGTCAATCAACTACCTTTCACTCCCTAATTCTAGACTTATTCTGTACAGGTGCGGACCTCGGTTCCTAAATAATATATAATTTTTTCCAAGATTTTGACATTGAAGAATTAATACTTTAACATGTTTACTCACAAAAAAATTGAGGTACCTTACCAGGCATTTGTGCGAGATACCACAGGATATAATCCTTTAGGGAAAAAAACTTAGTTTGTTAAAATCACATTTTAAGTGTTTCAAATTTTTGAAATCTATTAAAAACCGATTTAGAAATCAGAAAGTAATGAAAATTTTGTATATTTTTCATATATGATGAAGATATACAAAAACAGATAGTAGGGGAACGTATCGTCTGACCTTAACACAAATTCGCGTTTACCAGGTTTACCAGGGGGACTTAAACTATAGTTAACGACGTTAATCTATATTTTACATCTGGTGTCTGCGTTTACCAAGGGGGGAGGGTCCAAGGTAACTTTTTTTTATTTTTTATAAATCTAATAACCTTGCGAATTTCAGGGAGGGTCCTGACCCCCCCTCTAGATCCGCGCATGCTGTAGCCAATATGTATATTTTATCCACCTCCCAACCATTTATATGTGTCTCTACAGGCAGTAAACTCGCTTGAAGTGCAATCTGCGTAACAAATAATTTTAATCAAGCGAGTTTATCACTTATAGAGACGACTATAAAGGGTTAGGAGATGGAGATGGATAAAATACTGTAGAAGTACATTTTTCCGCGTGGTATAAATTTAATACGCTATGTAGTACGCGGTCACAAATTTCCCGCGGAATTTTGTTATGGCACGCCAAATTCACAAAAATGAGCAAAACATAGTTTCACAGTTGATAAACTAGGTTTATCGGTTGTAAACTATAGTTTACGGACTGTAAACTGTAGTTAACGACGTTAATCTATATTTTACATCTGTAAACTATAGTTAACGCGATAATCTATGTTTCACAACCGTAAACTATACTTAACACCAAAAACAATCATTTGCGATCGCAAAACATAGATTATCTGATAAATACAGTTTCAAGATTGTAAACTATGGTTAACAAATCTTAACTATAGTTAACGATCGTAAATTATAGTTTACAGACGTGATTCTATGTTTATCAACAAAATCTATTGTTAACGTTTTATTACAGACAGATAAACTTAGATTAGCATTCGTAAACTATAGTTAACAACCGTCAAATATAGTTTTACAGATGAAAACTATACTTAACGAATCGTTAACTATGGTTTACGGTTTGTAAACTATAGTTTACAGTCGATAAACCTAGTTTATCAATTGTGAAACTATGTTTAGCACGCCAAATTTGACCCTTTGACCTTGACTTTGGATTTTGACCCACACTTGAAAAACTTTTACCTTAGGATATAACGTTTTAATGATTAATGATTGGGCTTTCATATATTTCACAAATTCTTTCTTTGTACAATGAAGCGCATTGAAGTGGTAAAATTTTCCATTTGGATGAAACGTTCTGAGTCATGTTTTGACCGTCAATTATAACATAACGATACGCCCATTTCTTTAGAAACGAGAAAGAAATATTTGTCGTAATGTTTTGTAAACTATAGTTTACAGTCGATAAACCTAGTTTATCAATTGTGAAACTATGTTTAGCACGCCAAATTTGACCCTTTGACCTTGACTTTGGATTTTGACCCACACTTGAAAAACCTTTACCTTAGGCTATAACGTTTTAATGATTAATGATTGGGCTTTCATATTTCACAAATTCTTTCTTTGTACAATGAAGCGCATTGAAGTGGTAAAATTTTCCATTTGGATGAAACGTTCTGAGTCATGTTTTGACCGTCAATTATTACATAACGATACGCCCATTTCTTTAGAAACGAGAAAGAAATATTTGTCGTAATGTTTTAGGACACCCCACTTTCCGCGACAAGTAACATGAGTTACACTAAAATGAAGATTTTTAAATAAGAAAAAACTATATATAGAGTCCCCGCTTCTGTAAAACACGCGAATTTGTACATAATTATGATTTTATCATGTTTATTGGAGTTAGCATAACACATGTATCAGTCGAACACGTGCTTACTCGGTGTTTATGAAGACCGTCAATTTGATTGGTTATTATATTTATGGAATACCTGTTCTACAGGTATTCGATTGAATCATTTGACCGATTTTTCTTTTCTAAAGAAATGGGCGTGTCTTACTATAGCTCAGAACGCTCCATCCAAACGGGAAATTTTACCACTTCAATGCGCTTCATTGTAACAATATTTTTCATCCTTTGGCCTTTGAGTTTAAATTGCATATGAGAAGGCTCAAGCTATTTCAGTCTTTGGTGTCATCCGAGGCTTCATTGTTTCATAAACACATCTTGTTTTTGTTTATTTCATTTTATGTCTTTATTTGATATGCAATGGTTTTAAGACATTTGTCAATTAACAGTTGTATCTTTTAATTACCTCGGTACCCCCCCCCCTTTTTCTACCACTCCCCTTTTTTTCGTCAGATATACAATGAAGCGCATTGAAGTGGTAAAATTTTCCATTTGGATGAAACGTTCTGAGTCATGTTTTGGCCGTCAATTATAACATTAAGACACGCCCATTTCTTTAGAAACGAGAAAGAAATATTTGTCGTAATGTTTCAGGACACCCCACTTTCCGCGACAAGCAACATGAGTTACACTAAAATGAAGATTTTAAAAATAAGAAAAAAACTACATATAGAGTCCCCGCTTCTGTGAAACACGCATTGCAACGAATTTGTACATAATTATGATTTTATCATATTTATTGGAGTTAGCATAACACATGTATCAGTCGAACGCGTGCTTACTCGGTGTTTATGAAGACCGTCAATTTGATTGGTTATTATATTTATGGAATACCTGTTCTACAGGTATTCGATTGAATCATTTGATCGATTTTTCTTTTCTAAAGAAATGGGCGTGTCTTTCTATAGCTCAGAACGCTCCATCCAAACGGGAAATTTTACCACTGCAATGCGCTTCATTGTAGAATCTGACATTTCATACGTAAAATGTGAATCATTATTTGACAATGTCAATACCATATAACGAACATCGAAAAGAAGAATGTCGATCAGACCTAATTTCATCACAATTCGTTGATTTTAACAATTGCTGTGTTCCATACAATTTAAGAGGGTCTCGAAGGGTTGTCGGATTTTGTATGGCTCTAAATGCTCGATGTCAATCCTGTTTACCTGTATCCGATGAATTATAAACTATTGATTTATTCATCTCAACCATCTATTTGTTCAGTGTTTTGCTAAAGAGAGGGAAAATAAAAATGGCCCATAACTTTTCTATTTCCGGATGTTCATACATAAACATGTCTGACCGGAAGTGAGATTTGATGCAGAGAAGATAATGAGATGATGGAAGTGAAGATGTTTTACTAAATTTCCCTGGGAAGCAGGTTTGGGAAACAATTCAAAAACATGAAGTAGAGGATTTGACATGGCCTTTTACAATTCCGAAGGCCAGGTGAGTTTTCCTGCACGCATTACATTGATTGTTTTTGTTGAACAAGCTGAACAGCTGAAATTCTGTATCACACACTGCAGCTGTACTGATACTGACGTTTTGACTATTTTTATGCATTTCATTAAACAATAATAAAAATAAAAGTAGCAAAAATACATTTATTCTTTTACAAGAAAATAGTATAAATTCTGCAGGTGATGCATTTTAATCGTTGAAAAGTAGTGTCAGGTTCATGCGATTCAGGCCATTGTATTAGGTGTCTGTGAATATTGACAAAAGAACTATAAGCAGCTCCATAGAAATGTTTGACCTATGGCTATTGCCATAGGTTTACTTATTACAGAGTGGGATAATGCTCGACCAGCTCTTATCAGCTTATTGTAGATTCATGGTGTAAAACTTTTTATGTTATTTTAAGGACAATCTTAATTTTTTTCTGGGTTGATGTACTCTAACCCATATATTATACCACTGTATACTAACGTTATATACCCCAACTCCATCACCATAAGCAGAAATCACCAAGCGTTACTAAACAATTTTTTTGAATTTTTTTGCTTTTGTTTTGCTACACATAGTAATGAACTTGCATTTTTTAGGCCAATACTACACCATTAGATAGTACGCACATCACATTCGCTTACATTACTTGGGTATCTCTCATCCTTGAATGAATATTCTCCACAAATTAATAAAGCGGGGTTGCAAAGTCATAATTCATTTTGTAGATAAATGTAAAAGAGAATACATGAAATAACGTCCTAAAAAACCTGAAAATTTAAGCAATCCACAAAAATTGGCTCATATGAATAAAAATCTGAGGGGTATTTGATATCGAGATATAAATCTTTCATTGGCAACAATAAGAGCTTAGAAGTCATCTTGCAATGGATGCATTTAGGAAAACAGCTGATTTTAGGTATTATGTTCATTCAATAAACTGAACAAAGTTTTGAAGACTACATGTACTTGATATATATATGCACAAAGTTGATCAAATTTTGAATGCATTGAACAGGCAGACTGCAGCTGTATCTAGCTTTTGCAGACTTTATTAACACAAAAAGAATTCCTTCTTGATGTATGTAAAATGTTTTTTTTTTTTTTTTTTTTTTTTTTTTAGGAGAAACAATTTAAAATGAAAAAAAGTGTCCATAAAGTCAGTGAAAAAAAAATTGAATGCATAAATGTGATCATGTGGTTTGTTAACTGTTCCCCTTTGAAAATTTTTTACCCATTACGCATATATACGGTACAGTGGACCCTCATTTATCCGGACGCTTTGGTTCCCAGTCAATTTGTCCGGATATGTGAAGCATCCGGATATCTGAATCACCAGTTAAACAAGACAAAATAACATTTAAAAATTTCGTTCCGATGAAAAATCGTCCGGATACTGAAGCATCCGGATATCTGGCGTCCGGATATCTGAAGGTCCACTGTATATGAGAAGCTCCCACTTGCCAATGGAGGCTGCAAATTTTTACCTATACACGGTACTTATAGCCTTTGAGCAGTTAGAAATCTTTTATGTGCCAGCACGTTCTGTGACACGAGACCTTAGTTTTTACAGTCTCATCAGAAGGACAATTCTCCATATCTCACAGTGGGATTCAAACCTGCAACATATAAAGGATCAAGTACTTACTCTACAATTCAAAAGCAATGTTCCAGATGTGTATTTGCACTCATTATACATGTAGTTCCTTCATTTATCATGATCATTTCACAAGTCATTTGTTAAAAATTTTTCAAAGTTTGACAGCATTAAACTGGTTGTACTTTTCATCTATGACAAATCCTGTCACTCCAGGGAGGGCATCCTCACTAGGTAAGGTTTACATAAAAAAATTAAAGATGCAGTTTGGATGGGAGGGACTCATTTAACCATGTCCAGTATGTTTTGTTCCTCATAAGAGACAGACATTGATTGAAAGTACAGTTCTTAGGGTGATAATTTTGCCATTTCTTGTTGTACCTTAAACAGGTCCAGCACAATACCCCGATAAAGGTATATAGCTAAATAAAGCTATATAGCTTTATCAAGGTATTTAAAATACCTTGATCAAGGTATTTTATGTAATGAAAATTCAAAAAAATTCTTTAAAAATTAATTACTGAAAATCGAGTTCTGAGTTGTTGTCAGTAAATTCACCCATGCATGTAAAGTACTCAAACACAAACACATCAGTATAAAAACGTGTTGTAAGAGGAGACGTTATTTCATGCTTTCTTTTTGATACCAGAGTGTTTTTCATGCAAGAATAGACACACTGTCAAAAACTCAGAACTCGACTTTCAGTATTTAATTTTTAAAGAATTATTTTGAATTTTCATTATTTAAAATACCTTGATCAAGGTATTTTAAATACCTTGATAAAGCTATATAGCTTTATCAAGCTATATACCTTTATCGGGGTATTGTGCTGGACCTGTTAAAAGTGAAATTTATCCTGAACTTTATAAACCGAACTTTTAAATAGGTTAATCATGCATTTTTCTTATATCATAATTAGAAACAGGAAGGATGGGAGATCATTAACCTGGAAACATGCTGCTTCAATACTTGGCTTGATACTCCCATCATTAGGACATAGAATTTTTTACCTATTGTTCTAAGCCATGTGATAATCCCACACGTGTGTGATAGGGGATAGGATTAACACAGATTCATAATTATCTATGGCTCTTTGTGAGACAGATATCATATTTTTATTATCAGTGGAATTATCAAAGTTTGAACTGATAATCCTAGCTGTTCACACCCCGAGATCTTGGCAGTGTTGATTGTTCCCCTCTGTGCTTGAGGAAGGTATTGTTCAAAGGACACCAAAAACTCGGATGATGTAAATTTCCTTTAGTTGAAATTTAGCTGGATTCTAAGAAACTAGATGTTTTGACTTCAGAGTGAGCTTGATCAGAGAAGAGGTGGTTTCTCTCTTTGTCTATATAGTTTTATTTACGGAGTATATAATGTTCAGAAGTAAATAGAGTTACAGTGTGTTCAAATTATTTGATGAAAAAAAGGGTTTATGGTGAAATTCATCTGTTTATGGTGATGAACAGAATTTAACATTGTGAATTCAGAGTGGAATATCCAGAATTATGATAAATTTCAGTTAAAAAAAAAATTTGAAAAAAAAAAATTGTTTACAAGTAAAATTTTCTGAAAATAAACAGTGAAAAATTTTTTTCCCGTTGAAGTGACAGTGTGTGAAGTTCATGCATAAAGTGGCTTACTCTTCAGTAAATTATAACTGAAGCACCCTGCTTTAGGTGTTGGATAGATTTCAAGCTTTTGAGTATCAAATTTGACGGGGCCTTTAAGCGTTTCCTTCTAAAGTGGTCGAAATTCATGCAATGTTACTTGGATTGGGAAGTAATTTATGTTGACTTATGTTTGTTTGTTTTCATTTGGGATTGTAAAATGTGAGCAAAAATGACTTTGGTGAGTATTTTTGTGAGAATGTTTTTATTTATATTTTATAAGTTCAAACAGAGAAAAATACTTTATGGTATCCTGACAAATATTTTTTTTTTACTGCGTGAAAGAATTGTGAACAATGATGAATCAATGATGTCAACTTGAGAATTTTCATTTATAGTAATAATAGTATCAGACATGTTAACTCTACCGAATTAGGCGGGAGTCTACCGCTTTTTCACTCCATCTCCCGCCTACCGATTTAATTCAGAAATCTACCGCTTTTCTACAAAAGTTGCATCTAAAGTATTTTTGGTTCGCTTGGGTATCCATTTTTGAAGCCACTCCAACAAAATCTTGTTAGATATCGCGTGATTTGACTCGGAAGCATACAAATGCTTTTTTAGTATCGATGTGTACATAGATTTCAAGCACGAATTTGACAACGACAACAGCACAAGATTACCAGTGATTACATTGTAAATGCTACCGCTTTTAGGGTCTGAATCTCCCTATTTTTCATCACAATAGGTTAACATGTATGATAGTATAATATTGCCACTATTACGGTTTATAGACATGATTTGGTGTAATAGTAGGATGTACACTATGCTGTTCAAATGATCAATTAAATATTAGTGTAAATCAAAAATTTTAAGTTTATAAATCTTATCCAAATTCAGACAAAAAATTAAGGTATTATTTGTAATTTTCAGAAAGATACATCAAAACAGGTAATAAAAGCAACAATAAATGCCCCACAAAATAGATTTAAAATTTGTTTTCACATAAATTAAAGCTGTAACAGTGAATGTATGGTTGTTATAAATTAATTTATTATCATTCACTTTGGGGATTTGCACATTCACATATTTAGCTTCCTTAATTTGTTTTTTTACAGTTCGATGAAAAACTATGCTTTATTTATACATTAATGACTATGTTACCCATATTTTAACTTAACTTTTTATGGTGTCTGATATCATCTGCCTTTTCCATACAATGCTTATTTGAGTTTAATTAATCACAACACTGAATTACATGTATTGAAATTCTTTTGATTACAAAAAAATATTGAAATAATAAGTTTATGGATATTTTGTAAATCTTGTCCGAGTGTGTTTTCAACAATAAATGTGATGATTTTTAATACAAAGTTATATTGCAAATGTTCTTTTCAAAAAAGAAAAATAGAATTATCAATTTAATTTTTTTTTCAGGATCATGATGTGACAAGATTTTGGAGAGAAGAAAAAGAAGATGGAGCAATTTACAATGTTTATCTGAAGAAAGTGACATACCACACAATCTCTGATGTAAGTACCTAATCTCAACCCAGAAAAGTCTGTCATAGCCTCATCAATTTTTTTTTATTCAACTTAATGCCAAATTTGTAGCTTAGTGCCAAATTTGTAGGTTTCTTGTTACTTTAAGTGCCTTAGGCGGGGATCCAAACTTTACCCCACTTCAGAGCAAGAGAGGGAGGACAAGAACTTTCAATTTCTTCCTTCAAGTTTAATGACCCTTAGAACTTCATATGTACAAAAGAAAGAGAGGAATGTTAAAAAAACCTTTAAAAAAGGATTTGGAATTTTTTTTTCAAACCACCTGTTGTTTAACGAAAGAGGAAGACAGAAGAATTTTAATGATTTTAGGGGATTTTTTTGTGAGCTTGAGGCTTGTGGATGTTTTATGCAATGGGAGAGCACATGATTTATTTATTTTGTCATTTAAAAGCAAGAAAACTTAACATCTGCTAAACAGTTCCTGAAGGGATACAGAGTCATTTTTGTGTGTTTTATGGATGATGTTCAAGAGGGATATAGATTTTTTTTAAAAAGTGCAACAGAAGCCCTTGTGCCACTGTGCACTTTAAAACTGGTAATTAAGCCTCTCGGCGGGGTAGATTTTTTACGGCATTACTCTTGAAACAAAGGTTTACCGATTACAGCAGGTATATTGTTGGTGAAGAACAACAGTTGCGTTTTATAAAAAAAAGTCAGCTCTCAAAACAGAATAACTTGTTAATTGTTTGCTTAAAAGCATTATCCTCATCTAATCAAGGTTTTTATCTAAGCTTGTCTGTGATGGGAGGGTTTTATGAACAAAAGCTGGGGAGTTTGGGGGAAGTTGAAAGGGGGAGGGGGGTTACTTAAGTATGTTGACTAACCTTTTGAATAGCTCATTTTCAAACTGTATTAAAATGGAAAACTGTTATGTAACAGAACAAAATAAGAACCAACTGACATCTCTTAAAGTAAAGTGATGGAACACTTGGCCAAAAAAAATTGTTAGGTATGCCAGGGAAAAAATGTGTAAGAAATGAAGTTTTCTGGGGTTTTGGTGAAAAATATTTTTGTTTATAAGTTGCAGGTTCATTTTGGCCCAAGATTCCGGTTAATGTTTTCATCTCTCCTCGGGTTAATAGATCTGAAAGTGAAAAAAAAGTTTCTAGAAAACATTCAGACATGAAATGATTTCCACATGAATATAAGTAATTCTTCATAGTCAAAAAAAGAAACACATTATCCAATATTAAAAAGAAAGACTTCATAATCACTTTGAATAAATATATTAAAATTGCATCCATTTTAATTAGCAAGATAATCTAATAGTATGTTCGAATAGTTATACTTATTTTTTTCTGTTGTGGGGGATGGGGGTTGGGAGTCAAGTATTATAAATTCTAAGTATTGGTAAACAGAATTTTTTTAAAATAATGTTTCACTTCAATTTAGCTTTAGATAGAAAGACTTGTATTTAAAAGAAAATTTAAGACCAGGGTATATAATGTATATATAGTTTCAAATGATTGACAGAAATTTAGCCTTCTATGTAATTCAAAACTAGGTAGTTGTAGTTTCTTTTCAACTGTTGACTCAAGACTGATACTTGTCTTTGTCTACTACAGCTCCCTGCTAACCCCCCCCCCCCCCCCACACACACCCACACACTTTTCATTTACATGACATAAAAATATGTTCTTGAGCTTCTTTGTCCATCAGTGTCAAACAGATCAAACTTGAATTTTAATTTAAATTGTCAGATATTTTTTAGTAGAACATGAATATCTTCCTTGATATTAAAATATAAGAAAATAGACTTATTATAAAATTGAACCCTGTATGATAATGAGTATACATGAGGCCATTCAACCTGGAGGTGAATGTACCATAAAGTAAGGTGTTTGTCTTGAATTGGGTTTGGCAGCTAGTTCATGGTGATCTAATGGTAGGATATGTCAGAGTAAATCTCTCTCAGAGGGATAAGCTTACTTCTAAAAAGATAGAATTATTATCTCACACAAAACTTAAATCTTTCTTATCCATATCGGTGAAATGATATGGGGAACATATCAGTGATAATTGATATTTCAGATTATTGGTTTGAGTGGTTTAATTGGGAGCTATGGTGTTTTGACTTAAAATTTCATATGTTTATAATTCGGAAATCGGGAAGAATTCAGATTCCCCTGCTGTGTGCTTGTATGGGTAGATAAAGAACAGATTTCTGGTGATCAAGAAAATATCTTGATTAGACGAGACTGATAAATTATGAAATTACCAGTGATCTCTATGGGTACAACACCATCTAGTTATGGAATTTCAAAGTCAACATATTCATTTTAAATGATACTGTAATCATTTCATTATTTTCAAATTTTTAAGAAGTCCTCAAAGTTGAAAAGATAATTATAACAGGAACATTCATTTGAAATTCAGATACGAGGTGGTTAAACATAGAGAGAGAGAAAAAATGTCATAGTATACAGCTGCAATAACAAAATCCACTGCTGAATAAGGGCTTTTCTTCTTTTTCTGACACTTGTACTTTACTCTTATACCATATAGATAGCCGTGGGTAATAGGTATGATCAAATGTTATTGATGAATCATACAGATAATATTGTTTGTGTATCTAGAATCTGATAAATGTAAAAGTATACAGACTTGTAAATCTCTACCAGATGGTGTTCTCTGGAAGTATTTAAAAGGAAAAACTTTAATGGTTAAGAATGATCTGTCACAGGGGCATCAGCAGGGGCATTTAGGAGTGGTTCCTGTACAGAAAAGGGGTGGGGGTGGGGATTGAAGGAGAAAGATACCTCTGCTTTTCCAAAAAAATTATAAATCAGCAATAAGGAGGAAATACAGTGTATAACCAGGAATATCTCAATTGTTGTCAATACTTTAATGATGCAGAACCATTGGAAGCCCATTCTTATAAAAGTTTCAAGTATCCTTAGGATGGCTTATTGAATTGACCCAAAGTCATTCCAAATGTACTTGAATGTGCTCATGATCATTTTAAATACCGGTAACACAATAAAATTGGATTTATTTTTTACAGTCTGTTAGAGTTTTGACAGCAGAAATATTACATTATATCTTTCTTATCATGAATTATGATAGCTGCAGAACTGTAGCTCTCTGGGTGGAAGTAACATCAAGTGTATCCTATAGGAAGAGGAGGGGTGGCAGTAACATCTAGTGTACCCTATAGGAAGAGGGGGGATTGTAGTAACATCAAGTATATCCTATAGGAAGAGGAGGGATGGGAGTAACATCTAGTGTACCCTATAGGAAGAGGAGGGGTGGGAGTAACATCAAGTGTATCCTATAGGAAGAGGAGGGGTGGGAGTAACATCTAGTGTATCTTATAGGAAGAGGAGGGGTGGCAGTAACATCTAGTGTATCCTATAGGAAGAGGGGGGATTGTAGTAACATCAAGTATATCCTATAGGAAGAGGAGGGATGGGAGTAACATCAAGCGTACCCTATAGGAAGAGGTGGGGTGGAAGTAACATCAAGTGTATCCTTTAGGAAGAGGAGGGGTGGGAGTAACATCTAGTGTATCCTATAGGAAGAGGAGGGGTGGTAGTAACATCTAGTGTATCCTATAGGAAGAGGGGGGGGACTGTAGTAACATCAAGTATATCCTATAGGAAGAGGAGGGATGGGAGTAACATCTAGTGTACCCTATAGGAAGAGGAGGGGTGGGAGTAACATCTAGTGTATCCTATAGGAAGAGGAGGAGGGGTGGCAGTAACATCTAGTGTACCCTATAGGAAGAGGAGGGGTGGCAGTAACATCAAATGTACCCTATAGGAAGAGGAGGGTTGGGAGTTACATCAAGTGTATCCTATAGGAAGAGGAGGGGTGGGAGTTACATCAAGTATATCCTATAGGAAGAGGAGGGATGGGAGTAACATCTAGTGTACCCTATAGGAAGAGGAGGGATGGGAGTAACATCAAATGTACCCTATAGGAAGAGGAGGGGTGGCAGTAACATCTAGTGTACCCTATAGGAAGAGGAGGGGTGGCAGTAACATCTGGTGTACCCTATAGGAAGAGGAGGGATGGGAGTAACATCTAGTGTTCCCTATAGGAAGAGGAGGGGTGGCAGTTGCATCAAGTGTACCCTATAGGAAGAGGAGGGATGGGAGTAACATCAAATGTACCCTATAGGAAGAGGAGGGGTGGGAGTAACATCAAGTGTACCCTACAGGAAGAGGAGGGGTGGGAGTAACATCAAGTGTATCCTATAGGAAGAGGAGGGGTGGGAGTAACCTAAAATGTACCCTATAGGAAGAGGCGGGTTGGGAGTTACATCAAGTGTATCCTATAGGAAGAGGAGGGGTGGGAGTTACATCAAGTGTACCCTATAGGAAGAGGAGGGGTGGGAGTAACATCAAGTGTACCCTATAGGAAGAGGAGGGGTGGGAGTTACATCAAGTGTACCCTATAGGAAGAGGAGGGTGGGAGTAACATCAAGTATATTCTATAATCCTATAGGAAGAGGAGGGGTGGTAGTAACATCTAGTGTATCCTATAGGAAGAGGAGGGGTGGGAGTAACATCTAGTGTATCCTATAGGAAGAGGAGGGGTGGGAGTAACATCAAGTCTACCCTAGGAAGAGGAGGGATGGGAGTAACATCAAATGTACCCTATAGGAAGAGGAGGGGTGGGAGTAACATCAAGTGTACCCTATAGGAAGAGGAGGGGTGGGAGTAACATCAAATGTACCCTATAGGAAGAGGAGGGGTGGGAGTTACATCAAGTGTACCCTACAGGAAGAGGAGGGGTGGGAGTAACATCAAGTGTATCCTATAGGAAGAGGAGGGGTGGGAGTAACATCAAATGTACCCTATAGGAAGAGGAGGGGTAGCAGTAACATCTAGTGTATCCTATAGGAAGAGGAGGGGTGGGAGTTACATCAAGTGTACCCTATAGGAAGAGGAGGGGTGGGAGTAACATCAAGTGTACCCTATAGGAAGAGGAGGGGTGGGAGTTACATCAAGTGTACCCTATAGGAAGAGGAGGGTGGGAGTAACATCAAGTATATTCTATAATCCTATAGGAAAAGGAGGGGTGGGAGTTACATCAAGTATATCCTATAGGAAGAGGAGGGGTGGGAGTAACATCAAGTGTACCCTATAGGAAGAGGAGGGGTGGCAGTAACATAAAGTTGACCCTATAGGAAGAGGAGGGGTGGCAGTAACATCTAGTGTATCCTATAGGAAGACTGGAGGGGTGGGAGTAACATCAAGTCTACCCTATAGGAAGAGGAGGGGTGGGAGTTACATCAAGTGTACCCTATAGGAAGAGGAGGGTGGGAGTAACATCAAGTATATTCTATAATCCTATAGGAAAAGGAGGGGTAGCAGTAACATCTAGTGTATCCTATAGGAAGAGGAGGGGTGGGAGTAACATCAAGTGTACCCTATAGGAAGAGGAGGGGTGGGAGTAACATCAAATGTACCCTATAGGAAGAGGAGGGGTAGCAGTAACATCTAGTGTATCCTATAGGAAGAGGAGGGGTGGGAGTTACATCAAGTGTATCCTATAGGAAGAGGAGGGGTGGGAGTAACATCAAGTGTACCCTATAGGAAGAGGAGGGGTGGGAGTTACATCAAGTGTACCCTATAGGAAGAGGAGGGTGGGAGTAACATCAAGTATATTCTATAATCCTATAGGAAGAGGAGGGGTGGGAGTTACATCAAGTGTATCCTATAGGAAGAGGAGGGGTGGGAGTAACCTAAAATGTACCCTATAGGAAGAGGAGGGTGGCAGTAACATCTAGTGTATCCTATAGGAAGAGGAGGGGTGGAGGTTACATCAAATGTACCCTATAGGAAGAGGAGGGGTGGCAGTAACATCTTGTGTATCCTATAGGAAGAGGAGGGGTGGGAGTAACATCAAATGTACCCTATAGGAAAAGGAGGGGTGGGAGTAATATCAAGTGTACCCTATAGGAAGAGGAGGGGTGGGAGTAACATCAAGTGTACCCTATAGGAAGAGGAGGGGTGGGAGTAATATCAAGTGTATCCTATAGGAAGAGGAGGGGTGGGAGTAATATCAAGTGTACCCTATAGGAAGAGGAGGGGTGGGAGTAATATCAAGTGTACCCTATAGGAAGAGGAGGGGTGGGAGTAATATCAAGTGTACCCTATAGGAAGAGGAGGGGTGGGAGTAATATCAAGTGTACCCTATAGGAAGAGGAGGGGTGGGAGTAATATCAAGTGTACCCTATAGGAAGAGGAGGGGTTGGGGTACATCAAGTGTACCCTATAGGAAGAGGGTTGGAGTAACAAGTGTATCCATAGGAAAAGGAGGGTGTTGGATTAACTTCAGTTCAGGATGTTTTTTTTTTTCAAGAATCATTGAAATTATGAACATTAATGTTACTGAACTTTTGAAGTTTCCATACAATATGTTGGGCATGGCAATATTTATGTCACGGTGTCAATGTACAATTTATTTATGTCCATCTTATCTTATATATCATGTTGGTGCATCCTTTGTTATTTCAGCTATATTTACAGCTATATTTATAGAGTGCAAAATGCTTATTACTTTTCCTGAGATAAAAAGAAAAGATAGAATTGTATCCACACACACATAGTTAAACTGATGATTTGTACTTTTACAATATGCAATCCAAACACTTTGCTACCTATTTTGAGAGGTATAATCATAATCTATGTTCTGTTATAGATGGGGAGGGGGGGGGGGGGGTTCAGACTCATGTAGTAACAACACGGCCCTTTCTTATCATGTACAACTCCAAGACAGCTGTCTAGGTACTACAGTGCTGTGGGCAATTAATATGATTATTTACTGCTGGAGTTCTTGTAGTAAATAAATTTGTTTATTTTCTCCTGCAATTTTTCTCAGTAACAAAATTTCTACAAGTAGTTTCCTTGTATGTTAATTTTGTCAAATACATTATTTTCAGGAGTGATTTGAATGTTCCAATAACTGAGGTGATGCTACACATGTATTGAGTCATAGTTAATTACATCAGAATGCATAAATTTTCAATGCACTTCCCTATGTATTCAGTGTGTACACGATTGGAAAATCGTAACAGGCAGGATATTATATTCATCCTGTATAACCTTTTCAGGCTATGATCGCATGGGAAAATTGCATAAATTACATTTTATTAATATTTCCTTGTGTTTCGTTTTTGGTCTCGTTAATGCTGATACTGAAAGGTGTAACATTTAAAAAAAAAGGAAATTTACCCGGTAAAAAAATAATTTTACTTTAAATTTAATATATATTACTTCTGGATATGTCAGGGAAACAGAAAAATATAGTTAAATCATAAAAAATAGAAATATATGGTAAAACCAGTTTGGAAAGAATAAAACTGTTTAATTTTTTTTTTAGTTACATGAATAAGGAGACAGGTGCGCTATAAAGAAAGTTTTAAGTTGTGCAAATGTCTTGCAGGCTTATATAATGTATGTTCAGGATGTGTTGTTTTTTTTTATAATGTGATTAATCTGCCCCTGTGCAAGCCACAGCTCCTATGTAAACTTTTGATAGAGAAGCACTGGATCGACCTGGGGCTGAAGACTGGGGTTGTTTATCAGATCATCTGCTTTCTTGATCTGGTGGGTGTCTAGGTGTTTACCTCAGACACACTTCAAAACTGGAAAACAGTTGATGTTTTCTCTCGACTCCATTAGGTTCATGTTTGAAAGATCTGCCCAAGTACAGAACTAAAGAAAGTGAAATGATTTTTGTTGAATGTAAAACTTATTTCTTTAATGATTTCGATCTATACTTTGTATGAGTTTTAAAAGAAAAATATTTATTTTGATCATGTAATACTCATTAATAGTATTTAAAAAAGGAGTTGGAAACTCTTGGAATGTAAATTATAAACACACATATGGTATGGAAGTTTTTTTTTTTTTTTTTTTTTTTTTTTTTTTTTTTTTTAATGTCAGACTACTATAGTACAGGTATATTCCATTTATCAGCTCACCTTGGCTATAGGCTCACATAAGATTACTGGTATATGTAGCTATGATATGTGTACATATAATCATATGTGAATATGTGTAAGGAATACTGTACATAAGAATAAAAAAAAGCAAACTTTTTCTCAAGAACAGTTTACTAGTCATTATCATGATTTTGAGCCAAATTACTTTGATGAAAGCATCCTCAGAGGTGCAGAATCAAGTTTATTCCAATTTTGGCCCCCAGGGATAAAGTGGGGCCACAATATGGGGCAAAAAATTATATGAATATAGAGAAGGCAAAAAATCTTTCATAAATCTTACAGTGCTCATTGTAACCCACCAGCCTCTTTTTGCTTTATTTTTAAAAAAAAAAATTATTACATTTTTAGTTGGACCATTCCAAGGGGCATTTGATGTGGGAAACCCAAAAGATTCGAGTCATCAAAGCTGGTACATTAGAAAAACTTGTTGAAAGTTTGGTCACAGCAAAAGGAGAGCTTGACTCAACATATGTCAACATCTTCCTAGCTACCTACAGAACCTTTGCTTCCCCTAAACAGGTTCTGGAAATTCTTATCAAAAGGTGGGTACTTAGCAGACGGGAAGCATCCATATTTCCTATAAAATAAGATGAATAATTTTTTTTTGTTGGTTGACAGATTAGCACCAAGAATACTTTCCTTTTATTTTTTTTAAAGAAGGTCAAGGTCATAATTACCAGTCTTGGTATTAGATAAAAACAAATTATACTGATTAATGACTGCTAAAACTTCCGCCATGTATCATTAAGCAATAAGCCTAAAGATTGCCTGAGTATAAATGTAAAATTCCTGATTCAAGGATTTGACCTTTTTTGGTCGTTTGCAGTGAGACTTAAGAAACATGTTCTTTTAATGATTGAAATACATTGAAAATTTAATGAATTTGTTATTATATGAATATTGCATGTAGTTGAGTGTAACATTGAAAATTTTCACCCCAAGAAAACCATTGTCAACCGAGGCGCAGCCGAGGTTGACAATGGTTTTCGAGGGGTGAAAATTTTCAGTGATACACTCAGCTACATGTACATGCAATATTTATTACCGTATATTATACTGAATGTTTTATACAAATGCATATAACAGTGAACAGTGCGCGCATAAATTCTGTGCAGTCACTGTTTTTTTGAAATATCACCCGTCATCAAGCACTGTTGACTGTTGCTACGCTGGAGGGCGTGGCTTCATTATTCAGCGGGAATAGTGTTTTTTTACAAATGTTTCTCAGCCAATCAGATTCAACTAATTTACATGAAAGTATAATATGGTTGCTTATGTCTTGGAAAGAACTTTATTCGGTAATAACCAATATTTGCCCCCCAAATCAAACTTTGATGGAGATATATTTAATTAAGTTCTTAAACAGGGGAGTATATGCTGACTTCAAAGCACTGAATATTTTCATAAGTAATGACGCCATATGTACGTAATGACGTCACAAACATGACGTAAATTTCAGTTTTTTATGAATTTTACGGAAAAATGTACATATTTCGTCGATATTTTGAGTAAAAGACACCGAGCGCATGCGTGTTCAGGATCAATATTTTGATATAATGTGTAGAATGATAATATCAATGAAATAATATGTCAATATTGTTCCTGAACAAACTTGCGCTCTATAAATTTTAAAGCTAAAATTGTTGAAATTTCGTCCATTTCGTCCACTTTCTGAAAAAGGATATAAAATCGGACTAGTTTGTGACGTCATAAAAACAAAAATTGTGAATACACTGCTTTGACACTATAATATTTTCTGTTAATTTATATTTCTCATACAATTTATTGAATTCAGCACATTTTAGGAAGTTTTCTTCAAAATTTGACTTTTGTGGGGGCAAATATATGCAATATACCGCATATAGTTCTTTATCATGTTCTTGACTCAAGGTCAGAGACAAAGAGATTTTTAAAAAATGTCTGAAATCTAACTTAGAATTGTTTTCTTTTGAAAGATTAGTTTATTGCTATCCATGGTACAGAGGTGTCTTCAAGGTCATATCAATATTCTGACAAGGGGTCAGTGATGGGTATAGAGGGACCTTGGGGACAATTTTCTCATTACATGAGCGTAGTGCTCTCAACTTTAAAGGCTGGTTTATTGTTATTATAAATTGCTGTGATTTATAGATATAAATGGCTGGAAAAGGACAGCAGTGAACACAAGGAAAAAAAAGAAAACAATGAAAACCAACAAAAGTGAGATTTCCATGTCATTTAACTTGTCCAAATATTGGTAAAAAATATTTTTTCTTTTTGTTTGGAAATCTTTTGTTGACTAAGAAGAAAATTTATCATTGTTTTTTTTTGTAGGACATTTAAGAATGTGATATCAGTGTGGATGGATACATACCCTGACGATTTCCGTGATCACCCCGACTACACATGTCTCACAGTATTAGAGTCTTTCTCACATCAGTTTATACCAGACAGTGACCTCGAACTGAGGGCTCGGCACAAAATAGAAAAATTTCAAAGAGAGGCTGTATCCAAATCAGGTTAATATGCAATTTGATATGTTCGGTTGTTGAACTTCAATATGTCAAACACAAATTGTCGACATGTCAAAAAGATTTGGAAGTCCCAGGTACCATGTATTTTACCTTCAGTATCTCACATCTTTGGATATCTTGAACTTGAAGTTTTTTCTTGGTTCTATTATGCTTGAGAAAACAATGTTATACTGTATAAATAATTTGGTTTGTTTTTCATTTCACATAACAATTTCAATAATAGTAAAACTAATTAGAGACAAATAACACATGCTTTGCGGTTTTAATTTGTGCGCAGTAATCTAAATTACATATTTTGTTCTCACACCTGCAGATGGAGGTATAAAATTTCAGTTCTCCATTGTGGATGAGGTTGATCACATGATTGATGCTGAGTACCAGAAGCCTCTAGAATTTCTAGACATACCCAATCAACGACTCGCAGAGCAACTCACATACAAAGATGCAGTAAGTTATTGTGGAAAATACCACCCCATCCCTTCCACAAAATGCATATCAGATTTTGTATCAATATCTTGCAAGCTTATGATATATGTTTACTGCAATACATGTACATGCAGCTCATTAGCATATAAATAATAATATATGCATAATAATGTCTTTTTTCTAGGAATTATTTAAAAGGGTCATACCCCACCACTGTCTGGGGGCTGTGTGGGCAAGGAGGGACAGGAAATTGGGTAAAGGTGGAACCATAGCCCCCAGTGTATTGGCCACCATTGAACAGTTCAACAGGGTGTCATTACGGGTAATAGCTACCATCTTGAGAACCAGGGACCTCAAGTCTTCACTGAGGGCAAAAATCCTCCAGAAATGGATTGATATTGCCCAGGTAAGTCAAGCCTGAAAACCAGGGACCTCAAGTCCTAACAAACTTACAGAGGGCAGAAATCCTTAAGTAATGAATTGATATTCCAGGTAATTCAAACAAAGCTATCACTGAAAAGAACTCTTTATATGATGGATAAGTTAGGTTTAAATGATTGTGTACATGTAGAGGATAAATGTATGGTGTATATTTAATTTTATTTATACAGGAGTTAAGACAGCAGAAGAATTTTTCCTCTTTGAAAGCCATCATATCTGGACTCCAGTCTCATTCAGTGTATCGTCTGAAGAGGACCTGGGCCTCACTTCCAAAGTAAGATAAACCTCTAGAATTCAAATTGTCAACAATTGTTGTGGTAAATGTTCATCTATATTCATTTAACCCAATACAGGGCTTCTTAAGAATTGAAATAGCAGGGACATTATACATGTTAGAATGGGGTTTAGAGTTCCTCCCCTTACAGGGGGTTGTGGGGGGAATACCAGAATAACTGGAATATTAAAGCAGACTTGACTTCCCCTTCCCCAGGTCTTAGGGACAACCTTGCTAATATCCTTACTTTTCATTTAAAATTGGGTTTTCTTCTGGGAATAGGACAGATGCAGAGGGGAAATAGATAAATGATCACCTAGTGCTTATAAAATTTTTGTGTTTATATGTCATCCTAACAAATTGATGCTTGCAGAATGATTCCACTTTAAGTAACCTCAGAGTACTTAAATTTCTGATTGCTTTTGAGATTGGCAGTCATGAGTTTTTACGGTAACCCAATACAATCTTTAGCATCTCCTAAAAGTGCTGCACATGCAGTTTAGCAGGTGAAGTTGAAATATTTCATTTGTCTGTCTTCCAGAGAGAGCATAGATTTATTTCAAGAGTTGGCAGACATCTTTAGCAACGACAATAACCAGATTTTATCTCGAGAATTACTCATGAAAGTAAGATTGTGTGTTTTGTATGCCAAGGTCGTAGCTTTTTTATCTATTGCAGTTGAAATTTCTTTTTATCATATTTTTTTTTGGATCTGCTGTATACCTGTGTTTTGTCATCTGTAGGAGGCTACAGCAAAGTTTCCCGATCTCGATTCCAACAATAAGATACTGAGGAGACGAAATCTACAAAAACGCAGGTCCTGGATAGAAAACGTAAGTAAAGGAGTCTGAAAATAAATTGACAGAGATCCAGATAACAGCTGATATGTTATGTAATGAGAATTTAATCACATTATTGCTGTCTCATCTTGTCAGAAAACCTATAAACATTGGTATTATTTACTGGATTCTGAAGGAGAAAGTGATTAAGGAGTTACTGGGTAGAATATACAGTCAGCTGATTGCAGTTGTCGGGAACATTAAACATGTAGATGAAACTGTCAGAAATAAACTAAATAAAGACGATGAACAGAAAAAGGAGATTTATTGACTCTCAGGCTTCAAAGCATATCCAAGATAATGCTAAAAAAACAAATTTATAAATTTATAAAGAGAATTTTTTTTACAGAAAATTCCTTGGTGTAATTTTGTAATCGGTCTTGTTCCTTTCTCTAGGGGATAGTTCAAGGTACCGTTCCATACTTAGGGACCTTTCTGACAGATCTAACCATGATAGACACAGCTATTCCGGACCGCACCGAGTGCGGACTGATCAACTTTGAAAAGCGGAGGAAAGAGTTCGAGGTGCTAGCCCAGATCAAACTGCTACAATCAGCGGCCCAGATCTATAATTTCCAGGAAAACAAACAGATTTGGTCCTGGTTTGATTCTGTGCGGGTCTATGATGAAAGTGAATGGTAACTTTGATTTCCTTATTTCATGATCTTAAATCTAGGACTGTGGAGTCATTTTGATTCATGGGGGTCAATGCTCAAGGACAGCCAACATTTTACTGCTCTGTGGGAATGTAATTTCATTGGTATATGAGATGTAAAATGATGCAATATATTGATAAAAGTAGTTTTCTTTGGGAAATAAATTGATGGGAAGACACAAAATTTGTGAACAATGGTCCAAGAACTATGATGATTTCACAATATTTAAACCCTAAAATACTAATCAATTAAAAAAAGTTAAAGGAATGAAATAATGAATCTATAATGATTTAATAGTACATGTATTAATAACCCAAATTGGAAATTTATAATACAAATGTTTAATTTTTTCAGACAGTAAATTTAATTGATTAAAAATTTAATTGTTTTAGCCATGACATGTCTTGTTTGATTGAACCTGTCAAAGAAGGCCCTGGTCGTTTAAAGAAGAAATCGGCAAGGTAAATATATATCATTATTGTTGGAAATAGTTCGATATATGGGTGTTGTGATTTGTATTGCATTGAAAAGTGTTGAAATTGAATGAATTATTTGTCACGATACAGTCACATTTAAGATTGAATGTCTTCCAGTTATTCAAGTTTGCTCAAAGTTGTCAAAAATGGTGATAAGTAAGTAGGCCTTTCCTTCTGCAAACTGTCACTGTATTCACTACTTACCATATAATGGGTAATTTCTGCAGCTGTTCAAGTTTCCAAGTTTCATCAAAATCCATTGAAAATGAAATTACAAGATATTCCAAAGCCCATATTTTTGGTACTTCTGATATGACTTCAACTTCCAGAAATGGTAAATGCAGATGGTTGAAATTTCAAAATACCCCGGTAATTTTTTTGGAAGAACTGATTAAAAAATATTTGAAGCAGAAATTGTCATTAATGGGGTGTAACAAGAGAATAGCAACATCTGATAAAAAATTGAACTTTTTTACAAGTTCTGTTTTATTGGAATGACTTCACTGGAAATGGTACAAGGTGTAAAATAAAACGTTTTGGAGATTATAATTGCATGCTATTGTCTTTTGTTGAACACTTACACATTTCTACAGAGAGTTTTGTTCATTTGATTTTGTTGGCAACTTAATACCAACATCTTTTTACAGTATGTGAATTGAAAAAAAAATGATTTTGTTTGTAGACTAATTTATCGTTCAACAACAAAGCAAGTTCAGATATTTGACAGTGACACTATAGCAAACAACATTTATTGTCTTTTACAATCTGAATACTATTTTTGCAAGTTTTCATTGTTCTTCATGCTGCAAGTTAAGGCAGCTCCTTTATACATGTACATGTTGAAATAATATGCTACAAATATTCATATACATTACAGACTTCTAGCTTATAAATCAATTCAACTGTGTAATTTTCAAGTTTATGTGCATGTGTAATTGATGAAGACATCTAGCTTTCTCTATGTCAACATTATAAATTTCTCCTCTGGATTTTTTTTACCATCTTATATTCCCATGTATAAAAATAATACAAGAGAATAATACAAAAATAATACAAAAAAAGTATATTTTTAATGACCAAATTTGGAACCCTCAAAATCTAGCCAAATTATCTAAAATCCTCACAAAAAAGTATATTTTTAATATATTTTATTTTTTAGAAATAATACAAAAATGATAGAATTGATTGGTTACATTGTATTATTTTTGTACTTCTGTATTATTTCTGTATTTTTCTTTCAAAGTATGAAAATAATACAGTGGTCAAAAAAGTATGAAAATAATATAAAGTGTATTATTTTTGTATTTTTACCTGAGAAGAAATAAAACTACAGAAAAATATGAAAATAATACAGTGTTCAAAAAAGTATGAAAATGATATAAAGTGTATTATTTTTGTATTTTTACCTGAGAAGAATTAAAACTACAGAAAAGTACAAAAATAATACAGTGGTCAAAAAAGTATGAAAATAATATAAAGTGTATTATTTTTGTATTTTTACCTGAGAAGAATAAAAAATACAGAAAAAATACAAATGTATTATTTCTGTACCAGTATATCATTTTTGTATTTTTTATCTGGAAAGAATTAAAAATACAGAAAAGGTAGATTATTTTTGTATTAGTGTATTATTTTTGTATTTTTTATCTTGAAAAAAAAAAATATAAATGTATTATTTTTGTATCAGTATATTATTTTTGTATCAATAATATATTTCTAATGTATTTTTCATCTTTAAGAATTGCTATTCAAAAATACCATTAAAATACAAAATTAATAGACAAAAAGTATATTTAAAAGCTTGAAATAATACAAAAAAATATAAAATTAAGTTTGAAAGGTCTAAATTTATGGATGAATTAAATTTTAACATTAAAAATCTCAATGTTGATGAAGTTTCTGAAAGCAGGTCAAGATAAGTATTTGAAATTCTTTAACCCAGTAAAAAAAAATTTATGAGAATAAAACCTTGAGCTAGTCATTAGGTACAAATCACTAAAAGTAAATAATATGGCTTTAAGTGCTGAATTAGCTACTTATAGTATAATGAACTTGATTTTTTTTGTCTTACATACAGTATTCACTCTTCTTATCCTTTTTTAAATTCCTAATTCATGTTTTACCAATCTTATTGTCTGTGTTCTACTTTGTACATTGTACATTTGTCATGATATTTGAGACTTAAAGTCTAGATCTTCTTTCTGCTTTGGTGTTTCTTCTGCACAGCACTTTACTTTGTTGCAGAAGTACATCTCCAGTTTTCTCATTCAATCATCCTGCTTGGTCGCGGTTACACACCTGTAGTGCTTCAAAGGGGGGGGGGGTATTCATCTTAACTAATCAGCTTTTCTTCAACCGGTCTGCCGAGTGACTAAAACTGTAAAAGTAATAATACTGTTAAATGTTTTGAAGAACAGAGAGACAAATATAGAACATTAAAAAAATGAACATTTCCCCCCCCCCCCCCCCCCCCCCCGCCCATATTGCCTTATTGGGGGTGCATTTGATTAGGATATCTTTAAGTAAAATACTTAGTATAATTCATATAAAAAATATTAGTTTATCCAACAACTGTTTAGTGAAAGAAATTTTTAGTTTTTGTAGACTTTTCCCCCCCCCCCCCAAATCCTGGATCATCCCTACTAAAGTAAAGCAGTCTCGAGTTTAAACAGATGCCTTTATTTATTATTAAGACACAGAAAATTCTGTCTGCATGTTCATAATAGAAATAAATAAGTATACTAAACTATAGATCCATGAAGCTTATTGCAATTCTCCCCCCCCCCCCCTTTCAAAATTAAAATGATTTTATCTGTTATTAGTCCATTTTCATGGCATGTGTGAAATTAATTTTGAAGTAGTTTTAGTCTATCTGAATAATTTCACTTGCCATTGAAAGTCCTTCATACAATTCGATCTTGAAGTTGAAACTAGCATATAACAAAACTATCTTTCACAATAAGACCAATATATCCTCTTTTATTTTGACCTACTATGATTTGGTTATTAAAGCTTATACCTTTATTAATCTACATTGCACTTTAAAAAAAAGTAAAACTACCGTGATGTTTTGTGTAAACTCTTAGTCTTACCGCATGTGGCGTTGTTTACACCAGGAAAGCCAGGGCCGGCATTGTGCTTGAAAAACGCCAACCTCCTCCTGTTTTCGCTTTTTTTGCTGATGTTCATCCTTACATGCTGAAGTTAAGCATCTATTTTTCAATCCATTTTACCGGCGAATATTCACTAATTTATTCAAAACATCAACAACTCTCTTAGCATGGCTCGTCAATCTATTTTTCAAAATGGCGTGGGTAAATTTCCGTTAGCCAATCAGAGAAAAGCTAAGAAAAAATTTAAATTCTGACCAATCAAATTGTTCGATATTTACGAAGATTTCCTATTTTTAAATAGAAAATATTTTAAACAGTTTAAAAAGATGTATTTACGAAGTCTAAAAATAGTACAGAATCCTTTTAACAAACCCAAGATCATTATAGGAATAATTATTAGGAATCATTTCTTCAAATCGTAACATTTTTGTTCCTACGGAATTTTCCGATTACAAACAGAGAGATTTCCGGTCGGCCATATTGTTTGTTTGTTTGTTTTGTTTTTTTTCTTTTTATAATTATTCAAGTTGACCTGTGAAATAGACCATAAAGTTCAACAATTAGGATCATATAACGCGGGGAATATACAAACATGTTTGCAGCTTTACAGTCGCGGTGAAATAGAAATCGTCAGTTATATTTATTACAAGCATTTTCAGAAATTATCCAAAATAGAACTAGGCATCAGCCATGTATGTCTTCAGTAAATAATCCTAAATGTACTGTATTAATTACGTAAGATAATCATGATAATGTTGCGAAGAAGAGTTTATTATTATTATTTTTTTTGTAGAATACACAGATTTTGATATATTACGTCGCCACATACTTAAGTTAATTTTATTTCAGCAAAGTAATTGTGATATTGTTTTAACATACTTAGTATTTCATTTGTTAACTCTCAATTATTGAGGCCGATAAGTATAAGATAAGGTAAAATTACACAACAAGTGTTCAATGTGTCATAATCAACACTATACGAAAGATTCTAAACTGATCCCCGATTTTTAAGAAAGAAAATAATTCAAGCAATTAAAAGAACAGCAAATAATTAGCCCCATTACTGTAAAAACAATGCTTTAGAGTCGGTACACAATTTAATTGCCTGAAGGGGTGTGGAGAGATAATCATCAAGTGACAAGCGCACGTGTACACAACATTGGCTTCAGCCAATTACGGTAGTAAATCTACTGATTTTACGACCATTTCTGCACTTGTACATTATAAGACCGTTTCAATAAATTCATTAAGGCTAATTTAAAATATAATTGTCATTCATTACTGCAAAATATCTCAAATCTGAAGAAACATCGTATGTACAGAAATACTGATAGTTGTGCACAGGTAAATCACGTGATTTCTACATTGTAGTATGATGCAATCATTTGTAAGCCTGCAAGGCCACCTGCTGCACGAGATTGGATGTAAACCCGCTGTAAAAATGTAAACCCTCTGTAAAATCTTCAACTTAATCAGCTGAAGATGGAGACATTTCTTTAGATTACCATTGATATAACTGAATGGAATTAACAAAAATTTTAGTACCAATTAATTTTTAAGTTCGATTTGGATACCAAGATACCTTTTAAAAAAATAAATAAAAAAAAAAAAAAGAAATGTTCAAAAATGCTACAAACTAGTACCGGTATCTAAAACCAGCAGAATATTTGCAAGGAATTTCTCTAAAATTTATAAAGTTCATAAATACAATATTAATTTAAACCCCCCCCCCCCCTCCTCAAAGAAAAAAAAGAAAACAAACAAAATATACAGACTAACTATGGAATTTTCTGTAAATGTACTAAAATCAAATTTGATACAAAATAAAAAAAAAATACTGACCATCTTCCTGTAAAATTACCAAGTCCAAATTTAATACAAAAATAATATAGTCTAAATTTAAGGACTTTTCTGAAAAGTTACAAAGTCCAAATTTAATATAAAAATAATACAGACAAATTCTGTAAAATTAAAAAGTCCAAATTTAATATAAAAATAATACAGTCAAACTTTCTGTTAAATTACTAAGTCCAAATTTAATACAAATATGATACACTCTAGCTGTAGAGATTTTACTGTAAAATATATAAGTTCAAAATTGATACAGAAAAAATACAGTTGGAAAAAACTAAGTCCTTAAAAATACAAAAATAATACACTGAAAATAATCTAAGTTCAAAAAAATACAAAAATAATACACTGCAAAATATCAAAGTCAGATTTTAATACAAAAATAATATACCCATTTTTTGTGATAGGAAAATAATATATTTTTTCTGTATTATTTTAAGAAAGTACAGAAATGAATGTATTAAAAGTATATTAAAAATATACTTTTCTGTATTATTTTTTGATATGGGTTTGTATACATATTTACAGCAATAGCAATTCTCCATTAAAATACAAATTGATTAAATTGATAATATCATTAAAAAGGACCATGTGTAAGTCTAAACCGCTGTAATGATTTACTCTTAGTAGAAAAATAAAAACAGTGCTTTGATATATTAAAATTCTAGTTTTTAATTTTGATTTTCTATTCCGCAAAAAGTTTGTGTACTGGCCTTCTGGCCCCATTATGATTGCAGTAAGCTCAGCCTATTGAGTTTTGGCCTGGATAATTCAATTGTCTATTATATTATTAATTCATGATTTTTTCCTTCCCCACAGTTTGGGTACCCGCCCGCCCCGTTACGAGGGCAGTAAGCTGTCCCTGTTGAGTTGTGGTCTGGATAATTCCAGCGTCTGTAGTTCTAACATGGACTCCCCCGCCTCTCCCTCACAAGGGGTAAGTACTATTCATACGTCATGGATATATCAAATCAGCAATGAGAACTATTTGCTAAAGAGGAGTTTTAAACAAAAATTTCCCCCCTATGATCATATTTCAAGTAGTGGTTTGAAAGTTTCCTGTCATTGAAACTATTCATATATGATTGGATAGACAATGAAAATTCAATATGTTAATAATCTATTAAGATTGCATAATATTAAGATTTTTAAGTGCTAACTAGCAGGTGCTTTTCAATTCCCTCAACCTTCACTATTTTTATTGTCTTCCTTGAACTATTATAATTTTATATTTTGGGATAGATATTTCTATATTTAGATATATCGTACTTAATTGTTTCTATATTTAGATGTCCCACTCCTCCTCCACTTCCTCTCTTCTGTCATGTGACAGTGACACGACCGTGTCGTCACCATTCCGATCTTCCGACACCTGTGTCATTAAAGTCCGCTTTGAGTCCGGACCTGAATCAGATACTCATGTCTACAAAAGTATAATGGTGAGAAATCTTTCATTTTTGAAAGGGAAATATTCACGTTCAATTATGAATATTTTAATTTCTTAATATATAAATTATTAAATTACATATATACTTACATTATATGTTTAGATATTTTTAAAAGATTCAGAGATCCATAGTAATAATTTGATTTTTTTTCTAGTAAAATACTGTATGTTGATTGTTTTTAGAAACATATCTATAGAATTATATATAAAATATTAAGATATTGAGAAGATTATTAACTGTTTATTCTCTTTTTTTACTTGCATAGATCACTTCATATGTGCTACATTTTATTTTCATGAGAAAGATTCTATTCAAGTTTTGTTTTTATACTTCAGTTAAAGAATGCGGATCACACGCACACTGTGATAGATAAAGTATTGGACAAATACTCTAAAAAAGGTCCGTCCAGTAACTACTGTCTACTGCAAGTTCTGTCTGATGGAGGTAGGTCAGCGGCAGATAACTCTGTATAAGCTGACAAAAGACTTTCTCAAGATTGTTTTGAAAAAAATTTAATATTCCCTAAATGATTTTTTTGCCTCAAAAGCAATGGGAGATAAATGAGGATGCATTTTAACAATATACTTGTATATCTTAAAGTTATGTCATGCAAGTGAAATTAACTTTTTTTTTTGCAGAATTATTAATTCCAGAGAAAGTGAATGTGTTTTATGCCATGAACAATAGTGGTGGTTCTGAACCGGTGTTTGTAGTGAGAACCAAGCAGGACCACGAAGCTCGCATACAGCACAGGAAAAGGGGGCGGCGGAAACTCAAAAACTGGAGTCTCTGATTGGTTCATACTCTGTCCATTCAGAAAGCAGGTGTAAATTTCATGGTGCAATCATGCTCTGGTCTCACAGTTCATCATCTGCAGCTATTTTTTGTGTGCAATATATGATGTAGGGGTAATTTAATTATAGATTTATGTCATATCTACAGTAAAATTAAATATAGCAATTTTGAGAAACATGAAGTGGTAAAAAGGAAGATGGCAAACTGCTCTAGTACTGTAGATTCCTTAATTTATGTGGGTTCTGAATATAATGAAAAGATTCTGAGATGTCAAATTACAAGATTCTTAATTCGCAAGTGTGTCACTGTTTATAGCAAGTGTTTACAATTATTTTAGCAATAAAAATTTTTATTTGGCCAGTGAAATTACGCAATTATAAACTACTTTCGTATATTCAGGGTCTACAATATTGTGTGCAATATTAATGAGTGAAGACTGCCACACAAATATTTGAAGACTTTGTTCTAGAATTCCCTTATCTGTCTCTCATTGTAACAAACACATTCAATGTAAACTCCTTGTAAAAGCATATACAATTTTGGTGAAAAATCTGATGATGTCTTATGTATTGAATAAAAAGTTTATACTTTTGCAGCATATCTATGCAGGTGTAGATTTCATCATCAGTTTCTATGTTGTGAAATTAAACTTGTGTGTTGTTTTATCATATCGTCTTTCAATGTTAGACAAAAAAGTAATTTTTACCAGTATTGCTGCATAGGTCTGTATTTTGGTAATATCATAGTCACAAAATGTTCATGGAAATACAGGTATAGTTTTTTTTGTGTGTGTTTTTAAGAGGGAGATTTGCTTTTAACATATGTGCAAAATACCTGAAAAGTATTTGTTAGATGATGTGATAAACATAAAGTTATAGACATAAAATTAGAAAGAGAGTAAAAATCAAGCAAATTTGATTGTGTTAGTAAATTAAGTCTGAAATGATTGCAATATAAACAGAGAGAGATTACAAAGAGATCACAAGAATGATATAAAAGAAGATTTCATATTTTTCACATTACATTTGTTTCCACAGTCAGATATGTTTTTGTTTCAACAAAATTTAAAACCTCTGTAATAATGATCAACCCACCATAAAAGGGCTTAAAATTCTGTAACATAATATTTTAAAAATGTAAATGAGCTTTGATAGAGTGGGAGTGCAGTGTGTATGATTTTTTGCCCACGGGCATCTTGTTTTTTAATGCGACAGGGTGATTCATAATTTTATATGTAGAGCACACAATATTTATCAATTATTTTAATGATTAACTTTCTGAGAGGCACATTTTGAAAATGTACAGTATTTTGTTCTTTAAAGAGTCAACCACAATGCTGGTTTTGACTGACATATGAAATGGCTATAATAATTATATACGTCACTGTACGTCTTAGAATATATATATTATATGATATAATATATAATAATTATGTTCTGTATGGTTGTGATAAATAATATCCTAAATGCTCTATGACTAAACAGTAACTTATACCTGTAACATAGCCAGTATTTGAATTTTGAGGAAATTATGTCTAGTCAGTAGAGGTGTATTGTTTTCCAAGCCCACCGACGGTTAATTTTTAATACGAGGTACATCATATCTTTTCGATACCCCAATTAGTTCATTTTTAATAGTGCAAGTGTATTTTTTTGAAACCCACCAATGGTTCATTTTTATTAACTGCTGATGATTAATTTAATTAAAACTATTTTACAGTTCTAAAATTTTGGAAAATTAATGTGTTCCAAATTTGTAGACATCAATATTTTATAAAATGTAGTACTGTTTTCTATTAATTTTTTTTAAATGTATATTTTTACGTATACATTTAAGACACAGGTGCTTGATCTTTTTTGTATTTATGTTTAGAAATCCAATCAAATTGCATGTTTGTCAGCATAGGATAAAAAGAGTGTTCGTTTCTTTTTGTTCAAATAATGTTATCTGAGTATTTATTATTTATTTCACAAACTTTTTAAGTAATGGATATTAAATAGATTTTTTTAAGGTCTGTGAAATTAATTTGCAATTTCTAATTGTAAAAAGAGATTCAAGCACTTTATTTAAAACTACCGATCGTATATTCAAATTGGCAGCACCCACCAATTAATATCAATCTTAATTTTTCTGTTCATTGTTAAATTTGTTTCTGTACACGTTTTTTTCTGTTTTAAATTAATTTAAATAAGTTTCACAACACAGATGCGTATACATGTAATTCTTTCAACAAAAAATATCCCTTCAACAAAACAAACTTTTTAACTAGATGTACATGTACGATACAAATAATATCAACATTTGTATGGTATAAATTTTAGAGGGTGGGCAAGATAGGAATTCTCCAGCAAATTATTTTTGTCAGAAATAATACATCTAATGGGTATGAAACATACTTGTAATAACCTCACAACAATGTGGATAATGAGCTTAACTTGTACAAGTTAAAGTAATTGCCACAATGTTGTTATAAGGAGGCTAATCGGTACAGGATCAAGGACTTTTGTAGGAATTTCCTATAAAATGCAATAATTGTAATGTTATAAATAAATATTAATATAAAATATTGCTATTGTTGTTTTATCACATCTATCACCAAACACCAAGGGTAGGGGATTTATCGTCATTCAAAAGTGACTATATTTTGATTCATATTCTTCCCAAGGATACAGGCAGAAAATGGTGTAACTGTTTGATTCACAGTCACCAACATGGAGAATTTTAAGTTTCCATCATTCCAGTGAAAGGTTCCAAAATAATAGCTCAGAATGGAATGTGTAAGATGTACAAGCAATTGGCTGAGATGCAATATTCTTAGAAGCTAACTGTCTTATGAAAGGTCAAGGTCACTAATTTAATGGAACAACTTTGATTTATTAGGAAGATATTCAGACAGACTTACTCTGTTGCCCATGACTTTAAGCTGTGTTGCAGTCTATATTTAAAGTCATATATGTATCACAGAGATGTGTCTCTGCTTGGAATTGAACTCGGGAGCACAGTTCATTGCTCTACTGTATTTGAGGATAAAGATTAAACCACTAGGCCACCCTACATGTTGAAGGAAGCCATGCATCACACACTACCACATATATATATATATGTAAATAAGTTGCAAGATGTCAGAACTCCAGGGTTCTGGAAATATGAACATAATAGCAGATGCCCCAAGATTAGAATTATTGCAAATGGTTCATATTTCTTGTAATGTTCCAGGGATTAGATATCATGCTGAGTAAGACTTTAGGTGAACCTTTCAAATACTCTAGTATTTTAACAATATCCTTCCTCGCACTACTTGGCTATATATACCTCTAGTTCACAATATATTTTAAATCCATGAGGAATGAAATTCACTTTGCTATAAGCATCAATTCATTATAAGCATGTTTGATAGAGACATTTTGCTGTAACAATACAGTATTCTGCAGTATTGTTCCTTTCTTTGGTCATTCATTATCACACTGCTTGGTTGTACTGCCATTATAAAACCACAGCTCTTCATCACTTCAGAAGGAACAATATTTGTCAAAACAAGTCTATATTTCCACTTATGTCAAAAGTAGTATTAATGGATCCAATGGGCATCCATACAAATACATGTATTCGTATGAAAATTTCAATGTTTTGTTTTTTTTTTCCCTAGCTATAGATGTATTCTTCTTGTGATTTCAATTACAGTAGCATAGTGCTTTTGCACTGAGTCCTAACCACTTCCTATTTTAAAATGTATTATCCATAGCAGTAATGAGCCAACAGCATAACTTTCTGAATGTTTTTATTGTAAATAAAAACATATCCATCTAAAATCTAAAATGATTCAAAATAAAATGAACTTTGTATCTGCACATGTGAAATTTTGTACATTGTTTCGAACAAAATGGATTTTTTTTTTTTAAATTGAACTCGTACATGTATATGACCAACAAATATTTGATAAAGAACATATGACTACATGTATTTCTAATATCGGACATTGTCACATATTGCTGCAGCACACTGCATGATTAAAAAATCTCCATAGAAATTGAGATACAAGTATTAGCAATATTTACTGTTTGATAACATGAAATAAGAAAATGAAATAAAATTTAAGAAGTACCTAATGGAATTAGGAGAAACACTTCTTATCCAACATCAAATACTGAAATACCTTGAAGACCAACTCTTTAACTGAACAATGCAAATCTGTGAAAAACAGTCTTTTTTTAAGTGATGAAGAATAATGATGAAACAATCATGTGAATGTATTACACAGTTTTGATCCCATCCTTGTCTTTTTAAATGATACACAATGTAAACGTACAGTATATGAGACCACAGTGAATAAAAAGTTTTAAGGCATCCATATAACAGCTACTCTAACCAGAGATCAGGAATCATTCCTTGCATCAACTTCCTCTCTATCTGGCGAGGCGTCATCAACGTCCCTGTGACGCTTGGAGTGTGATTTATGCTTAGAATTACGCTCTTTGGACCTAGATCTATGCTTGTGCTTTTTTTCTTTCTTCTTCTTTTTCTCTCTGGATCCTGACCTTGACCTCTGTGCTCTTGCCTGCATTCTTTCCTTGCTCCTGGACCTTGACTGATGCTGTGACCTTTCTTTACTTCTTGATCGATGCTTAGGTCTTTCTTTGCTTCTTGATCTGTGGCCTCTCTGCCTCTCTCTACTTCTTGATCTGTCACTCCTTTTGTCTCTTTCCTGTCTGCGACGTTCTCTCTCAAGTTCCCTGGCAAAGTCATTACGAGGTGACCTTGACCTCCTTCTAGACTGTGAATATCTAGGTGGACTCCTTCGTCTGTAAGGTGACCTTGACCGATGTCTTCTAGGGGACCTTGACCTTCTTTGGACAGGTGACCTAGATCGATGTCTGCGAGGTGACCTTGACCTCCTTCTGGGAGGAGATCGTCGTGGAGGGGTACGTCTGTATTCAGGTGATCTATCAAAATAACAACATCAAAATTGATAATCTTCCCCAAATATTAAAATACACGGTTATCATTTACTTTAACATGGAATAAACAAAGAAATGTTGCTGCAAATGAAAAGTTGATAACCTCTCCCAAGCAATGACATTGTTATCTACTTTCAACTCTGGCTCAAATTTTAATTTTATTTAAAAGATATGTACCTATTTCTGTGATGAAGATTTCTTTCGGCTTCACCAAATGAGACTTCCCCGTCGGGGATGTGCCTTGGCCTCCTGTACTCCTCTGGTTCCTCTTCCTCCTCCTCTTCATAGGTCGGTGCCTGGGGCGGCCTCTCCTTCAGTTTCTGCATCAGATCCTTCTGCACAGGAACTGGAATTCTGGGAAATAGGGTGCAGTACCATTCCAGTTTTACCATCCACTGGCGAAGTACCTCTCCAATAGTCATTTTGTGTCCACCTCCTGCCTTTACATCTATTTCCTGTAAAATATCCAGGCACAAAACTTGAATCTGGATTACATCACATGGATAATTAACAGGTGTTGCTCTAGACTCTTGCACAAAGAAAATAAATATGATGTACTTAATAATAATACAAGAAATCCTCTTTAATATTCTCTACATTAAAAAGTCATTTCATGTTAAGAAATGCTCCGGAGCAATTGTTTTAAAATCCAAGATGCATGTACATATTTCTTGAAATATATCTTCAAGTGAAGAGTTCAACTACTCAACAATTGATGTGCCATATTGGTACAACTGCATTACATATATAGTAAACTGCATTTTCAAATTGAAAACATGGATGCAAATGCTTTAGAATTTCATTCCAAATGTTCCATTATGTTGCATGTATAATATTTTTCCTTTCCCAGAAATTTCAAACAATGATGATTTTACAGCAAAAATAATTTCACTTTTGGAGTTGTAAAAAGCAATCTAATAAGCCCTATTCATGCAACATCATGGGATACAAGATTGACCTTAATATAAGATGAGATGACTGGAAATTTCACAATCTACAACCAATTCTAAATACATCATTACATGTATCTCATATGTATGAACATTGATAACAAGGTATGGTGAATATCTTAACCTCTTTGGGACGCACGCTGTAATCTGGTATCAGGCCTCTACATCACAGAGACTAGAGCTAACACCCTGTAGTATACAAATAGCAGTCAAAACATACAGCAAAATAAAATATTTTTTACATCATTTTAATATTATTAGTATATAAAAAAATTATGAAACAGATTTCCTACTTTTTAATAAAATTATAGTGACTGAGCTACAAAATAAATCTTGTAAATGCATATTTGAAATTAATCTGAGTCAAGTGATTTTGAAAGTGAAAGTAGGAAACTCTGTTTCTGGTACATTACCCGGTTTTTGGCAGACAAGCTGTCCTTTCATACCTCCTCATCATCCAGATAAGGCTCGTACCAGTCCCACATCTCCTTAGGGTCCTGGCAGTATCTAAAACACAAATAAAACAGGGTCACATTATTCACATTCATCTTTTTTTTTTATTGTAACACGCATATTAAAGTACTGTAACAAGTATATAACAAGAGATGTTTGTAAAACACTTATGCCCCCCCCCTCTCCTCCTCCAAATAATTGGAATTTTTCTAAGTTCAAGGGACATAACTCTATCAAACAAGAGGCCCATGGGCCTTATAGGTCACCTGAGCATCATGCAACAACTTTCAAATGATTGAATTTGGTTCATGTTTTCAGCCAGATGCTATGGCATTCACAATTTTGAAAGAGGCACCATTGATTATCATAACTATACACTTACCAATTGCTTCGTTTGTTTACTTAATACAATGTACCCATCAGCAGGATAGGGGAACAAAAATGTATGTCAACTAATCAGTAATATTCAGCAATAATCAGGAGTTCCCTTACCACACATGAACCCCTGACCCTAGGTCTACACATTGCACAATTTTTGAAAAGGCACACTTGCTTATCAAAAATGTTCAATTAATACCAAGGAGCAGATTTCAAACAATTCATTTTCAGTATATAGAAGTAGAGCCCCCCCCCCCCCCTCTTCCCCCGTCTTTGGCATCCCTCACCCAGGGGCCTTGAAATTCACAATTCTGAAAGAAGAGCGCTTGCACATCATAACTATATAAATAGTTCATCTGCTTATTACCCAGGAGTAGAGAAAAAGATTTTCATATATGTAATGTATTATAACCATATAATCATGATAGAGCCACACCCTAACACCATAATCCCTGACCCTGGGGCCATAAAATTCACAATTTTGGTAGAAGCGTTCTTACTCATCATAACTATGTCCTTAATTAGTTTATTTAATACCTAGGAGTAGAGAAGACGCTTTTCAAAGAATAAATGCATTTTCACTATATAATCAATAGAGCCCCGTCTTAACACCAGAACCCCTGACCCTGGGGCCATAAAATTCACAATTTTGGTAGAGGCACTCTTGCTCATCATAACTATGTACTTAATTAGTTTATTTAATACTCAAGAACAGAGAAGAAGATTTTCAAAGAAATAATGCATTTTTACTATATAATCAATAGAGCCCCGCCCTAACACCAGAACCCCTCACCCTGGGGCCATAAAATTCACACTTTTGGTAGAGGCACTCTTGCTCATCAGAACTATGTACTTAATTAGTTTATTTAATACTCAGGAACAGAGAAGAAGATTTTCAAAGAAATAATGCATTTTCACTATATAATCAATAGAGCCCCACCCTAACACCAGAACCCCTGACCCTGGAGCCATGAATTTCAGAATTTTGGTAGAGGACTCATTGCTGATTACAATCATACCAACAGTTTGACTGCTTGATGTCCAGGAGTAAAGAAGAAGATTTTTAAAGATTGCACTAATTTTAGTGGTTTTTGCCCCACCCCCCAGGCTCCAGGGGGGCAGGGACCATGAAATTCACAATTTTTTTCCCCTTCACCCATAGATGTTATATGCCAAATTTGGTTGAAATTGGTTCTGTGGTTTCAGAGAAGAAGCTGAAAATGTTCAAATCTTAACGCACGACGATGGACGAAAACGGATAGCAATAGGTCACCCGAGTTTACTCAGGTGACCTAAAAATTGTATTCAAAACAGAACTTGGCCTATATACTCTTATGATAAATCTGTTTATTATACTTCTGTTGAAATGTTTCCTCTATAAAGTTCAGAAGGTAAAATAACTATCTTTTATAGTTCACGCATAGCAAAGCTATACCCCGAGGTATAGCTTTTGCTATCCACCCTCGGAAAATTTTCATGCAATTTTTTATGCCAATTTTGATTTCGAGCAATAAATCTATTGTCTGATGATGTCATAATGATTTTAGTAGCAATGTGACGTCATCAGGATTTTGATATGAACAGCTTATTCTTGCAGTATAATCTAACTCCAATGAAAATTCAAATCTTAGAAATTATAATATACATCAGTATAATAAAACACTTATCCACTGTTTGTGAGTGGGATAGCTCTTTCATCAAACCCTTGATAGGAACTATTCCCCTTGGGCAAGCCCTCGGGGAATAGTTCCCTGTCGCAGGTTTGATAAAAGAGCTATCCCATTCACAACCAGTGGATAAGTGTATAATACCAAATTTCATTTCAATATGTGCAACCTCTGCAAAGAAAATAAATGAAAACTGATGGTGGACCAACTGACAGACCAACCAACAGCAGCAAATCAATATGCCCTCCCTTCTTTGAAGAGCAGCATAAAAATACTGAGTTTCAGATTTCTTACTCAGATTACAAATTATCATGATTTTATACGAAAAAAAATATTCAAGGAAATTATGACTCTGTATAAAAGTTTAAAAGTTATCTAGTCTAACTTTTGCACCCAAGCAACTAAGCACTTACCTAATGTACATGAATCCCAGGCCTCGAATGTATGGTGAATCCTTGTGAGTAATTAATCCCATCAGCTGTTTGCGTGTTAGTTTCAGGGTATACAACTTGTACAGAAGACAGTAGGCACTAGAAACAATTCCACCCGCACCTACACCTCTTACCTGTAAGAAAAAAATGTAAAACTAAATATTGTCTTTTTTAATTTGATAGGAAATATTACTGTTCTTAATCTAAAATTCATAAATCTCTAAGCTGAGAGTAAGTTAATCTTGCAAAAAAGTATGGAACCCCTTATGGTCAGATTCAGCAAATTTTACAGTCCAAAAAGTGCACTATTGTATGTTAATTCTTTCTATCTAAAGCTAATACATACCCCTCCACACATTCCCGTCTGTCCAGCTGTTTTTCTACTACCTTTTTCCCATGGTTCTAAATGATCCACCTGAAAACAAATTCAATGACACCTTTGAAATTTGATTTGAACATGTTGGATCCATGCTTTGAATCATACCTAGCATTGAGAATTATAGCTATTACCGACTTGTTGTTTGCTTATGCTGCTATCAGCTACTAGTGACTTCTTGTTTGTTTTCTATCTTGTAATATTCAAAAATAAAAAATTGTGCTCAAAACTAAATATCCTTTGATTTTTTACAGGTATCAGATTTTTTTCAAAGAAATCAGTTACTCTAATGAAGCACCATGAAAGTAAAGAAAAGGTCTTACCTCTCACTCACCTTGTAGTAAATTTCATCAATGACCTCATGGTAGGTTTTGAGCTCGTACAAGTTGACTTTGAAGTATGGTGATGCCTGAATGTTAGTGAGAATTAATGGATTCAGGTTCATGGTTTTCTCATTCCCCCATGTGTTCAGTGGGTTGTTGGGAGCCATGATTTAAGATGATACCTATGTTGGAGAACATAAAATAAAAGTTTAGATAATAGTACATATGCAGTAAAACTTAGTTAGTACCAACACGGATATTGCGAAATCACGGATATAGTGAAGTTATCTTGGATCTCCAGCTATATAAATTTAACAAATTCTTTATACGGTTATAACGAATTACGGATAAAGCGAAGTAATTTCATAGGTCGCAGTGACTTCGTTATAACCAAGTTTTACTGTAGTTCGTTTTAAATTTTATATCTTTATGCATGTTATGTGGTAACAATCTTTGTAATGCTTGTCAATATTTAATTTTTGAAGAGAAAACATGTAATTTTGATTTTCATTCAAACACTTATCATTTTTAGTGTTGGCAACGAGTACCCGGTTAACCGGTTAACCGTCGAACGTTGCGAGTATCGGTTAGTAAAACTGCTATTCGGTTACTCGGATAAAATAAATTCTACATTGTAAAGGCATAGAAAATGAATGTTTTATCATTTATAAATGTATACTAACTTACACATTTGCCTAATTTTAGGTACCGTTAGACTTGATCTAGGGTATGGTTGTAGTGAATCAAATTGCTTTGATTAGTTTTTACAGTTTATATAATTAATAGATTTCATTGCTTGGGGTATACATATTTTGAAGGCCTGAGTTATAATTACCTCAATTGATAATTTAACGAGATACCGCCGCAGACATAATAAGCTTGGAGTTGTAACAAAAGAACAGCTGATTCAAAATCTGTTACATCACCTAAGCTTAAATAATTCGGAAACCAGCGATTTACTGGACACTCCACATATATTAACTATTAATTATGGAGTATGTAAATAATTATTCTCCTTGATTGCGACATATTTCGGGGGCTGAAAAAGAAAGTGTAAAATGGTGATTGACGATGACGTATTTATTTGTCTTTGAGTGTCGAATTCCTTATTAATTTTCTTTATTTTAAAATCGTAAATCTTCGACGATATCGTATGTGTGTATTGTAAATATGATGTCCCTATACAGTATATTTGTGCATTACTACTACCGATAAGTATAGAATAAGATAGAGTTGGGTATTGCGAGTGAAAACCATATTGCGATATATTGCAATATTTTACGTTGAATATTGCAATATATTGCGATATATTGTAGATTAATTATCATTAATAAATTTGTGCAGAAAGTTTAAAATGCTGTCAAGTTCAAAGACTATTTGATTTTATCTATAAATTTTAAAGGGGGCGGGGGATAAGACATTAATCGCACACATAATTATAATAACTTTTAATCAAAAACCAGGTACAAAATTAAAACAAAATGTACTCATTTGATGTATTTTCAAATTGAAAAAAAAGTTTATGCATAGTTTATTCTTTATAGTTTTTTTTTTGGGGGGGGGGGGGGGGTTGAAATAGCATAAAATGCATAAAATGTAACTTAATGATTAAAACAATACATACTATATAGAAATTTTATGTGGTCACAGAATAAAATTAAAGCCAGAAAGAAATTGTGACCTATTTTCGGGCGTTTGGTGTTTAGTCTGACCCGACCTAATTTCACATTATGACGGCATTGGCCTATCTCTACTGTTTTAATATACATGCTCCTGGTATAGCATGAAGGAGTTTAAAATGGCATGAAACTTGTTAAAAAATAATAAAAAGCAACACTGTTTCAAGTGAAAACATGGATGGTTATTTATTAGTAATATGTATCTTGAACATTCATCGTCGATCGTGTAGATTCCATCAGATTTTGAGAACCACAGCACACATGGTATACACCATGTAGAAATGTTTTATTTATTTTCTTTCTTAATAATTTTATTTCAAAGTCTTTTTATTAATAAATAATTTTATTTTAAAGTAAGATATTTAAAATTGCGACATTGAATGAAAAGCTTCTCTCTCTCTCTCTCTCTCTCTCTCTCTCTCTCTCTCTCTCTCTCTCTCTCTCTCTCTCTCTGAGAGCTGACGAAGTATTTTTTTACTAGATTGAAAAGGCCTGGGAAGTTACAAGTATTATTTCAGCAGTTTCTATAATAAAGGAGGTTTTTATATATTTTCATAAATATCGTGAAATACCGGTATCTGATTTTCATATCGCGATATATTATCGTGGTGGATAATACCGCAATATACCGATATACCGGTAATATTGCACAGCCCTAGAATAAGATAAATAATATATATTGATACTTTTACCAAAAATCATCCGAGTAACCGGGTACTCGATCGGAAGATGAAGCGAGTAACCGGTTACTAAAAATCGTCCGATTTGCCAACACTAATCTTTTTTGTTATACCTTTTAAAAATTTGTTGCTATATAAATCACAGCTGATAAGGTATAACACTTATAATGTTTTACTGAATGGTCGTAAAAAAAAAAAAATAGTATAAAAATAGTAAAAAGTATTTGACTACAGAGTGAGATTATTGGACCTGTCCTAGTTAGAATAATCTAACTGTGTCTCAGGACAAACCCTCACCACAGTTAGAATACGTCCTATATACTTTAAATGTAGCAAATTAGTAAGTAGGAAAAAGGAGTGGATCCGCTCCGAAATGATTTTGAAGACAACGAAAAAGGGGTTACACTGAAAATAACTACTAAATTAATCTTTTTAAACCTTTTTGAGATTGTTTATGCATTTTATCCTAAAAAATGATTCATATAAAAACGAAAATTCAACTAAATTTCTCAGTTTTTTCTCACTAAACATTTACCTGCCATGTTTAAATTCGGAACTCTCTAGATTATTCGTAGTAAATACACTTAGTACAAGTTTATATCGCCCAAATGGCATTTTTATTTTGCTACATAGCAAATACATGGAACTAATTCTATTGTTAAACTGGGTTCAAAGGAAAATATCATTTTACCGATAGAATGTTCTATCTAGACCTGTCTATGAAGGACGGTCACTGAACGGCTTACGATACAAAATGGGCGGGATTAGCATTTTACTTGTTGATATTAGACCGAGGTGGAATTGACCAAGTTTAAAAGCTCAGTACTGATAAAGGAAATAAATATCAAAGAAGCCAGCACAAGATACATATATGTCAAACAAAATGAGGTATAACAAAACATTTATTGACTGTGTTTTCAGGTAAAATGTGCTTGTCGACCCCAAAACCAAACTGTTTGCCTTCTGACAGCCGAATGGCCTCACAGTTTGGTTCTTTGGTTCGAAAAAATGCATGTAATGCTTGAAAACAGTCAATAAATGTATTTCATTGTCTTTAGTTTGGATATTTCAAAATAGAAATACTCAATTAGCGCAAAGTCACATCATGATCATTGATGATATTTTTTCTATTTGGGTGAAAGAGGGGGGGGGGGCTCTAAATTTAAGATACTTACGTGAATGGCAGCCAACAATTCTCCTTACACAAATTGCCTGATTACTGTAACTACAATGAAGTAAAATTCATTAATATGAAATGAGAAAGAGAAAAAAAAACTTCATTGGAAAATTTACGCAGTCAATAATCTCAGGAATCGAAAATTGACCTATTTAATTTTACATCCAATCATAGAAAAGGGTTTCTTTACGTTTTAAATATTATTCTAAGTTACTTAAATACCTTTAAAACTCTCTATATAGTCCCAATCATTGTAGTTTTTGTTCAAGCTTTTCAAATACTGAAATATTACGACTCAGCACCGTCTCACCGGAAGTAACGCATTTGGAATCAAGAACGATAACTTTCTCCATTTCTTATGGAACACCATGTGTGCAAGAACAATTGATATTGCCACAACTGTCGGAGATGTGACTCTAGTGGGCGTGTTTCTTTCAGAACAAGAAGGAAGAGTAAGAGTTACCAAAGATAAAAATCATATTGGCCTAGTCAGCAATTTATCATGTCTCTCGGGGAGGGGGAGTGTTCTGCACTCACCCTTGAAGTTGTGCAGCCCAATAGTGAATTTCGTTTTGACATGCATTTTCAACGTTTTATCACCATTTAACAAAATGATTTTAAAGTAAACACTGTTAATTTTTTAAATATAATTAAATGGAATGCATGCATGATTGATTTGTATGTTGTTTAACGTCCCTCTCGAGATTTTTTCACTCATATGGAGACGCCACCACTTGCCAGTGGAGAGCTGCAAATTTTGTCCCACGCTCGGCTTTCTGGGCCATTGAGCAGGGAAGGTGCTTTTTCGTGCCAGCACCTACTGCGACACGGGACTTCGGTTTATAGGTCTAATCCGAAGGACCGATCTCCACGTACCACAGTGGGATTCGAACCTGCGAGGTAAGGATCAACTCTTTACTTCGCGACTCTAGATCTCTGGAATGCATGTAGATTTCCAAAGATACAGCCCAACTATTATATTATCTGTTATTTATAAACAAACTTCAACGTGCCAGCGCTTGGGGCTCTAAAGCTTAGATGAGCTCATTTAATTTCTTTTATCTTAGCCTCACTTTTAAAAAAGGAATTTATTATGGGAAAGTGAGACTTACATGTAATGTAAACCCTGTAAGTTTTATACCTCTGAATGCTGATATCTTTCATATCAGAAAACCTAGAATATTTTGACGCTTCGCTTCCTCGGTTAAAAAAAAGAAAAACGTATTTTTCTGAAACATTTTATTAATTTAAAAAAATTAAACATCAGGCAAATAACATATCAAAAGAAATTATTGAAAATATTGTATGAATGAATATAATTAAGACAATCCAATGACTACAGGCTAAAAAAAAAGCTACAAAATCCAAAAAATGGAATATTGAAAAAATGTCAGCAACTGACATATTCAGAAAACCATAAATGCTTGTGTTATTCTTATATGGAAAAAATAAAGTACATGTATGAAGCTATGGATTTAAAATTCTTATCATAAGAGAGATGTACATGAACTTGTACAGCAGTCAATCTTAGATGAGCTAGTAAGTATTAGCATGCTTTGAAAGTAGTACACTCACTACAGGTGTATTTTGACTCAAAGGGTCATTACTCCGAAAAAAAAGTCAGATTGGAGGGTTCTGTCCAACACACAAATAAAAGGCAACTTAAATTGCCATATATAAACAGTCTCTTTGCAAACTGAACTGAAGGTTCCACGGGAATGTTTTGAATGTGCAACACAGCATATGCAGAATGACAATGCCGATCACTCAAACTGGAAGCACAGTGGTTACTATGGCATTCTTGTAACTTGGACACTGTGAAGGTCTATACAAATCATGGAGCACGTGTGTTGAATACACCATGCACTGTCTAAGTAAAGACATTCACTGCTCTCAATAAAATTCACAGTTAAAAAATGCCAGCGTCCAGAAGAGAAGTAATGGTATGCTTCCTACAGTGATCTCGCCAAAGACATGCTCGACATGATCAGACACCTACAATGATATGCAATTTTAGACATATACAATACATATGCATATGGCAGCTAGTATATGAATGCATATAAAAAGAGAAAGTTGTCACAAGGGTAACAGAGACAGAATTTTAAGGAACTGATACATTTTCTAAAGAAACATATTTGGAATTTATGTATATATGTATACCTCTATCAAAATGACATATCAATAAAGAGAGTCAAAGATATAATTCAATTTATATATTAGATTTCTTTAAAATCAAAATTACGCATATATTTCAGTTGATAATATAATTAATTTTGGGACACACCCTCCGTCTTTAGTTAAAATTTCTTACCAAGAAAACTCTCCTCTCTAGTAGACGTAAAATGAGGAGTTCAGGTCGTGACTCTGGGAGACTTGGGGTTGTCTCTGTTGTGGTACGTCACGGCGCACTGCTCTGTGCTTAAAGTTGACTCTAGCCAACCACTCCATCTGTAAAGAATAGATCATACACATGAAACAAATTTTGGTTAAAGAATACGTATAATGTTGAAAAGATAATACATGTAAAAGGTTGGGGGGGGGGGGGGGGGGGGAGGCCATTACTTTACTGATGTGTGTGATGTTTCCACACACGCTTATTTTTTTTGTACCTCCAAAAAAAACCTGAAAAGCAAAAAAAAAAAATAAAAAAAAAAGGAAATGTCTATTTCCCAGACACGAAAATCCTATTTCGTGGGGGGGGGGGGGGGGGGGACTTTGACCTATATACATGTATATACTTTTTAAATAGCGATAAAAATTTCCCAAAAAAAAATGAAATGAATTTTTATACATCAAAAAGACTATAAAAGAGTAGGGTGCTGTCCCCTCCCTTGGATTCTATTGGCCTAGCTGTATTTGACCGTTTGTTTGGCTTTCATACTATAATTGTAACTGCGATTTACAGATGATGTGGTTTAATAATCTAAAATAGCAGTTAGGAATATAGTTTTTTAAAAAATTGCTTGGATATTAACAATCAGCGGAGTTTACCTGATGCGTAGGTTGTGGTATGGTGGGAAGTTCCCTACGCTCCTCAGATTTGTTAATGGCACTGGTCAGTTTACGCTAAAACAAAAAAAAACATATTACTTTTATGTCACACATTTAATATAAATTGTAAAAAAATGTTTCCACGCCAATAGATCACGGTTATTCATTGGATGAGATGCATTCTGTGGCATGCATGCAAGGTGTGTAAAATGTACCCAGTCAGAATCTTACCCAGTCTTCAATGTGCTCTACCCATCCATGAGCAGCAGAAGTAAAGACTGGCTGACACTGGAGAGAAATGACAGAGGTTATTACAGAGAGAGAGAGAGAGAGAGAGAGAAGAAACATTTGACATGCAGATTTCTACTGTAGCAGAGAGATATATATATATATATAGAGAGAGAAATGACAGAGATTATGTTACTAGTGAAGATATGAGAGACAGACGACAGAGGTTATGTTACCAGTGAAGATATGAAAGACAGACAGACTTACAGCAGATTTAGCCGCCAGACTCAGCATCACTTCGTACCACTGTTTGTCATCTGAAGAGGCCTCTACACGGCGCTAAAGTAGATAATTAACTCTTGTTACATATATTCAAAGGAGAAAATCGCTTTAATATTGATTACTCTTTATGTAACATCAGAAAATTTAATTAAAAGTTTAACAAAGACAGTTATCTTTTAATCTATGATAATGGTGACCCTAATGCATGTATGGATGTAATTCATTTGTAAAACGTCTGGAGATAATAATGAAAACGCTAGTGTTTGAACCTGTGTTGCGGCCTTTTTTATTTTACCTATGTAATTTAATATTCAGTTCATACTTATGTCCATGCTGGCTTACAGTATTCGAAATTAAAAAAAAAAAAGTAATACATTTGATAAAGGAGAATCCCTGCCACAATACAACCCCCACCAACCCCTTTTAATTATAAGTGGACTTTTGTTTTATGTAATATTATTGATATTCTTGCAAGTGATTATGTTCGAGAAATGTATACAGCTCTTCAAATGCAATACCAAATTCTTCGTACACTTACTTGTCATATTTTAATTTTTCAACAATTTGCCTACTGCTATACCCCCCTACCCTTTTCCCTCCTACACATTGTATTTCCCTTTATATTACGTTTTTTTTTTATTTTTTAAAATGAAATATGGTCCGGCGCTTTTTAATTGGTCATTCCACAGGCACCTGACGTTACTTATTTTTCTTTTAATAAAAAAAATATACACATACCGAATAATAAACAAGGTACCCATCGAAACCCGCCATCTTGGATTTTCGAAGTAGGTCATCACTTGTATTTTCGTCTGAAACTCCGTCAAATAAATTCCCTGCAACCATATTCTTTCTGTAGCCAGTCTTTCGAGGTCTAAACTTACGGACACTGCAGCCAGGAAGGCACATTACACTTGTAAATATTGAAAATCCCTCGTCAAACTCGACCTACTGCTTCAACATTCCGAGAAATCGCCAAAAGGGGGCCGGAAGTTTACATCAATATGCTAATGGGAATTCCGTATTTGTCAGTTTTGTGGTGGATCTAAAGCGGGGTGTCATAATTACTTTGAAATTTTAATGAATATTTCGATTATAGAAATGAAAAAAATGCAAAATGGGAAAAATAAAACACTTCTTATAAATATACCTGTAAAATATACTATATTAATCTATACAGGTCGAGAGAGAATTTTGAGAGGGGGGAGCTTAACTAAAAAATCAATAACAAATCATCTAGAGTTAATTGAATCGTTTCCAAAAAACAATAGACTGCAAACCATCCAGTTATATATATGGCATATGCTTAATTGAAAAAGGAGAAGGATCACACTGAAAAAAGGATATGTAATGAAATCAAATATAAGCCTATGCGACATGTATATGTATAATCTGTCACCAAGAAAAAAAATAAAAATGTCGCCATGTCAGTACTTTATTGCAATACATAAAATTGCAGATCTCAACATTCCCTGGGATAATTTTAGTGTGGACCCCCCCCCCCTCTCACACACGTGCGTACATACTTATAAAGTCAATCTTCTGCACGGATAGAGCTCAATCAGGGCATCAATAATGACAGTGTTATTAATTATATTTAGTGCATGTAAGTAGGGCCTTACAACCAACTCAATTTGTTTGTTCATTGATCAGCTAGCATGATCAGGCCGATCTTCGACATTTACCAAATATAATCGCTTTATTAATCAAGATATATCGAAATTATTTTGAGAGAAATAAAAAGAATGTTCTTACACGTATAATTATTACGTTGTATTATTGTCTGAAATATTGTTTTTGGAATAAGTACTAACTTTCGCCGGTTATTTTTAAAAATAAATCGCACAAATATATTGACCAATCAAAAAAGGGCTTTCCCTAAGAATTTCAAGTCGTATGTAAATTCCGGCCCCCTTTTGGCGATTTCTCGGAATGTTGAAGCAGTAGGTCGAGTTTGACGAGGGATTTTCAATATTTGCAAGTGTAATGTGCCTTCCTGGCTGCAGTGTCCGTAAGTTTAGACCTCGAAAGACTGGCTACAGAAAGAATATGGTTGCAGGGAATTTATTTGACGGAGTTTCAGACGAAAATACAAGTGATGACCTACTTCGAAAATCCAAGATGGCGGGTTTCGATGGGTACCTTGTTTATTATTCGGTATTAGGGCTGTGCAATATTACCGGTATATCGGTATATTGCGGTATTATCCACCACGATAATATATCGCGATATGAAAATCAGATACCGGTATTTCACGATATTTATGAAAATATATAAAAACCTCCTTTATTATAGAAACTGCTGAAATAATACTTGTAACTTCCCAGGCCTTTTCAATCTAGTAAAAAAATACTTCGTCAGCTCTCAGGGGCAGAGAGAGAGAGAGAGAGAGAGAGAGAGAGAGAGAGAGAGAGAGAGAGAGAGAAGCTTTTCATTCAATGTCGCAATTTTAAATATCTTACTTTAAAATAAAATTATTTATTAATAAAAAGACTTTGAAATAAAATTATTAAGAAAGAAAATAAATAAAACATTTCTACATGGTGTATACCATGTGTGCTGTGGTTCTCAAAATCTGATGGAATCTACACGATCGACGATGAATGTTCAAGATACATATTTCTAATAAATAACCATCCATGTTTTCACTTGAAACAGTGTTGCTTTTTATTATTTTCTAACAAGTTTCATGCCATTTCAAACACCTTCATGCTATACCAGGAGCATGTATATTAAAACAGTAGAGATAGGCCAATGCCGTTCCTGATCGTATGTCATAATGTGAAATTAGGTCGGGTCAGACTAAACACCAAACGCCCGAAAATAGGTCACAATTTCTTTCTGGCTTTAATTTTATTCTGTGACCACATAAAATTTCTATATAGTATGTATTGTTTTAATCATTAAGTTACATTATGTGCTATTTCAATAAAACACCCCCCCCCCCCAAAAAAAAAACGTATCAAGAATAAACTATGCATAAACTTTTTTTCAATTTGAAAATACATCAAATGAGTACATTTTGTTTTAATTTTGTACCTGGTTTTTGATTAAAAGTTATTATAATTATGTGTGCGATTAATGTCTTATCCCCCGCCCCCTTTAAAATTTATAGATAAAATCAAATAGTCTTTGAACTTGGCAGCATTTTAAACTTTCTGCACAAATTTATTAATGATAATTAATCTAAAATATATCGCAATATATTGCAATATTCAACGTAAAATATTGCAATATATCGCAATATGGTTTTCACTCGCAATACCCAACTCTATTCGGTATGTGTATATTTTTTTTATTAAAAGAAAAATAAGTAACGTCAGGTGCCTGTGGACGGTAACTACAACGCAAAGCTTCTTAGCAGTTACCTAGCATGACGTCATCTGTTATAGCAACGAAAGAAATACCATAGCAGTATAAATGGTGAAACAGGAACACTGGTAAATGGTCATTTTGTGCTTACCTTGAGTTAACCTTCCTGGTTATTAGCAAAATTTATGAAATGTCTGCTCCCGTTTATTTCGTAACATGGTGATAAAAATCAATCAGAACGTGATATTACGTCATAAGTCGGGAAAGGGTTTTGCACATTATCCCACCTAGAATTATAAAATTTATAAGAATCAATGCAATAGAAATATGCACTGTAAAAGCTGCATGTCTTAAACGGTGCCTACAATGAACAATGTTATATTTTCACTCTTTGTCTTAGAAAAAAAAGAGGGGGGGGGGGGGCTTTTCTAATAAATCGGGTTCGGTCTTCCTTCCATGGAATCAGCTGGCAGTAGTCTATTTTACTAGTGACAATTTTAGCTAGTTCTGCAATAGTGATGCAGACGGGAACATTGTTTGGGAAAGGGATAATATAGTTATGCCATAGGAATATAAAATGCAGGTAGTAAAACATATTTGCCGATATGCAAAAAATGTGAGAGGCCTTTTTGTAAGACGACGGAGTTCGATCCCGATCTTGAGAGGGACTCGCTCATTTCACAATGAGGGGAGAGGACCGATATATTCAAACAAGAAAACAGCAGTTACTTTGGGCATTGGTATTTCAGCATATTTTTACTTATCGTTACTTATCGTTACTACGTGACTTCCGGATATTGTAGCCTTATAGTCATATAAAATGTCTTGATTTTCCCAGTGTTTATCCAAAATTAGTAGTCTTCGCACTTATAACATCCTCTGGTAGACTGTTCCAGATCTTAGCAGCTCTCAGGGTGAAGTTATATTTTCTGATATCTAGTCTGGCTCTCTGGATTAATAGTTGCTTGGAATTCCCCCTTGCAGTTTCTCTCCCTACATGATCTCTCCTAAATTTCACAAAGTTGGCTGCTTTTGTGTCATATTTTCCACTCGTAATTTTATATATCTCTATCATATCTCCTCTGTGTCTTCTATAGCTGAGTGTTGGTAGTTTGAGTTTCTTCAGTCTCTCAGAATAGGTAAGAAACATTCCAGGTATCTGCTTTGTTGCCCTTCTTTGCACTCCCTCCACCATCTCAATATATTTAGTTTTGTATGTGAACCAGACTGAGCTTGCATAGTCCAAGTGTGTTCGAACCAGAGATTTATAGAGCAGAATGAATGTATTTTCATCTAAATGTTGAAATATCCTTCTAATCATGGCAAATGTCGAGTTGGCTTTCTTTACTTTCTCGCATATGTGTTTCTCAAAGGTTAAATTTTCGTCGATGATTACTCCTATGTCCTTTTCTTCCTGAACACGCTCTAAAAATTCTCCTAATAACTTGTATGACACCTCTTGTGAAGACTTTTTCCCTATATGCATATATTTACACTTTTCAGGATGGAATTTCAACAACCAAGTATTGCTCCACTGAGTGAGTTTTTCATCTCTTTGCAGTGTTTCCTGATCTCCATTTTCTTTCACAATGTTAAAAATCTTTGTATCATCTGCGAAAAGGTATACCATTGACTCGACGATCTCTGGTAGGTCGTTTATTATTACAAACAATATCGGTCCTAAGACGGAGCCTTGTGGGATGCCGGATGTTACATCATGCCACTGTTCTATTCACTGTAACCTGTTCTTTTCTATCCCTTAGGTAGTCTTGGATCCACTGAATTGTTTCAAGTCCTATTCCATATGCTTTCAGCTTGCTGATAAGACGTCTATGAGGAACTGTATCAAATGCTTTCTGAAGTCCATATATATACAATCTATGGTGTGTCCCTGATCTAATGCCTCCGTCCATTCATCTAAGACTCTGAGTAGTTGTAGTGCGGTTGACCTCCCTCCCATGAAACCATACTGCCTTGTTGTAAATAGATCATTCCTTGTGAAGTGTTCAGTGATCTGATCCCGCATTACCTTTTCCATTGTTTTACACACGACTGATGTGAGGCTCACAGGTCTATAATTTCCTGCTAAGGACTTGTTCCCTTTCTTGTAAATAGCACTTATTCTGGCTTTTTTCCACTCCATTGGAACCCTTCTTTCCTCCAATGATCTATTGAATATCATAGTTAGTGGTACCGACAGCTCCTCATGTAGTTCCTTCAAAAACCTTGGATGAAAATTGTCTTCCTGGGAAAGGGAGTATTTTCTTAACAGTTTCTTCCTTTATGTTACGTTGTTCCCATTGAATTTGGATGTTTCTGGCTTTAAGTTGTGGTACTTCACCATCTGGTTCTTTGGTAAAAACACTACTTTCCGCTAAAATGTTAGCTTTTGTTTCATCATCATCCGTTTTTTCTGATTTCGGATCTCTAGGGTCGGTGCATAAATCTGCAATCCCTTGTCTGCTTTTACTCTTTGAGTTGATATACTGCCATATTCTCTTTGAATTACTCTTTGCTTCCTTTGCTAGATTTTTTTCGTATTTCTTCCTAGCCTTCCTTACTAGTTTCCCTGCTTTGTTTCGAGTACGATTGTAGTTTCTTCTAACATCTGGATCTTTGTGTACCAGGTACTTGCGTGCCAAGGCATTCTTCTCTTTAATGACATTTAGAGTTTCTTTATTACCATTCAAGGTTTCTTACGTACAATTTTTTATACTCATAAATATAAGACTTAGTCGTTTAGTAAATGATTTTACCAATGTAGGGATCTAATCAGAAAATGATAAACATAAAATTAATATGATAATGATACTCTGTTTATGCATTTAATCTGGTATATAATATAAGCTTTTTTTATGAAAATAGCTTGACTAATAAAGTTATCAAATTTAAATAATTAATTTAAATTTTGAATGCAGCCCCTTACCCCAAATTATGCATTTATTTTCATTTTACACTATAGATATAATATGCATTGTTGTACATGCAACACGTATATATCTAAAAAAAAATGCATGCAGTAAGATAGGTAAAAACAGATACAACAATTAAGTAAACATAAATATTATGCACTCTTTAGAAAATAACATACAATTTTTTTGGGTCTACATGCTTATTTTAACGTTTTTGTATATATATTGTATATTGCAGTAGCAGGAATAGGTGTTGGTGTGGTGTACATCTACAATGTAAATAGTTCTATTGCTGATTGCAAGACCTTTCCCCAGAAAGAGGATATAGACACAGGGGTAACAGTTAAAGCAAGGCAGCTATCACGAGAGGAAATTATTGAAAAAGCACGAGATATTGTTCAAAGAATTAAGGTAAATGGAACAACAATATTTGTATGTTTTGTTTTCAAAAAATGCAATATTTCATTAATTTAGATGGTTTGGAAATACAATAATCTACTAGTAAGATTTATGAAATATAATATGACTAAGACGCCTTTTAAATTATATTTATTAAGATGGTAATGAAATCTTAGTGACCCAAATGTCATAAATAGATATTTACCTGAACATAAAAATAACCAATACTGTAAATCACTTTTTGTTCGCGAGAACTTTATTTTCACGTAATTACGCGAGACAGTGTGCTTGCAAAAATTTAATTCTCATGTATAATAGCATTCCTTAAGATTATATAGAGCAATAACCACAGTTCCTGAAAAATTTTTTTCGCTAATAAAGAGTCAATGACTATCTCGCGAAAATAAGGTGTCCCGAAAATTTAGTGATCTACAGTATGAATAAGTGAAGTCTTGATTAATTTACTTCATGAAAATGAAAGAACAAGCTATACATGTCTATGGACTTCATATTGACACAGTTGCTTTCAATATATCCACAGGATGAGTGTGGTAGTCCAGGTCTGGTTGTTGGGGTCAGTGTGGATGGTCAAACTGTGTGGACAGAAGGTCAGTCATGTTCACATCACTTACTGGACAACTCTTATTGGACAATGTCTGTATGAAAACTGCCCCTTATTCTATATACTGATGTTGACCAGTCTTCAAAGTTTTTTCACCTTTGTACGTGATTGTAAAAGGAAAACTGTTGCCGAGGCCCTATGTTCCACCAGGAACCAAAAGGAACCGTGACGTGATTGTAATTTCTTTTCATCTTCGAATTGATAAGGAAATGAATGCCTTTTTATTGGAAAATTCAATGTTACTGAAAATTTGTCAGTTTGAAAGCAATCTCTTTGGACCCCTGTAAAACTTTGATGTTTATTATTAATATGATGTTGCTATGTACTCTGATCAGAAATATTGCCTTCTGAACAGACAATAATTTTACATGTATCACATATGTTCTAGATATGAGTGTTTCAAATTCAATAAGAGGTAGCCGATTCCCTTTAAAAACTTCATCTCTGCCGTATAATTGACTTCCTATATCAATTTTTGTTTCTGATCGAGTGGGGTACATTTATAGGTGATTCCCAATAACAAAGTTTGTCTTTGCAGGATTGGGGTATGCTGATGTGGAAAACAGAATCAAAATGAAACCAGAGACAGTTCTTAGAATCGCCAGCATCAGTAAACCCATCACTATGGCAGCTGTTGCTAAGCAATGGGAAATAGGAAAACTAGACCTTGACAAACCTGTACAGTACTATGTGCCTTCATTCCCAGAGAAGAAAGTCAATGATGTTACAGTATGTAGACTGTGAAGAATGCATTACAATTAATTAGACATTCATCCTTCATTTAATTACAGTATAGTGTAGATTTAAACTTTTGTCAGAGTCAAGAGCTTTCCAAAATTATCCTTACATGATGTGAAAGTCTGCTAATTTTTATCCATCAGTGGTGGTATATGATGCTCTTTGAGGGGAAAGCGAGAGGCAAAGTTATTGAAAAATTTAATCATTATCAGTACAAGCAATTGGATGAAGTGAATACTATGCTTTTATGGCTTTCCTTTTTATATATATCTGGTAGGTCCAGTTAACAACACGGCAGCTGGTATCACAGATGGGAGGAATTCGCCACTACCGTAAAGACTACATCAAGAAAAAAGAGGTTGGTAAAATCACAGTTTGAAATTTTTTTAACTTATTGAAACAGATAGTCATCTTTGAGTATCAGTGGGTGTGAATATTTATGAAAGATTAGTTTCAGATTATATAGTGGATTTTTCATCTGTAATGAACTTGTAAATGTAGGGAAATGTAAAACTGGCATTTGTAGTAGGAGAGGAGGGGGGATCTGATTGACATAAGAGTTCATGTACTTGTTTATTTGATCATTATTTTCTCTCTCTTTTTTTTTCAAAATACTGTAGGAAAAAGAAGAAAAGACAAATCTAAGTAAGTTTCAAGATTCTCCATTTCAATAAAATAGCATAAATTATAGGTACATGCATAACTTATTCTTTTATATACTTGCCAATGGACAAAATCTTTATTATAAAATTGTATTCAATTGACAGATGAGAACAGTGAGAAAAAGAATGCAGGAAAACAGGGTAAAAGTGGTAATAACAAGTCAGAGGCTCAACAGGATGAAATGGAGTTAGAGGAATATTACATCACCAGAAAGTACAAAAGTGTGAAAGAGAGTTTGACCTTATTTCAGGATGATCCACTGGTCCACAGTCCTGGTAAGTCTAATCTAATTTCAGGATGAACCATTTGTCCTAAATCCTGGTCCACAGTACAGGTAGATCTAACCTTATTTCAAAATGTACCACAGATCCAGTCCTAATAAGTTTGAGTAGGTCTGACCTTATTTCAGCATAACCCACTGGTCCACTGTCCACGTAGGCCTGACTTTATTTCAGGATGACAAACTGGTCAACAGTTCTAATAGTTCTGGCCTTATTTAAGAATGACCCACTATTCAAAATCCTGGTAGTTCTTACCTTATTTCAGGATGACCCATGGTCTAAAGTCCTGGTAGTTCTTACCTTATTTCAGGATGATACACTAGTCTACAATCCTAATAGGCCTGACCTTATTTCAGGATGACCCACTGGTCCTGGTAGTTCTGACCTTATTTCAGAATGACCCACTGGTCAAAAGTCCTGGTAGGTCTGAACTTAGTTCAGGATGACCCACTGATCCCTAGTCCAAGTAGGTCTAATATTATTTCAGGATGACCCACTGATCCACAGTCCTGGTAAGTAAGACCTTATTTCAGGATGACCCACTGATCCTGGTAGTTCTGACCTTATTTCAGGATGACCCACTGGTCAAAAGTCCGGGTATGTCTGACCATTATTCAGGGGATGACCCATTGGCAACAGTCTAGGTAGGTCTGAGCTTATTTCATGATGGTCCCCTGGTTGACATTTTTGGTAAGCCTGACCTTATCTAAGGAGGACTCACTGGACCCCAGTCCAGGACTCCAGGTAAATCTGACCTCATTTTTAGGATGACCAAGACCAATTTCCATGACATCTTTGCTAGCCAAGTGTTTCTGATCTATGCAGTCTTAACAAATGCCCTATTTATTCATGCTATAGCCATAAAAGTCAGGTTTGCTTATGTGATATCAAGCAAATATTTCTTCATGCACACAGCTTGCAGTTTCAATAGTGTCTGAAGTACCCACAATTACTGTATACAGGGAAATTTTCGCCCCTTTTGCCCTACTCTCATTTGGGCGAATTTAAAACGGGGCGAATTGAAACAATTCAGTATAATTTCTTAAAGAAAACCATCACTGAGCGAATTTATAACGAGGTAAAATTGTTTGCAAGCGTGAAAGGGCGAAAATAACACGGGGCGAAAATAACCCTGTATACAGTATTAGTTTTAATAATTGTATGTTGGGACAGGACAATTAGGTTTTGGGTGCCTGTCAATGTTTTTTTTTTTCCACAGGGAAACATATCCAAATTGAATTTCAACAAATTACAAGACAATATTTTTCAGTGTGAATTTCATACTTGTTAATCAATTTAATGGAGTGGTTGGTTTTACACTTCCATCTGCCACCCACTTTTCTAAAAAGGTTAATTACCTGTTTTGCAGGCAGTAAGTTTCTGTACACAACACATGGATGGACTTTGATCAGTGCTGTCCTAGAGGCTGTAACCAAAGAACCATATGAGAAACACATCATCAAAATGGTGAAGGAACTTGGCATGGATAATACATTTCTAGACGAGCATTCTCCTCTTATTTATAATCGTGGAAGGTAACAGGAATTTTAAAATAATTTTTTTTTAGAAATTATAGGACAATTAATAATGTTTCCCTTAAAATAGCATGAAACAGTTCTTTGAATATTGTTCTAAGTATTAATTATGTGCAAAATTAAAAGGAACTTTTGTAATAAGATTTTTTTTAATTAAAACATGTAATATACGTATATTTGTTTATTTCAGGCATTATGTCATGAACAATAAAAGTCAGTTGCGCAATGCTCCATACGTCGACTTGTCATATAAGTGGGCAGGAGGAGGTCTGTTATCCAACATCCCTGATCTTCTGAAGTTTGGAAACGCCATGTTGTACAGCTACCAGTGTCCAAGTAATTCCACAAACAAAAACAGTTCCTTAAATACTAGTGACTCTCTAAAACAGGGCTTCCTGAAGCAAGAGACTATGAAATCAGTATGGACCCCTTTGTTTAAAGCAAGTAAAGAGAAAGACGTGTTCTATGGCATGGGCTGGTTTGTTGATGAAGAAGGCCAAAAATATGGGCAGGGAAAACAGAGCAGATTTTGTGCCTCTCACACAGGTGCTGCTGTCGGTGGAAGCAGTGTTCTTTTGATTTTGCCCCCATCAACCAAAATGGTGGATCATCCACCAAAAGGAGTGGTAGTGGTTGTCATGGTGAACATGATGTCAGTAAATCTGAGTCCGACAGCTATGGAGGTGGCTAAACTGTTTGAAAATTTTGAAAAATATCAGACATGATGAAAAGCAGCATATTAGGTGATGATGTCAGATTCTGACTGTATAAACAGAAATCCATGAAGTATACCCACCAGAATGAATGTGAATTATATTAATACATGTAGAACATGAACCCAGACTGCAATTGATTTGTTAATGATGTTTGAAATTTTAGAAAATTTCAGACCTGATGAAAAGCAACATGTTTAGTGACAGGTTGTCAAAATCTGAGAATGTAAACAGAAATCTGTAAAGTGCCTTAAAGAATCAATATGAACTCTATTTATGCATGAAATGCATGTACATGTACCCAGACTGCAGTTGATTTGTCAGTATTACATAGAAAGGTTTCTTTTTAGATATTAAGTAAATCAATGGCAATATTTAATGAAATTCCTTAAATTGATTAAGATGATCTGTAAGTTCTTAAGATTCACACAAACTTATACCTTTGTCAAGTTTATTAAATCAATAGATTGCATTTATATATTCTAAAATTTATTAATATATTCCCTTTTTTTATGCAATTCTGTAAATTGTTTGACTTAATTACAAGTTTTTATCCAAATCAATAAATGTTATTATGAGCTATTAAATTTAAGATGGAATACTTTGCTTGTGTTAATCTTTTTCTTTTTATGCCCCCATAAACAAAGTTTTGGGGGTATATAGTTTTTGCCGTTTGTCTGTTTGTTTGATTGTTCGCAAAAACTTTAACCTTGCCTATAACTTTTGAGTGGGTGGGGCTATGGCTTTCATATTTCACAGGTGTATTCCTTGTGACAAGACCTTTCATTGGGTACCAACATATTTGTCCTTCAAGTTTAACCTACTTTTACAAAAAATTACCTTACTTTTACTTAAGTGATAACTTTTAAAAGGAGAGTGCAAGGACTTTCATACTTCTCATATGTATTCTTTGTGACAAGACCTTTCATTGGATTCCAACATCTTTGACCTTGACTTTGGTTGACCAACTTTCAAAAAATGTTAACCTTGGCCATACATTTTTAACAGTAAGGGTTAGGGCTTTCATATTTCACATTTGTAATCCTTGTGAAAAAAACTTTTCTGTAGAAAGCAACAACTGTGACCTTTTGACCTTGACCTAGGATTCTGACCTACTTTTATTAAACTTTAACCTTGGCCATAACATTTTAACAGTTAAAGCTAGGGTTTTCATACTTTAAATATGTAATTCTTGTGACAAGATCTTTCTTTAAAAACCAACAACTTTGACCTTGACCTAAAAGTTTGACCTACTTTTTAAAAACTTTAACCTTGGCCATAACTTTTTAACAGGTCGTGCTAGGACTTTCATTTTTTTACTGTAAAAGCTGTGATATCTTCAGTAGATTTTTTTTTCACTCATTTGAAAAGGGTAACAATAAAACTAAATCTTTAAAAAAAAAATTGTTCTTTAAATAAATTTTGATCAGGTTATTTTTTTTAAACAATGAAATTAATCCTCCCCCCCCCCCCAAAAAAAAATCTTAAATCACAAATCGATGAAGTTTATTTCCTTGAAAAATTTCTGCTCATGCTGTGTTATCATAGTAGAAAAGGAGAAATGTATAAAGAAAATATATGGCTGGACTTGGAATTGAACTCGGGACCCCTGCATTACTAATCAAGTGTTCTACCGCTGAGTTTCCCAAGCCAACATCCATGGTCTGTATAGCCTGAACTGCTACATTATATTCAAACAACCAGAATTCTGATTTTAAATAATTATAACTTCCATTAAAATACAGTTTATATATTCTACCCCTTGTGCCACTTAAAACAAAACCTGGTTGGCTATGGCACAGTGATAGAATTTTTGTGGGTAATTACTAGTAATTTGATCTTGATGCCCCTTGTACTATAACCCAAGTGTGGCACACGAGAATTTCATGGAATTTGGTATGCCTTCACTTGAAAAGAAAATTGACAAAACAGTCATTGTTAATATCATTTTCTGTATTATAAATACACATATAGATGTAAAATACATGCAATAAATATGAAGTACCAAAATAAATACATGTAATAAATAATGCTGTAATATCAAATGTTAAAATCACAAAAGATATGGCAAGATTTAATTAAATCTGCGTAGAGGTAACAGCTTCACATTCTGTACCTTTTACAATGTCTAGAATAATGTGTAAATTCACATTTAATTCATGTAAATTTTAAATCATTTTTTAACTTTAAAGACACAACCTTTCAATTGTGGGGGTTTTCTGAAAATTTCATCGAAAAACGATCAAGCTGTAGTATATACTGAATTATATATATTTAGCATCCTCAACTTCAAAATTAGTTGTTTTGTTTTATGTCCTTGATAAAAATACACCTTTTAATAATCAAAAGTCTATAAATGAATTAAAACAACATAAGGACAACTGGCAACAATCAATGTTGTTCGCTATATGGACATAACGATATGGACATAACGCTTTTTGACCGATGAATTTTCTGTTCAGTTGGGATGAAATATGATGAGTTTTTGATGTTGTGTAAGACTATAAATGCAACAGTATTTCATGTCACAAAATAGTTTGCTGTGGTAATTTACTAATTCATAAACAATTATATTTAGTAGTGCACCAAAAATGAATTCAAAAAATAACAAAAAATATCCAGAATCCAATAACTTTTAAATTTTGAAAGTTATCCGTTTCCTAATTGGGGTCTTGAATGACTTGAATAAGAACCAAATCTTGAACATTTACATCTAAAACTACTCTCCACTTTAAAATTATACATAAATCACAATAATTCTGTGTGTGGAGAACATTAAACATTTACATATTCAGAATGGAAGTTGGCATGCTCAAAATTTGAACAGGTGGTTCAAAAATTTAGTGGAAGACTCATCAAGCATTTAACAGAATGTTTCACCACATCTGTATTTGAAATTGACTTGTGTGTTTACTTTGTAAAGTATTACATTAATTTATATGGCTTGCTTCAGAAAACTGGTTTTGTGTTCATACAAAATAGTTTAATTCAACATTTCATTTTGAAAAACCCAGAGTTGAATACCATTCTCCATTATTAAAGAACATATATCTTCATTTTCATTATGTACTTTTTGGCAAAATTTCGTTAATTAATTTAACTCATTAAATAAATATGGTTTGAAAATAAAAGGTAAAATTCACCACACCTTTCAATTTAACAGTTTAAGTAAAGGTACATTTCTGTTAGTAAGTTTGTAACTTACCATAAAACATGTTAGGGAGGGTATATTCCTTTATAATAAATATTGTAAAATAGTGCAATGAAGTTATATCTATTGGGCCAAAAATAATTAATCAATAGTTTCTCGGGCCAAAAAAATTAGAATTCAATGCGGCAGGCAGGCAGGCTTTTTTTTTTTTTTTTTTTGGAAGCAGGTTTAACACCTTTTCTAAGCCATTTGTTCAATATAATGATAATATCTACCAATTCTTAAGTTTTGTTCTCTGAAATTGGTTGTAATATGTATTCAACTTTAAATAATGTTACTCCAAACATTTATTTAAAAGTTAATTAATATAATACTGACAATTAAGAAGAAATGCATTGTTTTTCTAATAAAAAACGTTTATCTTAGCACTTATGAAAAGGGGAACAACTCGATTTTCTTTTTCAACTTGGAAAAATAGAAAATTGAGTTATCTCTCTTTTCAATATGTCATAAAATTGATCAATGCGGCCGTTTTTGAACTGATGCGGCGGTGCCTGAAAAAGTATTAATTAATTTTTTTTGGCCTTGAAAAAAAAAAATTTTAAATAAACATCTTTATACCATGATTGTACATAACAAAAATGCTAATACTACAGAATCATATTCTTTTTCACAGGGTCATATTTCCTCAGAATCACAATATCTGTTCAATCCACAAGTATAAAATTACTCAGATTTTTCGGATTGCCAATTTATGAATTTATAAATACATTGTATTAAAATATGTGAAAAATTTCCACAGAAAATATGTGACCTCAAACATATTTCTTAATAAATCCCATTCAGAAAAAAAGTATTTCTACAGTAACTGTAGAATAATTATGGCATTTCAACATGGATGAGCTCCCAAGAAATTCAGCACGTCGATGACTCTTCGTGAATATCCTTGCGAGACAACAGTGGTAAAATCTTGACCTCTAAGCACTGGTCAGCCATGAGGTCATATACGTCGTCCAGTGATGCGTCACTGATATTGTGTCCATTTACTTCTAATATCTCGTCTCCCACATTTAACAGTCCAGCAAAACGCTCATCAGCATTTACGTCTTCCGAGAATCGGGACACAAAGATTCCTGTTAATACAAAAATAAACATTTCTATATTAATTTAAATAAAGTGAAAGAGCAACAGAAAAAAGAGATCAATTTATTGCATATTCTGTTAAAAACTAAAATCTTGATTTTAAAAAATTCCACCATTTGGAGAAATTTTGCCAAAATTTTCACCATTTTTAAAGTTTAAATTTCTCTATCGAGGTAGAAGATCAAGAAAGAATATTTCAAGAATGAAAAACTAGAACTGTCCAAACGGGACAAAATACCCCCCGCTGGGTTTTTCAGAAGTAAGTTTTTCCATAATAAAAATATGTATCAAACACCAATTATGAAATTTTTATTCCAGTGACCCTGAACTTCCCCAGATAATCTTGGGTCAAGGTCATGACACACCCTTGGGTCATGGGCAATCTTTCAGTGAAATGAGAACCTACCAAGTTTATCCATAAGAAAGATATGGACCGGACACAAATTATGATATTTCTCTTCCAGTGACCTTGAACTACCCCAAATGACCTTGGGTCAAGGTCATGACACACCCTTGGGTCATGGGCAATCTTTCAGTGAAATGAGAACCTACCAAGTTTATCCATAAGAAAGATATGGACCGGACACGAATTATGATATTTTTCTTCCAGTGACCTTGAACTACCCCAAATGACCTTGGGTCAAGGTCATGACACACCCTTGGGTCATGGGCAATCTTTGTGTGAAATGAGAATCTACCAAGTTTATCCATGAGAAAGATATGGACCGGACACGAATTATGATATTTTTCTTCCAGTGACCATGAACTTCCCCAAATGACCTTGGGTCAAGGTCATGACACACCCTTGGGTCATGGGCAATCTTTGTGTGAAATAAAAACCTACCAAGTTTATCCATAAGAAAGATATGGACCGGACACGAATTATGAAAATTTTCTTCCAGCGACCTTGAACTACCTTAAATTGACCTTGGGTCAAGGTCATGACACATCCTTGGGTCATGGGTAATCTTTGTGTGAAATGAGAACCTACCAAGTTTATCTATAAAAGATATGTATCAAACATGATTTTTGAAAATTTTCTTCTAGTGACCTTGAACTTCCCTCAATGACCTTGGGTCAAAGTCAGGGCACACCCTCAGGTCATGGGCAATCTTTGTGTGAAATGAGAACCTACCAAGTTTATCAATAAGAAAGATATGGACCGGACACGAATTATGAAATTTTTCTTCCAGTGACCTTGAACTTCCCCAAATGACCTTGGGTCAAGGTCATGACACACCCTTAGGTCATGAGCAATCTTAGTGTTGAGTAGTAGATTCTAATGTCCCTCTGTAAGAAAGATATGGACCGGACACGATTGCACAGACAGACGGACAGACAGACAGACGGACGGACGGACAGACGGACAGACAGACAGACAGACAGACGGACAGACGGACAAACGGACAGACGGACAAGGTGATTCCTATATACCCCCCCAAACTTCGTTTGCGGGGGGTATAATAATATATTACTAGTATATAAAACACTTCAAAGAAATAAATGAAATTTTTAAAGCATATTTGAATCAGCAGTTTGATTTTTCTTGGTCATCCCCATTTCCCCATTTCTTTTTTAACAACAGGAAAAGATATTTCTTTTTGTATAAGTAATATAAAGGGGGAAAACTCAACTAAAGAGAAGAATGATCTACAAAACCTCTGCTCATCTGTGGCTTGTCGTATAATTGTGTGATTTAAACTAAATAGAAATAATGGTTTTCATTCCTCTTCAACTAAAAGGCAAAGAGCAATTTTGGGTTAAGAAGCAATTTCACAGTTACCGTATATACTCGCCTATAAGTCGGTATTTTGGGAGTTAAATATTGGTCTAAAACTCTATGTCCGACTTAAAGGCGAGTCATAAAGATATTGGTATTTTCCGAAGGCTAAAAGGTAGTATCTTATTTGCATGTCCGATGATTATCAAAGAAAATGTCTGAATATATAAGATAATTTATGTATTCTTAGATTATATACATATAAAAGTACGGGTATTTACATATTTTAATAATTTTATTTGTATTTTAAAGGTCAAATATCAAGGAAATAGATATACTTGTATATTATATATGTTGTAAACAATCGTTAAAAAGAAGGAATTACAATATTTAATTAATTTTAAACCTCGTTGTTTTCTTTATTTACCTGTTCAAATATCGCTAAAAATAACGTTCATCAATAGAGTTACTTCCCCTTTTTGTGACGTCATTAGAGACACTCGACAAAATCTAGTAACATAAGTATAGTAAAATGTGCTCTTGATTATCTAAAATTATGGCAAATTTTGGGGAACAGATATGTTGATATATCAGAGTTATGCGTAGATCTGTCTGTTTAGAATAGGCTTTGTATATTTGAGTAAAGAATGTACGCAAATTGATTTTTCTTAATTCTTCGACCGATTCTGTTTCGTCCGAAGCCGGTAAGGGTGAAAGTGGAACTTAAATTAAAACAAAAGAGACAAGGGATCATCGCAGAGGCTAACGAATGTACATACATGTAATTTGTATTTAATGCCCTTTACTGAGTGTGCTCAATATTTCTGCAAAAAATATTTAACTGCGGAAAATTGATTTCATGTGTTATTTCTTAATTCATCTTATAGGACCAGGACTTTTACACTGTGAAAAAGTATAGAATCCTTTTTTTATATTGCATAGCCGTTTGAACCGGGCACACAGCGATTTTTTTATGCTAAGAATGAACAATGAACGGAACAACAGAAATTACGTCATCGTCGGATTTATATCATACCTGGGAATCCGAAAATGTAGCTATCACAGGTGCTTGGACCCCCCCTCCCCTCAGTTGTTCCGTACCCCAGTAGGTTTTCCACTTTAAAATAATATTTTTCTATGATATATTCATAAAGTATTACAACCGAAAAATCCAAAATTTAAGTGGAAAGAAGGCTAGTTTAAGCATTTTATTATTTCATACCCTCTGATACTAAAACAGAACGCTCTGTTTTAGTATCAGAGGGTATGAATTTTCCCCGTCCCTAAGAATCTGTGGTAAATAAGCATTTGTCTGGCACCTTTTTAATTTATGCGCAAGTAATTTTTATTCCCCCCCCCCTCCCGTTACTACTTCGAAGTAACATTTCTTTGTTGTCCCCCTAAACGGATATTAATTGCTTCATACAGGCCTGAAAATCTGTGTCACATAGCGCTTTCATTTTAAAAATATTTTAATATGAATTATTTCACCCTAATTTAGTTTAGAGAAAAGAAAACAAAACTATTTTAAGTATACAATCTGATTACAAGCTTGTGGTAACTATGTCAAGACACCAGCACAAGAGAAAATAAGTGCTGGAGGAAAACAAAACTGCGGGCAATAAATTGAGGAACAATCACTTGCGTGCATTAACACTGAGGTTTTATTGTTTGAATAAATACCGGTATGTAATGGAAACAATTTTGATATAAAAATTTTCTAGAAAAGAGACAACTGGAAGTAAATGAACGCATTCTTGAGTAAGTATTTTCTGACGCAGATATCAAGCGCGTATTTAGGGGGGAGGGGGGGGATTTCCAGGAAATACCCCATCCCAACTGAGATTTTTTTTTTATAGACACGATAACTTGGCAGATAATCAATTCCTTGTCTATTATACCACACCTTCCGTTTTTTGTCAGTCAAGTTTTAGAGATTGTTCATTCACAGAATATGAAAATTGCTAGTATTTTTTTTACTCCAGCATGTTAGAGGTTTACGCCGAAATACATGTACTTTTGACTTGGCGCCGAGTAATGTTCAGTCATGTACATATGACATATCGAAGTATTGCTATGACGGACAAGTAATTCGTGTATATTTTGCTTCGTTTTATTTTCAGTAGGGAGGAAGGGGCAAAGTACATGAACCAATCGTCAGGTATACTTGTGATCTTGTTGAGTACTGTAACAAGAATGAAAAAAAATATTTTCCTCAAAACAGTATTGCGGCTATAAATACCTAAACTGACAAATTGTAAAATGCAATTTAAATTTGAAATAAAGCCAAGAAATTCGTGAGATAATTTTATAATTAATTAAAATGTAGCCTATACTGGTCTCTTTAAAATGTCGCTTATATTTATAGTGTTAAAAGCCCACATGGCAATATCTCCCAAACAATAATGTTCCAAACACGGCAATATAGCATGCACTTCCTATTTCATGCTGTCTCTGATGACTTCACACAACAAGGGAGATAAGTGATTTACAATAAATGATCCACTTATCACACAGGTAAGTTTAAACGACTAATAGTGATGGAAATTGGTGACAAAAAAATAAACAGACATCAGAATGTCATTAATATTGCTCCAGGGGCTGACAATAATGAATAATTATGAATTTTCACAAAAATATTATACTTGACCTTTAAGTGAGCATTGTCCCTTTTTTTCATAATTTAAGATTAGATATGATCAGTGTCATTTCGAAAAATATTAAATGAAACCAGATTAAAACATCAATGGATTTACTTGAAACTGTCACCAGATTTTGGCAAAAAATTGTACCGACTTATAGGCAGGTCAATAGTAAATCCCACCAAAATAACGTCAAAAAATACAACCGACTTATAGGCTGACCGACTTTTAGGTGAGTATATACGGTACTCAGTTAGCCACAGAAGCATTTTTCGAAAGGGCCAAATGGAATGCTGGCAATAGAGGGGTGGTAAGCATACACTTGCCTATTTTGTGAATTTTTATAAATATCTTAATTTCCATTCTGTAGCACAGAAATGTTAGGGTCTGATAAAGTATAACCAAGCAAGAGCCTTTCAACTCATTAGATGTACTAAAGACTTCGAATACATATATATAGAGAATATAATCACTGCATTCTAATAAATGGAGAACACAATAGTAAGAGAATAGATGATCTGATGAAAACTGCAGTCATAAAGCACTCTATACTGATGAAAAGAAAATATACTGAACGGTTGGTAAACTGTATCTTTTATCTCAAATGAAAACACAACCACCCAAAAAAGTGAGATTTCAAAACCATAATGTGATTAGAAATACATTACATGATATAAAACAAGTGTAGTGTGTATAAACATGTTAATAAAATGTAAAATAAAAAAGATGCCAAATTACCAACCAAAAGAACCTGTACATCCAGAAAATCTGTCACACTAGATTTACTTACCATTTCAAATCTTAATTTCCTTCAAAATTTTAATTTCAGAAGATGTGAGTCATCAATGATTGCAGAACAATATCATAAAAACCTTAGACTTTTTAAATTCATTACTAACAATTTATCACTTGAAATTTTACAAGGCAAGTGATAATAATTGCATGTCTAGCTGGTCTAGCTATGACACTTGTTTATATAGAATTTTTTTTTCTATTCAAGAGTATCTTAACCTTTGACTTTAACACTAACCATGTTTGAATTGTGTGCTGCCTCTTGCTATGTAGAATCCGATTGGTCCCTTGTGTCGTCTGTTAAGTTCCACGATCTGTGTCCCATCAGGCAGTACTTCCCTCAGCTGACTGATCGAGACCTCGTCTTCTGACGTCCTGGACTCTATAGAACTACAATGTCCAGTCACGGCTACCTTATCTGATGTCTCTGTACTTCTGAAAGGATAGTATCCAAAGAATAGGAATGTTAAAGGGAGACTACTCCATCTTTTAACATATGTAGTCAAACATTGTTAACTCAAACTTCAGATAACAGAATTCAACTGTATTTAAAAATTTAAAATTTTTAAAATTTTAATTGTTCTATTCATTATATCAAGTCTGAGTTCTTTGGGCATAAAATTGTGTTGAATTACTGCAAATTGCTTTTTTTTTCAAATATATAATTTTGAATAAATAATATATCTTCCCAAACTCGGTATTCAACAATATATTTTTAACACTTACCCATGATTAGAGATCTCTGTGGATCTGTGTTTGGAACTTTTCCTCCCAAATAATTTCTTGAGTGACCTCCCCTTCTTGGCTTTGGGGGGTTTCCCCTGGGGAGGCATGTCCGCCGAGAGGTCCTCTGGGCGGAACTCCCCCTGTGTCTTGTTGATTCCTTTATCCAGACTTACGGCCTTTCGCAAAGTCTTGAACTTGCTCTTTGCCGCTGCCCGAAGGTTGCTCATTTTATTGGACAGAGAAATCCTGGATCCACTTAGCTCCTTACTCTTGGCCAAGTTGGTGGTGCTCCTGTTTTGAAGGTCAAGAAATATAATTGCTCTGCCAATTTTTATATCAATTATTATAATACTGTGAAATTATTATCTTTTGTCAATGGTACTTGGCTCGATTTTCATGGAATTTGTGGGCACCTTCCATTCATCCAAAAATAACATCCTCCACAGATTAATGAACAAAGTAATGTAAATCCTTTAAAATTTGTAGGTATAAAATAATACAAGAAATAATGTCCCCACCAACATGTAAAATTTAAGCAAATCACAAAAATTAGTCCTCATAAATTTCAATGATTCCCACAGCATTCAATCTTCTTTTTTTTTTTTTTTTTTTTTAGACTTTTAGAGACAGGACGGAATTAAATACTAGCTAATCTTTACTGCTATCAAAGTTCTCTACATTACATTATAGCTGATGGTCTATGCAAGGACATGTGCAGATAAGAAACTTCAAAGACTTGTACATGTACTTATGTTTATCTGTAATTTAAAAGGTAATCGATTTTTGCATGCCTATAGAAAGTAATCATGAATGAAATCTTTCAATGTTTTTACTATTCTTAACCATTTGATCAAAAAATAAACTCTAAACTCTACAAATATAAGAGGTTTTTCATTAAATAAGTTTTTTTAAAATCAGCATTTAGTATTTTTTCAACATAAACAAAGATTTACTAAATTAATTCATACACCCAATTTTATAATATGTACCAAGAATAGATTTATAATCAAGATTCCTCAATTTTACATATTATATAACTACATCTTCAAGTTCTACTTATATGGTCATATGGTAAATTTTAGTACCTGGATCAACTTTTGCTAAAATGAAAATATACTATAATACGGGTAAATAGAAATAAAAATTTATTTTAAATATTACTTTTTGGAAGGTAATAAAAATGGTTGGTTGCATATCGTGTGCCTAGATGGCCTATGCATACTTTTTCTGAAAAATCTACATACTTATAAAATCAGTCTACTAATACATGTACTTACAATTTGATATCAAACGCTAATAGCAAATTGATACATAGTGTAATAAATAAAAAGAAAAATAAAATTCAAAATAATTTGAAAAAAAAAAAACTGAAATGAGCACGCAAATCAAACCAAACTTGATCAGATAAATCTTTAAATATAAGGTCAGAAGTATTTTGTTTTAAATCAATATGTATCAAATTTATCATTTGCAATTTGATTGTATAGTGATAGAGAATTTTGCCATAATCACTTTACCTGAATTTTTATTGTGACATATCATGTTTTTTGGAAGTTGAGACAATATCATTGTCACAATATATCAGTATACTAATTAGGGCTGTGTATTGAGCAAAAAATTTCGTTACGAAACAATATTTTTTAAAGCGATATGCGATATATTGGATTCTAAAACAAGTCCATCAAAAAAGGCATATTAATCATTTAATGCATGGATTTCATAAAAAAATTTAGTGTTTTATTACCCATTTCAAAGTTCTTATCCCATAATCAGTAAATAAAACACTCCCAATCGAAACTTTTAATGACTGTAAAATCAACATGTTAAAATAAAATTATGTATATTATAATAATTACAAAAATTGTGTTATTTCTTTTATAAATCTATAATTATTGATCAGTTTTAATTCAAAAAAGTGAAATATAATCTTTGCTGATTAAAATTCCCATCTTTTTAACAGAATTAGAAGAAAAACTGCTTGTCCGATACGTATTGGAAGTAATTTTTCGATACGATATTTTTCTTGAATATCGATACGTATCGATATATTGATACAGCCCTAATACTAATCAGGATTCAAATCAATAAAAATTGGAGAAAACTCTCTGACGATTATTGCTAATAGTAAAAATTAGATGTCACCATCAATATTTATCGTTACAGGAACTAATATCAATTATGTTGACACCAACTTCTCTATATAGTTAAAACATGATTGTGATGTAAACCTTTTGTTTGTGTTGTCCATTCTTAGCTTAGTTTAGTTTTTTAAGAATGGACATTAAAAACGAACAGAATGGACAGTTAAAACAAACAGAATGGAGAGGTACAGGTAAACCTTAGCATGTGCACAAGAGGGAAACAAAAACAAATTAATATATTAAATAAGATTTAATGTACATGTAAATAAATGACAAAAAGAACTTGGAGATATAAGTTAATCCAGAACACGGTGTCTGCATCAGATTTGTTCGATTTTACACATTTAAATCCATCAGTAATGCACTTTATTTCAATTCACAAAACTTGTATTTAAATGACAAAATTTCACATTTGATTAAGATTTTGGAAGCACCATTCCCAAGAAAAGAATCCATTTTAAGCTTGAAGTAGGCTTACATGTATATTGAATCCATCAACCAGAAAACAGTTTGCACCATGAAAACTACACTGCTGCAGTGAATATTTCGGTAGCAAATAATTAAAATTGAAACATTTCCAGATTTGCATTTTCAGGTCGAAGTTTGGCCCATGGCTATCCAACACTGGAACACAATTTGCATTTCACCATTACACTGCTACAGTTAATATATCCTCAAAAACTGAATTCGAATTAAAAAAATTTCGGTTTGAATTCGAAATATCTGTATCTGTCGTCGAAGTTTTGAGGGGATCAAAGTTTGGATAATATTTTCTTTTAGGCTTACTATTCTCAGTTTCCAGGTAAAAGTATCACTGGTTGTGTGCATCTTTTGGTTTCAATTCGATTTCGATTCTGCCATATATTCTCTCCATCGGAGGGAAACATGTTTACCTTAACAACGCAAAATATAAACTGATTTTGAGGAGCTGCATTCTTATATAAAAACTAGCATCCCCGAAATCCACCTGTAACTGTCCATTCTTTAGACAAAGACCTTTTGTTATTTGTAACTGGAAACACAATGGCTATTCAACAAATTGCTGTGCACCCCAAGCGTACCTGTAACTGTCCATTCTGTAAACAATGAATTTATAGTATGTGTGCTACCCGTTTTGCACATTTTTTTGTTAAATTTTCAGAACAAAGAGAATCATGTTTTAAGTAGGAGAAAGGCCTCAAACTGTCCATTCTGTGAGAAAAAGAACTAATCTTACGGCCCTCGATTAACAGAATGGACAGTTTTTGGCCTTTCTCCTTTACAGAATATAGACTACTCTTTACCGATATAACAAAGAATGTATATCATATCATCTGCATCAATATTCATATATTCACGATCTTGTCTTTAAAAAAGGTATTGTTATTACCCATAATTCCTGTCAGGTAATGGTGGAACTTCCTGATTAGATTTATATGTAGAGGTCTCTGCAACATTTGGGGTACTCTGTGACACTTTCCTACTAAGCTTAGTACCCGCTTCCACTACATAACTCTCAGTATTGTTAGTTCCACTACCATGGAGTCTAATGTCTGCCTCTGGGCTACTAGATTTACCCTTCTCTTGCTCCGAGTCCAGTATTTCTGTTTTTCTGTTAACATGTTTCACTTTGGCATAGATATGATGTGACGTGTCTGGTTTTTCTTCATTCAGTTCTTGTACAGGATCTACAGAAAAGACAGGGTTAAAATAAAGACTGTAAAAGAAAATGTGAGAGAAGACAAGAGGCCCACGGGCCTTATAGGTCACCTGAGTATTGTGTAACAACTTTCAAACAATTAAATTTGGTTCGTGTTTTAAACCAGAGGCCATGAAATTCACAATTCACAATTTTGAAAGAGGCAACATTGCTAATCATAATTAAAACAAGAGGCCCATGGGCCACATCGCTCACCTGAGAAGCTTTGACCATTCTGTTCTTTACCAGATTTCCCCCTTGTAATACATAAAGCATCCCCACCCTACCCCACTGATCATAATTTAGACATTTTGAAATCTACACTACCCCATGATCCTTCCATGGGCACATATGTTTCAGCTTTTTTGGCCCAGTGGTTCCTGAGAAGAAGATTTTCAAAGATTTTTCCTATATATTTCTATGTAAAACTTTGATTCCCTATAATGGCCCCGCCCTTCCCCCGGGGGTCATGATTCCTATAATTTAGAATTAACACTACCCCAGAATGCTTCCACATAAGCTTCACTTTTTCTGCCCCAATGGTTCTTGAGAAAAAGATTTTCAAAGATTTTTCCTATATATTTCTACATAAAACTTTGACTCCCCATTGTGGCCCCGCCCTTCCCCCGGGGATCATTATTTGAACAATTTAGAATCTACATTATACCAGGATGCTTCCACATAAGTTTCAGCTTTTCTGGCCCAATGGTTCTTGAGAAGAAGATTTTCAAAGATTTTTCCTATATATTTCTATATAAAACTTTGATTCCCCATTGTGGCCCCGCCCTTCCCCCGGGGGTCATTATTTGAAAATTTAGAATCTACATTATACCAGGATGCTTCCACATAAGTTTCAGCTTTTCTGGCCCAGTGGTTCTTGAGAAGAAGATTTTCAAAGATTTTTCCTATATATTTCTATATAAAACTTTGATTCCCCATTGTGGCCCCGCCCTTCCCCCGGGGGTCATGATGTGAACAATTTAGAATCTACATTATACCAGGATGCTTCCACATAAGTTTCAGCTTTTCTGGCCCAGTGGTTCTTGAGAAGAAGATTTTCAAAGATTTTTCCTATATATTTCTATGTAAAACTTTGATTCCCCATTGTGGCCCCGCCCTTCCCCCGGGGGTCATGATGTGAACAATTTAGAATCTACATTATACCAGGATGCTTCCACATAAGTTTCAGCTTTTCTGGCCCAGTGGTTCTTGAGAAGAAGATTTTCAAAGATTTTTCCTATATATTTCTATATTAAACTTTGATTCCCCATTGTGGCCCCGCCCTTCCCCCGGGGGTCATGATGTGAACAATTTAGAATCTACATTATACCAGGATGCTTCCACATAAGTTTCAGCTTTTCTGGCCCAGTGGTTCTTGAAAAGAAGATTTTCAAAGATTTTTCCTATATAAACTTTGATTCCCCATTGTGGCCCCGCCCTTCCCCCGGGGGTCATTATTTGAACAATTTAGAATCTACACTATACCAGGATGCTTCCACATAAGTTTCAGCTTTTCTGGCCCAGTGGTTCTTGAGAAGAAGATTTTCAAAGATTTTTCCTATATATTTCTATATAAAACTTTGATTCCCCATTGTGGCCCCGCCCTTCCCCCGGGGGTCATGATTTGAACAATTTAGAATCTACATTATACCAGGATGCTTCCACATAAGTTTCAGCTTTACTGGCCCAGTGGTTCTTGAGAAGAAGATTTTTTAATGACCCCACCCTATTTTTGTCTTTTCTTGATTATCTCCCCTTGCGAGGGGATATGTCCCTTCATTTTAACAATTTAAATTCCCCTTCACCCAAGGATGCTTTGTACCAAGTTTGATCAAAATTGGCCCAGTGGTTCTTGAGAAGAAGTCGAAAATGTGAAAAGTTTACAGACGGACAGACAGACAGACGGACAGACGGACAGACGGACGGACGGACGGACGACGGACAAAATGTGATCAGAAAAGCTCACTTGAGCCTTCGGCTCAGGTGAGCTAAAAATTAGCATGCCTACTCTACTTACTCAATACCCAGAGGTAGATCAGAGTTACAAAGAGCAAACATTCTTCCACTTTCTAACCAGTTGTGCACCTCACCACAAAAAAAAAACACTGACCTTGGGGCCACATATGATAAAATTTTGCAAATTTTATTATATAATGGTTGATTAATACCAAAGAGCAGATTTCAAAGTATTAATTTATTTTCAGACTATGTAACTCCCCCCTCCCCCCCAACCCTTGACCCAGGGGGGGGGCATAAAAAAATAACCATTTCATAAATATATATACTTGGATCATTGGCATAAAACCCAGAAGCAAAGGGAAATATTTTCAAAGAATTAATGTATTTTAACTAAATAATCAAAAGAGCCCCCGCCCTAACACCTGAACTCCTGACTCTGGGGCCATAAAATTCACAATTTTGGAAAAGGCACTCTTGCTTATCATAGCTATGTGCTTAGTTAGTTTATTTAATACTCAGAAGCAGAGAAGAAGATTTTCAAAGAATAAATGCATTTTCACTGTATAATCAATAGAGCCCCGCCCTAACGCCAGAACCCCTGACCCTGGGGCAATAAAATTCACAATTTCGGAAAAGGCACTCTTGCTTATCGTAACTATGTGCTTAGTTAGTTTATTTCATACTCAAAAGCAGAGAAGATTTTCGAAGAATAAATGCATTTTCACTATATAATCAATAGAGCCCCGCCCTAACACCATAACCCCTGACTCTGGGGCTATAAAATTCACAATTTTGAAAAAGGCACTCTTGCTCATCATAACTTTGTGCTTAGTTAGTTTATTTAATACTCAGAAGCAGAGAAGAAGATTTTCAGAGAATAAATGCATTTTCACTATGTAATTTATAGAGCCCTGCCCTAACACCAGAATCCCTGACCCTGGGGCCATCAAATTCACAAATCTGGAAGAGGCACTCTTGCTCATCATAACTATGTACTTAGTTAGTTAACTTAAAACCCAGAAGCAGAGAAGAAGATTTTCGAAGAATAACTGCATTTTCACTATATAATCAATAGAGCCCCGCCCTTACGCCAGAACCCCTGACCCTGGGGCAATAAAATTCACAATTTCGGAAAGGGCACTCTTGCTTATCATAACTATGTGCTAAGTTAGTTTATTTCATACTCAGAAGCAGAGAAGAAGATTTTCGAAGAATAACTGCATTTTCACTATATAATCTATAAAGCCCCGCCCTAACACCAGAACCCCTGACCCTGGGGCCATCAAATTCTCAAATCTGGAAGAAGCACTCTTGCTCATCATAACTATGTACTTAGTTAGTTAACTTAAAACCCAGAAGCAGAGAAGAAGATTTTCAAAGAATAAATGCATTTTCACTATATAATCAATAGAGCCCTGCCCTAACGCCAGAACCCCTGACCCTGGGGCAATAAAATTCACAATTTTGGAAAAGGCACTCTTGCTTATCATAACTATGTGCTAAGTTAGTTTATTTAATACTCAGAAGCAGAGAAGAAGATTTTCGAAGAATAAGTGCATTTTCACTATATAATCTATAGAGCCCCGCCCTAACACCAGAACCCCTGACCCTGGGGCCATCAATTTCACAAATCTGAAAGAGGCACTCTTGCTCATCATAACTATGTACTTAGTTAGTTTTTTTAATACCCAGGAGCAGAGAAGAAGACTTTCAAAGAAATAATGCATTTTCACTATATAATCTATATAGCCCCGCCCCAGCACTAGAACCCCTGACCCTGGGGCCATGAATTTTACAATTTTGGTAGAGGACTCAATGCTCATTACATTCATGCCAATAGTTTGCCTGCTTGATGTCCAGGAGTAAAGAAGAAGATTTTTAAAGATTGCAATAATTTTAGTGGTTTTGGCCCCACCCCTCAGGCCCCAGGGGACCATGAAATTCACAATTTTTGTTTCCCTTCACCCATAGATGCTGTATACCAAATTTGGTTGAAATTGGTTCAGTGGTTTCAGAGAAGAAGCTGAAAATGTTCAAATGTTAACACACGACACACGACGCACGACGACGGACGAAAACGGATGGCAATAGGTCACCTGAGTTACTCAGGTGACCTAAAAAACAGAATTTGGTTTTTCCTTTTCACAGAAATTTATGTGCAAACAAAGGAAAACCATATGACCTCTGTAATAATCAGTTTTCATTTACTGGGCACAAGAACTTTATTTCCGCATAAATGAGACTTTTTGCTGATGAAAATTTTGTTCTGGAGTATATTTTTATTTGTAAAAATTATACCAGAATTTGAGAAAATTTGTCCTGTTTAAAATTACCAAGTAACTATATCATACAAAAAATAAGGTCTGGCAAAATTTCATAATTTACAGTAGCACACACCTGTTAGGGTGAGTTGATTCATTCCATCATCAGCAGAACACATAACAGTTGCATAGTCTGGGTCCTGGGGATCATACTCCTCCTCATCAAATAGTGGTGCTGCATTTCCATCTTCCTGATTGTCGTCCGATTCTGCAGACAGCTCCGAAGAACCAGAAGCCCGCTCTGTATTCTCAGACTCTGGCACTGAAGCTGATGATTCCCTGCTAACTGTAACATGGGAACTGGTCACTTTCTCTGGAGATTTACTCCTAGGATCCTTTTCTCGTTGATCTGACTTTGGAATTTTGTTTAACACTAGAGGCTTAGCAAATACATTGTCTGAGTCACTTTCCATCATGTCCTCCACAGCCAAACCTTGTTGGTCCATTTTTATCACAGAAGCTTCATATGGCATCAGTCTCTCAGGTTCCAAAAGGCCAGAGTTAGTTGTATCACTTTCCTCAGTATGTCCTAAAACATCATCATTCAAATCTGTAAACTTCAGATCCTTTCTGAATTGCACTTTTGATAATGGCTCCCTAAATCCTGGTCTTGCAGACGAGTTATCATTTACAAGCATCCTTTCCATTTGGTTAAAATTATGAGGAGATTTAGGAGCAATGGGTAAGTCTTTGTGATCGAAATGAGCACCAATGGGATGATTTTCATTGAGGGCTATTTGGGAGGAAATGAGAGTTGTCTCTGACTGGTCAGAATCACTGGACTGAGACAACTTTCTGGAGTGTCTTCGTATCTTATCCTCTATCTTAGGATTAAACTTGAACTGGTCAACATCACGGTCAAAAGTCCTGGCATCGGACTTCCCATGCAGATGACTCTCTGATTTGCTCTTGAAAGTTTGGACATTTTCCATCTCTTCTTCCCTCGGATTTACTGCAGAAAATTTCCATGTTTTTTCTTTCCTCCTTGGAGTACACAACACAGATACATGGCTTTCACTAGCACAGTTCTTCCATGTGGGAGCACTATTTGGTCTTGCCGTCAGACACCGCTGCACTATTTTGTAAGGAGTGGGCTTCTTCCTTTGTTGGTAGATTTCTCTAACAAAAGTATCATCCTCTGTAATGGTTGGAAGCCCAAAGCTAGGGTCAGAGTCATCCACCTCTTCCTCTTCTTCTTGCTGGTTCACTGCCCTAAACTGGTATTCAGCCATCACAGGGTGATGCCGTATTTCTTGGATGATGGAATCATCATCACTATCTTTTCTCCTGCAATGTATGATAAAATATTAATCTAGCTGTTTTTTTTATTATCTTCATTTAACACAATAATCAAAACCATATAGAATACAAATCTAAAAGTGTGCTTTGAAATATGCATAGAATTTACTTTTAAAAAAACTATTTTGGATCCACAAAGGGGGAAAAAGGGAAAACACTGGCCAATCAAAGACAGGGTTGTCCCTAAGAATTGAAATACATGTAGAAGGGGACATTTGGAAAATAGACAGGGATCTGGAGTTCTTCCCCTTATATTGGGAGTTTAGGAGGAATACCAAAATAACTGGGGGATTACATCATTACAGGCAGGGAAATTCCCTGGCCCCAGGGTCTTAGGGACAACCCTGCTGAAACTCCTCATATTCATGAAAGTTCTTGGGTACCTTGAAATTCTGGAGTCCTTTAGGAATTCAAACTTGTCTACAGCATGCCTGGTTTGACCAAACTCCATGGCTGACATTGGTCTGTGGTGCAGATGGCTAGAATCCCATATGGATGTCCTTCAAAAATAAGAAAACAGAAGTAACTACATGTATAAAATTGGATGCTTGGTTAATATGCCCTTCAAATTGAAAACTTTATTTTACAATGCATAAGATGTTCAAAAAAAAATTGCAATTTATTCTACGAAAAAGTTGCATTCTACAGTTGCATATGAAAATGGCATGGTAAATTTGAAGAAAGCAGTTAAAACTATAAATTATTTAAATAACTGTTTTAATAATATAAGGGTACATAAAAGCAGTTGTACATGTAAAGGTATTTTTCAATCAAGCTTTCAATAATAAAAGAAGAATTTCAGCAGTTAAAACCAGAAAGTATTTAAATAATTTCTGTCTTTTAATAATATAAGTGTGTTCCTACATATTCTTTGAAACAAAACATTCCTCATAATTGTTGTTAATAGTCAGTATTGCAATCATCGAACATTTCGTTATTTATAATGCAATTTTGGTTTCATTTTTATGCTTCGTTCAAAAAGCTTGATAGAATAATTTTTTGAAATGTTCCAGAAGACTTGCAGGCACTTTTTTGTGCGCAATAAATATACAGTTTTTTCATTGCCTTTTTGAAATAAAAATTGCAATTTGTATAAGAGATGAACTCCTGAATGAAACTTTCAAAAATAAAAAAGAAGTTTTTAAAGAATCATATTATTGGTATATTTAATGCACACTTATACAACTAACTTACATGTAAATCATGTGCATGTTTAGCCTTTACAAATTTCAATGTGTGTGGCTTTACCAGATCTCTTTTAGCTCATTTTAATGTAATTAAACAGTGATGTACTGTTACATGACAAAACAGCTGAAGCATTTAAAATACATGAATCTCTACTCAAAGCTTTCAGGATTGTCAAAAAAAAAAAAATCACAACTATCCTATTTACCCTAGAAAGAGTCCATGTTGCTCCAAAATATTTAATTTGGGAGTGTCTGCTGAAATGTGTTGAAAAAATAATAATAATTTAATATTTAGAACCTTCCTCCTTTAAAAAAAAGCTTTTAAAAATGCAAGCTGGTACTTGTCCCTGAATATAAAAAAAACAATTTGTTCATAGAAGTATCATCTCTGTTCCTCTGATAATAATATATTTTTTTTTAAATTATGAATGAAAAAAAAACAAAAAAAACAAAATCTGAGCAAATTTGAAAAAGATAAAGACAAAAGGGACGAGGGATGTCTGAAAGGGCAAATACGGTACTTATACAGGTTTATCAATTGTAAACTTCTGCTCTTAAACATGAAAGCTGTGTTGATAGTGATGCATGACTGATAGTCAGATACAGAGGTAACACTTACCCATTGTGGAGGTCTCTAATTCCTTTATCCAACGTCATCCTCGTTAATGACTGTGCTATACCGGAATCCACATCAGAATCTGTAGAATCAAGAAACATGGTGAAAATAAAATAAAACTAGATGTGTTTGTCCCCTAATCTTACCAAAAGAGTTATTTGTTATAGGTAGATATTTCACTCACATCAATCTTCTGCGTAATCAATAATTATTTATGACATTTTTTTTTTGAACGACCAAAACACTAAATTACTCTCATTCTAAATGGTGAATATTTTCTGCACTTCTGACAAATGAAATAATTTTTTCAAGTATCATTATACGCACACAGTATCCAACTTATTTGTTACTAAGACTTTTTTGTTTTTGAAAACATTAACTGATTTCCCAAACACACAGTGACGTAAATTTCTAACCAATTAATATTGAAATTGAGTAAACAGGCCTATACAGCTGATTAATCATTTTAATTTGCTGCATCGTTAATTTTATGAGTCATATGAAGCTAGTACTTTTAGCACTCCATGCTATTATGGTAATTTCTTGAAATTGATAAGGACAGTTTACAATTGTCTGACATGTAGAATCTATGCTGATGGATGAGAATTTACAAACTGAAAGATATACATCTCAAACCCTTAATGAAATTCTCAAAATTTATAGTTATAGATAATACACGCACCTATATCAAAACTGTTGATTTATAGTGGGAATTAAATGCCTTAACCATTCAGTGATAAAAATGATATTTAGGTTAAATTTACCAGTCAAGTTTTTATGATGATGAGAGAGAGAGAGAAAAAGAGAGAGAGGGGGGAGGAGGAATGAGTAGTTACTTGAATTTATTTATTTTTAATTCAGTAAAAGAAAACATCAAATTAGAGAGAAATGAGGAAAAAACACAAAAAATTGCACTCTAATGTTTGCATTTAATATATTTTAATTTATCACTTTAAATAAAGTAGGAGGATAAACTTTTAAATTGCAAGTTCAAAGTACATTGATTTTTAACCCAAATTCCATTTCAATAAAAGCTTTAAAGGGTAACATTTTCTTTAAAAAGTGTTTAGCCAATGGCTGTTTAAATTTGATTATTCATCTTCTGAACTTTGGAACAAGTGGATTTAAAAATATTTATTTTTTTATTTCTTATAACGGCACACTGTCTAAAAAATGGTCAGAAAGCACAGTCTAACAGAAAAACCTTTGTGAGACCTTTAGAGCAATCTAACAAGTTTTCATAATCTCTTTTTAAATATCACACAAATCACTTTAAAGAAGTATATTAGAAAATAAATCAAATTGATTTTTTCTGAATGATAAACATTTTACATAGGTTTGTTCTTCTCAAACACAATAAAAAAAAATCATAACTAAAAAATTATGTTCAATCTTTCTTTTAAAATTCCGACATTTTTTATAACAGCAATATCAAATAAAATCTTTGACAAGTCTTTTAAGTATCAATAGGTCAAACCAGCCCCTATTCATACCACATGTTGTTAAATTTAAATCATGTGAGAAAATGTGTCCCCCAAAACAATGAGATACCTGGTGTTGCCTTTAGATAAAAACTCCGAACTGAATTATTGATTTGAGAGGGCATTATTGATGGGTGAGACAATAACCCCAAGGCAACATTCCCTATGATAAACCTCCCTCTAAAATATGCCATTTATGGGAAAATATATCAACGAGATTATTTACCTACTGGCTAATCAAACATGGCCAAGCCCCTAGAACAACACCCCTCGCAGACAATGTGTGTAATGCGGTCAAGTCTGTACTGTTTATATGAATATTCTAAGCTTTTGTGTACACTACAAGCTCTCAGGTCTGTGTGAAGTTTTTGTAGTCCATTCAATGATTTTACAAATCTGAACACATTCATCTTTAAACGTGTTTATAAGCATATTGTCTTCATACATGCATGTGTATAACTTTGATGTAAAAACATATTAAGACACCTTTCCAAAGCATGAATATTTTCAAGTCATGGTGTGATACTGTAGCTTATATATCAAACACAGGGACATTAAAAAATTCAGAAAATACCAGGATGTTTCACTTTAATTTTTTGGGGAAAAAAATAAATTAATACACTATAAACTGCATGATCATGCATCTTCTGAGAACTGTCTTTTTTCTAAGAAAATCAATTGACCTCACCTGTAATGCGTAAAAGGCTTATTATCTACACTTAATATTTGCATTAATTACCTTTATTGCTGTTTTGCACAAGATTTCCATTCTGCCTTTGCTGCAGATAACCAGCGATGGATATCTGATTCAGGTGACCAGTGGAGCCATACTTTCTCTCTTTTGGTGAGAATTCTGGGTTCAGGTGACCGGTGTCGTAAGGTAAGTGATCATTTCGGGGTGACAGGTGTGAGGGTCCCAAGTTAGAGGACTGCACTGAGGAAGAGTCTATGTCAATGGCACTGTCAGGAGGGGAATCTGGACTTAGCACTCTCCAGTGTGAGGAGTCAGATAAGGTACTATTAGTATTGTGGGGGGTCTGATGCTGAAACTCCAATCTCCGTCTGTAACTCTGTATCTGTTTTTCTTTCCTCTCGAGTTCTAGTTCTAACAATTTGATACGATCTGAGCCATAATCACTCTCTGACTGGCTAGGTCTTTGAAATTTCAATGGTTCAGATAGGTCTCCATGGTGCAGAGGACGACTGGGCAGAGTATATGACTTAGTTTTTGGAGGCAATCTTGGACCACGTTCACAGTGCCTTTCTGCAGAATCCAGAATTAAGGATGGAGTGGGACTTGTTAAACATGACCGAGGATGTCTATGGTGACCAAAAATCCTCTCCATTTCTCTGTCATATTTGGTTATTGCTGGTCTCTCTGAACTAACACTGCAAACATCGTCATTATAATGAACTTCGTCGTCAAAATGAACATGAAGGCCTGAGTTGAACATTTGCCTTGAGGGTCTCCTTGAATCTTTGGGGTTTCTTCTGTGGAAAGTGTGCGGATATTTCTTGTAGAGGTTTTGGAGATATTCAGAATCCATTCCATTTCCATACTGGCTGTGTCCAATCTCTCGTCTGGCATTTTTTAAATCCTGTAACCAAAATATAAATAAAATAAGCATGTAAACAAGATTAATTTCTCTAAGCAATTTTTCAATTGTTCATCTTTTAATGATAATATTTATCTACTTTATTAATTTAAAAACTCAAAATTACCACGTTCATGTAATTATAAACATTTTAACACTTTCAATGCATTCTACTCCAAAAATTCATAGGCCTAAACAGTTTCTGTAACACACAAGCTAATTCAGAGAATTTGTGTCCCCTGCTTAGGGAAAAAGTCGGATCCCCCTGACTGAATTTGTAGAATTATTAAATGTATACATGTATACTGAAGCAAATAAATACATGTATGTCAATATGCATATAAAGATTTGATTGCTTATTCTTTATTATGTGTATAGAAGATTCTTTTTATATGGAATATTTATCACACTGTAAAGTGTAATGATGATTTTATGAGTTTGTACAAGCCAGACCTCATAAATTTTTCATTTCACATGCTGAATACTATCATTTAGTAAAAAAAAAAAAAAAGTATTTCGAAAAAAAAAAATTGGATCGTTCGGGATTCGAACCCGCGACCTCTTACATGTGAAGCGAGAGACATACCGCTAGACCACGGAACTGCTTTATCCTGGCGAAAATTATATGCAAAGATGAAGTCACATACATGTATTTATATATTCACGTTCGATATTGTCAAAATTTTACACAATGCATGGTGGCTAATTTAACCTTTATTAAACAGTTCTAATGTAATAAGAAATCAATGTAAAGTCCGCCGAGAACCTGTTTTATACGTACCCGGTCATAACTCTCCTCATGCCCCTGTGCTAAAAATAGCGACATGTAATACAATAAATACTAACAAAACAAATGGGGCGGGACACTTTGAGAGGGGTGAGAGAGGTCCTAGGGAGTTTTGGTATATAATTGCATTGCAAAAGTTCAAAATCCTCTTGAAATATCGCCTGGAAAGGATAGTGTTACAAACAGACATAATGTATAAATTTATGACCTTAAACTTTGACCTTTTGACCTCAAAATAAATAGGGGTCTTTCTTAGGTCACAGGGAGTTTTATGTAAAATTTCATTGCAAAAGCTCAAAGGGTTCTCGAGATATGGTGGAAACGAAAGTGTTATAATAGACACAATTTGCGAATTTATGACCTTGACCTTTGACCTTTTGACCTCAAAATCAATAGGGTTCCTCTTTAGTTCATACGGAGTTGAGATGCAAAATTTCATTATGAAAGCTCAAAGGGTTCTCGAGATATCGTGTGGAAATGAAAGCGTTACAGACAAACAGAATGATGGACAGACAGACGGACAGACCCAAATTAATATCCCCCACTTTTCAAGCGGGGGACAATGAAATATATCTGTCTTAAAAATTAACTTGTAATATGCATATGAGGCAGATCTTGTTTCTTCATTTCACAAATTGTGACTTATTTGTCTAAATCATGTTTTAATCTTGAAAGCAAAGATGTAATGCATTCACATCCAGTAACACACATATCAGGAATCTCAGTAATGTGGGCCTTTAAAGCTGAAAACTTCTGACAAAATCCTGGCATGCAATGAATCCACATTGAACTTGATGATGCTGGGATAATTAAGTACATTGTCCATTTAGCGAACATATAAGGTGTACCAGTAATTACATATATAGGTGTGCATATATATCTTATATCTGCCTGAGGCTAATAATTTGTGTTTGGACCATGTAAACCTAAATGTGATTTGATGTGCTTAGACACGTACATGTATGTAAATTTATATAAACTAGGAAACCGGCAATGTGTGTTAAAGGTCTACACTGTAGCTTTATTCCTCTGTCAATAAATATCTTGACCTTTGTCCAAGTAAATCTGAAATCTATATCATTATCTCTCTTATATCATTTTTCATATGTGTGGGATGACTGGGATCAAGTTTGAAAGTAGAACTACAATTAAATGTTTTTTAATCAATTACAGGCACATGTAGAAAAAAGAAAATTTGAAAAAAGATGCAAGATACTATTTACCAAGTCAGTGACTTGTCATGAAATCACATACTAGTATTGATGGGGCACATGTATAATTAAAGTCTAAACTCTAAACTGTGTCCCTTAACACGTACTTTGCTTTAAACTAAATCAAGTTCCTTCGAACCAGATATACTAATTAAACAAGTAAAAGTCACCAATATAAAAATAATCTAGACTTATTTTGAATCAGAATGCATGTACAATAAATTACTAAATATAATAAATGTCTTTCTGATCAAATTATGCTTAAAATTATCATAAGATCCAATCCGACCTGCACAAAAATTAGTGTATGCAGGAAATTTGATTACTGTAGTCCCATTCACAGTGTAATTAGCACATCATCAAATATTAATAAGATGGAAGTCTGAACGTCATATCAAGTGACAATAAAAAAAGAATGTCAATACAGTGAATATTTCAATTTTCATTCACATATATTTCTATAGCAGCATGACTCATGAGGCACAATTAGAATTGCAAAGGTGTCTGCAATTATACAGGAAATATCAAGACACTTGTTTAAAAAATCAAATTAAACTCAGTGAAGTTAACAATCAAATTTTAAACCTGAGGGAAAAAAAGTTTAAAAGAATTACAATTGGAGATGTACAAATTTCCACTGACTTGTCGCAGGATTCTTACTTGATTCCTCTTTATAAGAAAGATTTTTTTCTTTCAAGAGTCACTGCTATATTCTCTCTTTAACTAATACATGTAACTGTTGATCATGATGTGACCTAATTGGTACTTGAAAATATACATTACTGTGCATTTCTGAATTTCATCTAGGCCAGTATGAATGATAGGGAAAATGTAAAAATTAACCTGTACGTTACAGCTAGTACGATATGTAGCATTGTAAACTTCAAAAGATGCATACCTGTAGAGATTTAGATCTCATTGCATAGTTTTTGGCCTTGATTTTCTCCCTATTTTCACTAGGTATTTCCAGCCCCGGAGAAACTGAGGCAGTAATAAATGGATTCTCACACTCAATGTCATCGTGAACATTTGGTTCTATAATGTTATCTGTCGTGTTTCGAGTTTTCCCGGTAATTCTACCTGACTTAACAAGTTTATCGTAATACGATTGGTGTGTAGGAAGCCCACTTTTTAATCTCAATGGATCCATCGTTATTCAAGTTTTCACAATTATCAACAACAGGTGCGCGAAAAATATATCTAATGATAAAGTGATATAAAATCCGTCACATGTTTTTAATTTTTCTGTTTGAATCTATTATACAAATGAAAATATTGTGCCATATCTTTTCATTTAAATAAACACTCAGCAAGTTTGACACTCTAACCGTTAGTCATTGATTTTCACTGCACAAGTCATTCAACCATACTCGACACTATCCATTTTTGCAAGCTTTGTGTAGTAACCTTCATACGTCATCGACTATTGTGTATAAAGCATGCGGTAATTATAGTCCGTTTCGCATTGTCTTAAGTGGGTAGTCAGTGAATCATAAAGTTAATCTGAACAGTATTGAGAAAAAAAAAAACGCATTTTTTAATGTTTTTATAAACAAAATTTAACATAAACTATTGTTTTTCACTTGTTCGCAAAGCCATGGCATTTTGTCGGTTGAGACTAGCTGGTATACCGCTTTCCAGTGGGGGATTAATTTCGGTCTGTCTGTCCGTCTGTTTCTCTTAATACTTTCGTTTCCGAGCGATATCTCGAGAAGCCTTTGAACATTTATACCACAACTTCCTATGGTATGGGGAAGATCCCTTTTTATTTTGAGGTCAAAAGGTCAAAGGTCAAGGTCGTAAATCTATACATTCCGTGTGTATGTTAAACTTTCTTTTCCAGGCGATATCTCACGAAGCTTTGTAATCAATTTTTTTACCGTAAATCCCAGTAGCCCCGCCTGCCATTCTTAAAGTGCCCCTTCGAACACCCCCCCATCCGCGTACACTCTTCTTTTTTTCCTTAAGCGGGGAAACAGATTGACGGTCTGAATTAGCTTGTTCAATCACTTCAATAACAGAAGTTGATAATATCTGGAATGCATGACTTTTACAGAACAGAGATTTGTACTGACTAAAAAATAAAATATCAATTCGTGAAAGATATGTCACTGTCGTTTCAAACTAAGAGCGAAATTTTAAGGTAATACATGAACTTATATTGGTGAACATTGGGACGAGATGGCTGTACACAAACACATGAGCTTGATACAAGATATTGAACATTAAAATTCTCTAGATTTTTTTTAAAGACTATCTATAACATATATAAAAATGTTGCTTATATTGGATCTTTCGAAAGCAAAATGTATTTGAATTGATTGATTGTAGGTTGTTTTACGTCCCATTCAGGAATTTTTCACTCATGAAAAGACGTCACCATATACCGGTGAAGGGCTTCAAATTAAGACCATTACTCGGTACTCATGGGAATTGTTTATCGTTCCAAAGCCTGTCGACACACGCGCGGGGCCTCGGTTTTTAAGGTCTGCATCTTTCACTTTAAAGTGCCGGGCGCATGTATGGCGAAGGAGCAGTTGGTTCAATTTTTTATCGACTAAGTCAGGGACTTTCCGATCATGGAGCTCGAGCGCAACATGTATTTAGAAGAAAAACAGAAAAAAATGAACAACAGTCATTGAACACTTGCATCTTTAAAAAAGACCATGAATGAAATCCACTTGTTTACTGTTAAGTGGATAGTATACAGTACTATTAGTACTGAGCATTCTAAAACACACCGGTTTATCTGTACCACAAACCTCAATCAAATGATTTGGAGAAATATATTGAAGCAAGCATTATCACATTATACACAATATCTGAATAAACGGACGAAACTGTATTTATATACAAAACTGAGTAGACTTTCAGGACGCAGAACACAGGACACAGAATAAAGATGACATCAAGGAAATCAGATGTGTAAATATGGTTAGAAAAATTCTTTCTCGCACAAATATATGAGCAGCATATTTAATGAGATACGTCTCCTTTAAACGTCTGAAGCAAACCCCCGAGTGTTTGACTTGAGAAAATCGATAGAAAGTATTTACAAAGCTGTCCGATGATATATTACATAATGGTAAATCTTTTTAAAAATTTTAAATCGGTGGAGAAAATCATTCTGGGGGAAATATATAGCTGCTGCTATTTGAAATAATTTACTGAATACAATATCAATCATTCCAAAATACAAATTCACTGCAATCTTTAGGACTATTTGTTGATCTATGGACCAGTGATTGTCAGTGCATTCGAAAAGACGGTATCAGTCTTGAGGTCTCGCAGTCAGGTAAGTTGATACATGAGCTAGGTACTTAAACAGCTGTTAAATAAAGAAGTTCGGTAATTTTTTTTTCAAAATTATTCACAATTGACTTGCATGTCCAGATGTAACCTTTTATGTCTTTGAACATATAAGGGCCATTAATTTGATTCCTGCTTTGAACAACTCTAGCAATTTAAAAATTTTAGCCCATGATTTTTGTGATATTATAAATTCTAAACCAATGGCTTGGAGTTAGCTCAATTCACGCTCAGGCTTATTAATTTAGACTAAGTAAGGATTTCTAATTTCTTTAAGCAGGTGAAGGTGTGTGTGTGGGGGGGGGGGGGGGTGTCAACTACGAAGTGGGGAATGAGTTATCCCTTGCACTTAATTACTTTTAAAAATCTATCTACACATTGATCTAGAATCCAAAAAATCGTTGAAGACCTGTGCTTTAAAACTCTTTTTATTTTATTTTTTAATCATTGATCGAGATGGTAAATCAATGTAGTCTGGATAATCAAATGTTAAACTTCAATGGATCCCCCTCCTACAAGTGGGTATACGAAGTTATAGAAAGGAAAGGTATACAGTATAATACTATTTGACAAGAAAAGAACAGAGTTTATTAAAGATGCCAATGTTTGACACCCCCCCCCCCCGTACATTACTATAGAAAACAACTGTTTTATCTGTTTATAATTGAAGTTGTGATACCTCCTTAAAATAACGTCTGATGACCTTTTCTTAGCTTTTAAAAATCTTTTTAAGTCCCAAACCCTCACGTTATTAAACCAGTTTAAACTGAAACGGCTTCTGTATTCAGAAACAAAATGTGTTGTCTGCTTTTACCCCTTCCCTCTTTACACATGATTTGATGACGTTTTCCCCTTTGTAAACACAGATGTACAAGCAGCATATCAAAGAAGACTGGAAAGAAACACTTTAACCGTCTTGTACGGCAATGACCTAGACATATCAAGGACTACAACCTTCATCACAGATTATCTAATTGTTTTTGGTATGTGAAGAATTCAGTCTTATTAGCCACGAGTCGCAAAAGAGGATGTTGATTAATCTGCTACTGTCTCGATTTAGACTGACATTCTGTAGTAGCAGCTATATGGGTATAGGAGAACTTAGACTTTATCTTTATCTTTATATTGTATTTTTACTGGAGGGAGATGTATAATTGTTGCTTTATTTTAAAATATGTAGATGTACAATGTTTTGTAGATATAGTATTTGACCCAGGATGAAGTTTGCAGAGCATTTGGGAGCTCACATTACTCCTGAATGGAGAAAACAGTATATACAGTATGAGGTAAGAGGGATAAATATACATATTTGCATGCATCAACTAGATTTCCATGCATATTATTTAATAAAAATACAAAAATTTCAAATGATTGTTTTAACATTCTTATGATTGACAAGAAACAATTTGATTTTTCTCAATCTGAATATGAAGAGAAGCAGTAACTGTTGTTAAATAATTGAATGACTTTATGTTTATTTACTCTCTAAAGTAAGGGGCAGATGTAAAAACTGCATTTTTGTTTTTTCTTGGAAAAATTATGAAAAAGACACAATTTTAGCTCGTATTTTATACCAAGAAATTTATGCCTGTGAGGTAATTTTATGTTACATATGTGATATAGCAAAACTTCCACTCATATATGTATTGAAATTCATAATTCATGTACTTAAGAGCAAATGGTTAAAGAAAAGCTTGATATACATTTTAGGCAATGAAAGAAATGTTGTATGAAGCACAGGAGCAAGCACCATCTCCAGAAGGTAGGCATGGCATTTTAATTGAAGTATTTTACTGATATTTTAACATTCTTTACCCACAAACTGTTTTCATGTAATACAATTATTTTAGCATGCACAGATTTTTTTTCATATTAATTCTAAATTTTGATAAAAGTGACAGACGAAGCCACCATCCACAGATTTTTCGCTCGGTTTGATGAACGATTTTTCCAGTTCTGTGACAAAGAGCTATCCAAGATAAACACATTCTTTTATGGTAATTTTGAACTTTTGGATAATAGATTTGATATATACCTCTACATGCAATTTTGTAAAAAAAAAAATTGTGTATGAATTTGTTGTGAAATCTATTTTTGAACTACATGAACAGAGAAAAACCTGTTTGAAATGATTAAAATTAATCACTGCTTTTGGGAGGGAGAAATCATTGTTCACAATTTTTTTTAATAGAAAAAATATCAGAGGCCAACAGAAAATATGCCAGCTTAAAGGCAGAACTGGATGCTTACAATGAGCATGCCCACAAACCATCCACTTTGGGAGGTCTACGCCGCCGCAAGCGGGACGGGGTGTACGCTCTCTTCAAGGACAAGGAGAACCAAGGACTATCCCACGCACGCAAGCACAATGACCTGAAGCTGGCCTTCAGCGAATTCTACCTCAGTCTCATCCTGCTACAAAACTACCAAAACCTCAACTTCACAGGGTTCAGAAAGATTCTTAAGAAACATGACAAGGTACAATCTAATTAAAACTAGTGCTAATTGTATGTATGTATTTGAGACTTTAACAACATTACCCGGAAGTTTATTCAAGTTTTATCATTGCATGCTTGCACATGCGAATGCCTGTGCGTGATGATCATATCATTTTGTCTACACAATCCATATATTTTAATATACTAAAAATTAAAGTATTTAATCCAAAAGTAATAAAAAATACGCTCATTCAAGTGTATTTTTGATTTTGTTCATTTCACGTGCACGCACGTGCATACATGAGCACGGTGACCATACCTTCTTGTAGAAGTCCATTACATCTATCTTTGTTCTAAATCCCACCCCATATGGTTGAAAACCAAGGGCGTTATACCTGTTAAAAGTTACAGCCAATCAGATTGCAGCGCACGTACACGCACGTGTATGCATGTGCATGATGACAACCTTTCTTTTAATCCATTATATCTATTGTTCCAAATCCCATCCTGTTTGGTTTGAAACCAAGGGAGTTATAGCTGTTTAAAGTTTCAGCCAATCAGATTGCAGCGCACGTACATGCACGTGTATGCATGTGCATGGCGAATACTTTCTTGTAGAAGTCCATTTTATATATCTATGTTTCAAATCCCATCCTCTTTGGTTGAAAACCAAATGAGTTATAGCTATTTAAAGTTTAAGCCAATCAGATTGCAGCGCACGTGCATGCACGTGTTTTCATGATAATTGCTATATATCATATTGTAGGACATCCTAATGCATGGCTATGTTCAAGATTTCAAAGCATTTCGTCAAAAAACAAAAAAGATATTGAGATTTTTGTTTCAGCCAATCAGAACGAAGCGCACGTGCATGCGCGTGAGATCTTGCTATTTTGACCATGTCATTTTCTATGCTACTAATGTATCCTTATATTATGAGTTCTAAAGCATTTCATCAAAAATTTAAAAAGTTATATCTATATCAATTAAATCGGTCATTTATCATGTTGCACGTGCGCGCTCTTGCAAGCACGTGCGCACAAAATGACCTTCGCTCTAATTAAACTGACCCTAAAAACATTTCACCTTAGTCTGATGTGTAGTTTACAAGATCACTCGCGGGGAAGAAAAATTAAGAATAATAATAATAAGGTTTGTTCCCAAACTCCGAAAAAAATATTGGTTTGCCTTCTAAAAAATATCCCATAGAGGGACATGTCAGAGGTCAAATTCTATCAACCAATCATATCGTTGTCTGCAAAATCATCGTATATTTGTTGAAGGGAATAAGTCATTATTCTGTTGGAGAAGTGTTAGATGTTAGTGTAATGTGAATATCCAATTTTAATTAGATTGAACCAAGTACAACATAGTGAACATACTTGCTAAAAAAATTTCATATTTTCAGGGTGTCCTTTGTGGGATTATTTTGTTGGAGAAGTGTTGAGTAGGAATGAATGAAAAATTCTACATTTCTGGGTGTCATTATTTTGTGGGTGTCGTCATATCTTGAAAATATAAAAAAAAAATTACTCGTAAACCTCAATGAAATTTAATGATTTCACAGTATGTCTTTGGAACAAGTTTCCATTTGGTACAAGAAACTTTTATAAGCCTTAGATGATTGATCCAGCTAGCAGATCAGTATACATTTTAGAATATTTATTGGCATTCATTGATCTATGCATAACACATTGGTAAAATCAATATTTACCTAGAATACTGATTTACTAAATATGCAATGTTGAATTTTCTTATATTGTGGTTATTCAATAGGAAAAATCTGATTGTTTCATTGTGAGATTCAAAAATTGATTGCCTCATTCATAATTAATTGCTAATGACTGAAATGGATTTCTTTTTAAATGGTAATGTAGCTGATGCAGACACAGAGAGGAGCGGAATGGCGTCAGGGAAATGTAGAGATTGCCCCGTTTTATACCAACAAAGAGGTGGATCATCTGATCAAAGAGGTGGAGGTACGTAACACAGGGACTGAACACAAACAAGGATTTACATCCAGATAATGAAACAGGTTATCTAAAAACAAATCATTTGATTATCTAATGAGGAAAGCATAAACACTTACACACAGACCAGAGAAAAAAGAGAGAACAAAAAACAATTGACACCCCCCCCCTCCATAGAGTTTGCATACCCCCCCCCCCCCCAAAAAAAAAAGATTTTGCATAAAATATGTGTATGATTCACATATTTTATGTATAATTTCAAAGAAAGCAACAAAATGTTTTGAATGAGGGAAAGAAACAAAGTATGTACATGTATAAGTTAAATTGTTGTATTTTAAGTGATCAGATGAGGAATTTTAATATGAAGCAAGTTAGAGATATATGTGATAAAGTAAAGTTCTATCTGTACACAAACAAACTGATGTTCATATATGTAATGCTAATGTTTTTTCCCAATTTATACACCGAGGTATCCTCTGAATTTTTATTTTTTACAGCAAGTTGTAACAACAGATCTAGAGGGAGGAAATCGAAGTAAAGCAATGAAAAGGTTGAGGGTGCCTCCACTAGGAGAAAAGGTATGAACCAGTTATTATATAAAACAGTAAAATGCTTCAAGGTATCAGGTTCTTTAGAAGAAAAACATGTATCAGCCAGCTGAAATCAATTTGTTCATAGCTTAATAAGTTGCTTCTGTAACAAAAATATTTGCTTTTAATAGCTGCTTTTGTTTGTCAGATTAATTTTTCTTCACAACCCAGGTTTGTTTCTTATGTTTATGTTTGCTAAAAAGGTATTGGGTTTAAAATTTTTGAGAGCATGAATATTCATATGATAATTTAAATGTAAATGTACATGTTTTGTAACCAATTATTTGCATAGCTTTTAACTAGTTGGGTTTAGATGGTTATAGGAGCATGTTCTGAAAATGGTGAAAAGTAAAAATGGAGTGCAGTGTTTATTGAAATTGTACAAATTTCACAAAGACCTACCAATTTCTTTTAAAGAAATTTTTTTTTTTTTTTTTTTTTTTTTTTTAAAAAAGGACACAATAGAAATGTGCACATTTTAAACTTCTTGTGAATTTTTTCAGCAAAATCCATGGACTACATTCCGAGTTGGCTTATTCTCAGGTTGTTTTCTGGTATTAATTGTCTGTATTGTCCTTACTGGTAAGTAAGACCTGAAATGCCATCAGTTTTATAATATTTGCTATGAATTTAAAAATATTGCAAAAATTGAAAGAAAATTTTGATATTCTGTCCATAATTTTTTTTCCCTTCCTTTACAGCTGTTTTTCCAATTGACACCAGCATACAATGGGACACATCAGTACACATGTACCGGGGACTATTCCTGGTCATCCTCATGATATTCCTCCTTGGCATTAATACGTATGGCTGGAGGTCATCAGGGGTCAACCATGTACTCATATTTGAGATTGATCCAAGACATCACTTATCTCACCAACAGTTATTAGAGGTACTTAACTTAATATATAAATAACATTGGTCCTGACAAAATTCCAGATTGTAACACATTTTAAACAATTAAATGTTCAATAAAAAAAGGCCACAAAGTCATAATAGGCAAGGTTTCTGAATCCACAATCATAATCTTGATTTTTAGACAAGTTTCAATATACTCTCAGAAGTAGTGAAAATTATTCATACTCTTGCTCATATTTAAAAAAAATGATCATTTGTCTCAAAGTTTATAAAAGACCACAATACCCTGAAATTTTTGTTCTAAAAATACATTTGTAATAACTAAAAAGTACAATAAAAATTGGATTCAGAGATACTCTGGGAACAAAAAATGGTGCTTGTAGACTTCATAAGGATTATAAATTAAAAAAATGGATTTTTTTTTACAGCTGGCAGCATTTCTAGCAGTGTTGTGGGCCCTCAATGTCCTAGCATTCCTGTACAGTAAATTCCTCCATATCCCTCCCTATGCCTGTCCCCTGGCCCTGGTTGTATTCCTCATTCTGTATCTCATCAATCCATTCCGAATTCTCCACTACAGCTCAAGGATGTGGCTGCTGAAAATATTGGTAAGATATAAGCCATCCTGGGGATATTATAGTTATATCAAATACAAGCACTGTCAGTAATTTTTACAACATAGCAGACTGTAAACTGAAAAATAAATGACTGTAAACTGAAAAATAATTGACTGTAAATTAAAAATAACTGGCTGTAAATTGACAAATAACTTGATGTAAATTGAAGAAGGACTGGCTGTAAATTGCAAATCCTGACATTGTTTTGAGGAGTTTTATGCAGGTTAATGAATAATAATATTTTGATTTTCACATGTAGGAACATGTACCTTCATGTCCATGTATTATACAAATAAGTGAACAAGCAATTTATTTAGCGCTTTTATTTTATTGTAGTTCCATATTTTAACTGCACCTTTTCACCATGTGGGCTTTGCTGATTTCTGGCTGGCTGACCAGTTAAACAGTCTTAGCACAGTATTACTGGACTTTGAATACATGATTTGTTTCTATGGTTTTGAAGTGGACTGGTTGCCAAATCCTGATAGTATGTATTCCTGTATTATTGTTTTAGATCTCTTACACACAGTATTCATCAAGATCATTATAATTATTATTCACTTTTTATTCCAGAATCAAAAATTTGTTCAAGAAATGTTTATGCAGTTGCCATTCGTGCCGTAATCAGCTGTCTGCCAGCGTGGTGGCGATTTGCTCAGTGTTTACGGCGTTACCGTGACACCAGACTAGCATTTCCTCATTTAGTGAATGCTGGGAAATATTCCACGACATTCTTTAATGTTTTGTTTGCTACACTTTATAAAGTAGAAACAGGTCAGTTATTATCTCTCTGAACTTTGTTTGTGTGTGTGTGTGTGTTGGGGGGGGGGAGGGGAGGGATGCTTTGAGTCATTATCTTTTCCTCTTTTGTCTGAGTACGTGTTACATATTTAATATCATGACATTGAAATAGGGGAACATTAGAAGATCTGATTTTTAGAATAAACATCCCAATAAATGAATATATACACATTGTATATTTTACTGTAAAAACTTTTTAATATTACACCTGCACAGTATGTATCATTAAGATATCCATTTGTATTTCAGTGGTAAATAATAACACAGATTCCATCCAGAACCATTCTTTCTTTTATCTGTGGATAACATTCGCCATCATAAGTTCCTGTTACACGTTAACCTGGGACCTCAAAATGGATTGGGGTTTACTTGACTCCAACGCAGGGGAAAACCGATTTCTCCGAGAGGAGATTGTTTATGCCTATAAGGTAACACCAGTAATCCTTGCCTGTATGCTTGTCTGTGCTTTCTTACTCAGACAGTTCTTCATCTTTTGTTTTTAAATGAACTATACACTGACTGTAGAAAAGAAGTTGCTTTCAGTTCACTCCCTTTGTATAATTTTCCAGGGGACATGTTAAGATGTACCAAACCAAATCATTTGAGGCATTATTTAGCAATTTTGTAAACTCTTGGATTAATAAATGTGGGGGAAACTTAAATTTGAAGTAAAATAATTTTATGAGATCTATTGACAACTGGAATGGTTGGCTTTTGAAAATGTAATAAAATACCTGCATTTAAATATGTTGTGCTCTTTATGGGTCTTTATATGGAATAATGTGATAGTGCTTATGTATGTCTTGCTAGCATAGAGACAGTAAAATTTATGGCATCATGTTTTGTATTCCAGGCCTACTATTATTTTGCTATCATTGAGGACTCCATTCTAAGATTTGTGTGGACTCTACATGTCTCATTAGGAGAAGGGATTCTTTTTAATCAGAAGGAGGCATTGGTAACAATATTGGCATCTTTTGAAGTATTTAGGTAAGTCTAACTGGAGCTAGCACTAGGGACAGAAAATTGGATTTGGATGAAACTTTTAAGTTTTTAATTAAAAGTCATTGGTTGATAAATGACAAGGGGCAAAAGTTTCTGCGGGTACCCAAATAGAAATGTAAATGTTAGCGTACCAATATACCAGAACAAACCAGTGAGTCATACAGAAATGTTAATGAAAAGCTGTACACTTGCATTGATCAAAAACTACATGAATGTTGTAAAGTAAAAAAAAAATTCTTGTTAAACAGGAGATTTGTGTGGAATTTTTTCCGACTGGAAAATGAGCATCTCAACAACTGTGGACAGTTCCGAGCGGTGCGGGACATTTCTATCGCTCCGATAGATTCTAGTGACCAGAACCAGCTGGAGGAAATGATGGACGAGGACGACGGAGTGTTTACGTATCGCAGCGAGAAACGGAAATTACTCTCCAGGTAAGATTTTTACAGGAACCGGGGCCGGTGTATACAGATACATATATCTTTTTCTTTTGGTGAATTTTTTTTAATCTTTTTTCTTCTAACAAATTTTAGTGCATTTTTGTTTGGCATTACTAAAATGTTTATCTTGCATCAAAAAATTTAATTTTGAAATAATTCATGTACGGCTAGTTTGCTTTTACATGTAAATTACGTACATGTACCAGACAGTCTGATAAGGTGTGGCCAGTAAAATATTAAATTTTTACGTTGATGAATTTTTCTTCCAGTCAGCACAGAAGGAGGTACAGTTATCTATAAAGTGAAGCATGAAAAGCATGCTTTAATATTTACAAAATAACTGTTGTATGCTTAGAGGTCGTAACAAGCATTGCAACATAGGGTACTAATTTTTATCAAGCCCTTGGCTCTGCAGCCAAATGCATTTGTTGCCATATTATTTTTAGCCTGAGATATAAAAAGAGTGGATGCACCTTAAAAGTTTTGCATGAAGTTATCTAGAAGTCAAGCTTTCCTGCATTTTAAAATTTATTTGGGGCAATTTTCTTAGAGTCATAGCTTTCATAATATACCATAACATGAAGCAGTATTACAAAGTATAGTTACATATAATTACCGGTATGTTTAGTTCAGCAGATATTTCCAGAATTTTGTCATATGCTTGAATATGATAATATAGTGTTCATAGAGCCCATGCTGTGCATGCATGTGTACATATATATGTGGTAGATAAAAATCGGCACATTTTGGTGAAGGTAATTGCAGGGTATTTTATCATTAAATTGGGGGAAAAATTTGACAATTTTTAGCACCTATAAATTTTGGATAGCCGTTTCCATCTTTTGATAAGAAAATAGATTTCTTTTCATTAATTTTTCAAGTATGTTTACATTTATATTCCTTGATAGTTATATACATATACATTGTAGTTGGGTATCAGCCCCTAAACCTAAAGCCTGAAGGTAGGCCCGGGTAGAACTGACTGTTGATCATTGTTATAGGTTCAATTTAGGAGTGAAGTAGTCAAATTTTTAAATAATACTTATATTTTGATGTTAGGTTTAACATTTATTTTGTATAAAAGTAGGGTTAAATTGTTTCCTTGTTGTCAATGTAGAATTATTTAATTTTTATTCTAATCTTAATCTTCAAGTCAGAAGAATATATACCCCAAAACTGAAAAAAAAAATCATCAATTGTGTAGAATCCTCTTGAATACATTTTCTTGAAACTTTTTTTTTTGTGAAATAACTCAAGATTTGATATGCATTTACCATTTATTGTTGTTTCTAATACTGTGTATAGATTAACATAACATGTCAAGCCTGGAATGTCAATGACTGAATGTTGTGGATTGGATGTTTTATGATTTGAATAGCCAGCTTTGAATGGTTAGATGTTGCATGTATTGCAGTGGGCAGTGATTAGAAATGTGTGCTTTTATAACTGTTTTTACTACCACATTATAGCATCAACCAACTGTGATTGTTGTGATAAATTAAGTACTCATTTTTTTCCAGTAAAAGCTCGGCATCGCTACGAACTCGACGATCCTCTGCCCTCTTACGTTTCATGGACCCGGTAGGCCTGTTCTATTCTGTCTGCATGAAATAATTTACTCTCTTTTCATTTTTAATTATTGAAATTCTTCTTCCACTACTAGTTCTCCATATGTTTTTTTCTCATGAATCAGGTAACAGAATCGAAATTTGTTAAGAAATACATGTATGTTTTAAAAATCTTTATTGACACATTTGAAAAAAAATATGACTTACATGTAGATATTGTAATGTTTTATCAATTAATATCACTTATCATGACAATGGATGTAAGGCTTACGTATTTGATGAATACATTTCTGATTCTTTGGTTGAAAGCTGCTTTGAAAGGCTTTTTTGCTTTGAAAAAAAGCTTATTCAGTTTTTGTAGAGAGTGAATTGCTTATCTATAAAGTAGACGTAGATAGATATTGTTGATTTTTTAATGTCCAGATTTCTAGGAAAATAGGAGCAACTTTCAGACCCATATAACCATGTAAGTGTGTTTTTGGTAAATATAGATTATTTAATTAGATTATTATTTAATCTTTTGTCTTTTTTTCACCTTTTTTTCAGTCGAAAGAAGGATAAACATGATGAAGAGACTACTAAAATCAAGTGGAACTTCAAGGGTGTGTGAAACTATATATGTTTCCAACATTTCAACCAGACTGACCCACTCTATAGAAAAAACAGAGATTTGATGTGTTCAGGGGTGAAAGGTCGAGAGATTTTTTCTGTGATAAGTACTGCTTGTGATATGAATGTGTATACATGTAGTTGAGTAAGGATGAATGTACTGCTTTTGTGAAGAGATGCTATAAAAAAGAAAATTTGTTATAATTTTCAGGTAAAGATGGTATAATTCTTTCATCTTATTTTTTAGTGACCAACTTTAACAATTCCCAGACCTTGCTATTATTCCTTTAAATGAAAAAGGATTTCTTTCTTAGCTTTAATTTTGTCAAATGTCTTTAATTTGTTAAGGTCTTTTCAGACAGTTAAGTCATTATTATTTGTTATACATTTCTTAAGCATTTAATAGCACCAGATACATGTAGTTATTATGAAATTAGGATCTCAAATGGAAATTCTCTGCCCCCCTCCCAGCAATTTTTTGTAAAATTGTAAATCATGTGATACTTGTAATACAGTAGGTAAACTGGTTTGAATTGATGTGAGTCAATTACATTTAGTACATATGTACTAAATTTGTTCCTACTTTGATGTTTTGACAAATGGAAAAACATTTCTTTTTCTACTTAAATATGAATTTTACATGTACTTACAATGTAGATGATTTTGTGATTTCTTTTAATTCTTTTAATTCACCTCAGTGAGGTCAGCATGATAAAATTTACCATTACTGTGATTATTCTTGGGTGAGTGATTCTACATTGGTCCTGGCCCATGGATGAAATTAGAGTTGAATGTACAATGAACTGCCAAACAATTTTTTTCCATTTTCATACCCAACTGTGGTCAGCCCTAATCATTGAATGAAGATTAATAGAGAGCCAGACTAACAGAAAGACTTTTTGACGTGAGTTGCAAAAAAGTCTTTGATAGTACATGTATTGCATGTATATAGCTCATTTCTTTTTTCCCTTTTCATTTCTCTCTTTCAAAAATTTTGTACTTACCAGGCATTGTAGGTACTATAAAACATAATACCAGACTTGTATTAAAATTATTATTTTGTTTAGTTTACACTTATGTTGTTATTACCTCAGTTGGATCTGAGAACCAGGTATTTTTCTTTGTTGATATTTTATAAAAAATATGTTTACAGAACATGCAGCATACATGTATGTTTAAAAATATCTATTTGTTTGATGTAAAATGTTAAAGATTTCAATTGAGTATTTTATTTGTATTTTATTTTCCAGAAACATTTTAATTAATCAGATTTGTTTTAATTATATAAACATGCATGTATTCAATATAGTTGTACAGTACATGTATATGAATAGCAAGTAATAAATAACAATGGGAGTAGAATGTTGTATTGTTTGTAGTAACAGTAAAACTCGCTTATAATGAAGTCACTGGGACTCATGAATTTACTTCGCTATACCTGTAATTTGTTATGTTCGTACAAGAAATTCGTAAAATTGATATAGCTTAGGATTCAAGATAACTTCCCTATATCCATGAAATTGCAATAACCGTGTACAAACTAAATGAGTTTTACTGTATATTGTGACTAGGCTTTGAAATACATGTGTACATGTATAAGTACATGAACTGTATGTACCAGGTAATAATTTTACACACTTATATTAACTGTATTATATTTGTTAAACTATGTATTCTGATCCACTTGAAACAGGTCAGTATTTCAAATCAGTATAGTTATGTGCAACGAATTCCAAGATTCCATGACCAGCCAAAATTGCTGTTATTTATTCAATCCAGTCTGTTATGTATTATTTCTCCGCAATACTTAATTGAAAAAATCATATCTGTATTACAATTGTGATTTTAAGATTAGTACATGTAAAAACATCCATAGCAAAGGGTCCCAGTTATACATGTATATGTCAACATTTATATGACTGTGTGAAATATCCGCTAGATGTAAAACAGTTTTTAGATTTTTTAAAATTATAAAATAGGATAACTGTTAGTCTTAGCAGTCCGGTTCTTGACTTTGCAATTGGCAAATAAAAAAGTTTGCATATTATACGTGGTTTACAGTGACTATAAGCTTGATTTTATGTGGTTGTCCTCTGATTTATTAATCAGATTATATTAGTTAATAATTTTCTTTTCTGTGATCTAGGACTTTTCAATGTTTGACCATTTGTCTATGTTTATAAAAATTTGGTGCTGATGTACTTGTCTCTTGTTATAGAAAATTAGTTGTGATTCCCCACCTTCCTGTAATAGAATGACCATTTGATTTGGAGGGGGGGATGCTGGCTGGCAGGTTTTAAAGATAAAGAATAAACACCCATACCCCCTCAAAATAGAGTTTTGGATATTGACAGTTTCTGCCAAACTTTTTTCATCAAAGAAGAAATTAAATAATCTGCCCTTGATCATCTAGAAAGGAAATAATCTACATTTAATCTTGACTTATGAACACAAAAATAAGTAACTCTCCTCCTTCAGAATCAAATCAAGTGGTCGTCCACTTTATAGTATTGAACAGAACTCCTACATTTGATGCATAATATAAAAAAAAAATAATAAATGCCAGTTGATTTGTTTCTAGTCAAACATGTCAAGGTTAGAGCAATATATATGTAACTTTTTTATGTTGTTGAAAATTGTCCATCTGCAAAAAGTGCTAAATACTGCTTGCTGTGTCTTATTGAAGTTCATGTGAAATTTCAAAACATATACATATTCAAAACCCAAATAAATCTTTAATTAATAAGACAGTTTGTGTTATTATTTAACAGGAACAGATTTCAAATATGTGATGTTGTCATTGTATGTTGATATAAACTTGCATCATGTGCACATTTCCAGTTTGTTTAAATTGCTGGTCCAGTTTCAACTAACTTTTGTGTAGGTACATTCAAAAATGCAATTTTGAATATAAAAACTTCAAACTAGTTCTTCATCACAAAAATGTGATTAAAATCCAGCATCTGAAAAATACCTGATGATCATTTGAAGTTTGGTTTATATAAGCCTTATAGTTTCCGGTAATAGAACTGCACCCATAACTTTTACCTGGTCCCTGGAAAATGTATGTTGAATTCAGCATCCGGAGCAAATCCATTAGTGTGCATGATGTATCCAAAAACATAAAAATTGATGCATTTTCAAAAACTTTCTTTTTTACATCTGGATTTCAAGCAGTCGCATGTACAGTGTTGGCATGATTATTACATGTAAATGAATAATTCGTTTACCAAAGCTTTGAAGTCTATTGCTGGGGGGTCAGAAGTTCTGGAGTAATTCAATATAACTGTAAATTTCAAAAGTAGGTGACTGTGAACTAGTTTTTGGTTGATGTTCTCTGTGGACCCGAGGTGCAACAACTGACAAAGTTTGATGATTCTAGACAATAATTTCCTAAGATTTTTAGATATTTTAAATATAGCCATTACATTTCAAAAAATGTTAACCTGCTCCAAAAACATGACCTACTTTTTAAATTGCAGCATCTGAAACTTCTAGTACAATGAAACACACTAGAAGCATCTTCCATGCATGTCTAATCAATATAAGACATCAAAAAGAAAACTGCTCAAAAAACTTTCATGATTCTAAGCCAATAATAACGTTGAGATAAAAATTGATGCATTTAAACTTTTTTACATCTGGATTTCAAGTAGTTGGCATGATTATTACATGTAAAAGAATAATTCTTTAGTTTTCTATTGCTTGACATTGTTCAATATAACTGTAAATTTCAAAAGTAGGTGACTGTGAACTAGTTTTTGGTTGATGTTCTCTGTGGACCGGAGGTGCATAAACCGACAAAGTTTGATGATTCTAAGCCAGTAATTAACTGAAATATTTGAATATATCCATAAACTCTCAAAAGTAGGTCACCGTGACCTACTCTTAGGTTGACGTTCTCCAAGGACCCGACATACTCAACTACCAAAGTCTGATGATTCTAAGCCAATAATTATCTACAGCCATAACATTTCAAAAAGTAGGTCAATGTTTTTTTAGTTGACATTGTCCGAGGACCCAGGATGCATCAACTTACAAAGTTTGATGTTCATATTTCTGAAAGTATCCAAGATATGCACTTTAAACAATTTGAGAACAAATGCCTGCAAAGTTTAAAAAGTATGTCATTGTGACCTACTTTTCAATAAATATATTTCAAGGCCCCAAGGTGCATCAACTTACAAAGTTTGCTGATTTAAAGCTCTCAATAATTATTTAAATGTTTTAGAAAAAATCATTTCAAAAAGTAGGTCAAGGTGACGCATTTTTAAGTTGACATTGTTTGAGGACACAAGATGCATCAACTGACAAAGTTTGAAGATCATAGGTCTTAATGTGTCCAAAATATGCCTCCAAATCAATTTGAAAAAAAAAAATGAATGCCCGCAAAATTCAAAAAGTAGGTCACGGTGACCTACCGGTGACCTACCTTTGACTTAACATGATGTGAAACCCTTAGATTCAAAATAGGTCACCATTACCTACTTTTGACAATTTATGGCTATATTCAAATATTCTTCGGTCCTAACTGACTAAGAATCAATAAACTTTGTCAGTTGAGATATTTTAGGGTCTTGGAATATGCTTACTAAAACGTTGATCACTGTGACCTTAAGATTTTGTCTTTTGTCTTTTGTCTGTAAGATTTTGAAATCTTATGGCTATATGTGAACATTTAAGATAATAAGAAAATTCGAATCATAACACTGTCAGTTGATTCATCCTGGGTTTTCAGAGTGTTTTAACCAAAATGTAGGTCATGATGACTTACTTTTGGAATTTTTAAGGCAAACTTCCCACACCTTTTTATTAAAATAGAACAAGCAAATTCAAAGAATTGTGGTTCCCCGCTTTCGGTGTCTTTGTGGGTGAGATGTCATTTTTTAAGACATATTGTGTCAAATATGAACGCCCTATCATACATCATTTAGAAACAATCACCGAAGTTTAATTCTTTAAAAATAAGGCCAATCGTGAAGGTCAAGGTCAAGGGGTAAGAAATCATAGCATTCTCGGAAATACCTTGCCACGGGTAATGCAGATATAAAAAAATATGAAAGTCCTATCTCTTCTCAATAAAAAGTTATAAGGAACAAGATGTGTTTGTGAAACACTGATGCCCCCGTATGGCAACATAGCGAAGATTAAACTTTTCTTAATTGCAAATTAAATATATTGGTGCCCAAATGTATTAAATAATTGATGTATAAAAGCCCTAGCCCTTACCGTTCAAAAGTTATGGCCAAGGTTAACATTTTTTCATTAGTACGTAAATCTCAAGGTCAATGTCAAAAGGTAAAAGTTGTTGATATACAATGAAAGGTCTTGCCACAAAAAATATATATATGAAATATGATTTTTTTTTGTGACGGACGGATAGACTGACAGACGAATGAGATTTAAAGTCCTAGTATCTACCGTTCAAAGTATATGGCTACGGTTAAAGTTGTTAAAAAGAAGATTAAACTCCAAGATCAAGGTCAAAGGGTCAAATTTCTTTATTCAATGAAAGGTCTTGTCACAAGAATTGAATATCTGAAGTATGAAAGCCCAAGCCCTAACCCTTCAAAATTTATGGTCAAGTTTGTTTTTACAAGTAGGTCAAACTTCAAGGTCAAGGTCAAAGTTCTTGCTATCCAATGAAAGGTCTTCTCACAAGGATTACATATGTGAAATATGAAAGCCCTAGCCCTTTCTGTTAAAAAGTTATGGCCAAGGTTAAATTTTTTTCATAAGTACGTAAATTTCCAAGGTCAAGGTCAAAAGTTCAATGTTGTTGGTATCCAATGGTCTTGCCACAAAAAATACCGGGTATATAGATATGAAATGTGAAAGTCCTAGTATCTACCATTCAAGAGTTATGGCCAAAGTAAAAGTTTGGAATTTTTGTGTTAAAGTGGGTCAAACTCCAAGGTCACGGTCAAATTTGGAATTACCTAAAGAAAAGTCTTGTCACAGGGAATACATATGTGAAATATGAAAGTCATAGCTCCGCTAAATCAAAATTTATGGACAAGGTTAAAGTTTTTGTGACCGACGGACAGACCGACAGACGAATGAGATTTAATGTCCCCTCGCTTTCGCGAAAGGGGGGGGGGGCAAAAATTGGTTTTCTGACGAACACCAAATTTTTTATTTTCAGTAAAAATTGTGTGGAAAGATACTTTATCTGAAAAAAAAAACGTAAAGTCTCCAAATAGAAGTGATAGCTAAGTAGTACAATTTATCAGAAGAGCAATTCAAGGCCCTTGGACATTTTGTTTCACAAATTCACGACTTCTATTGTATTTTCGCTACGTGTACCTAACTTTGTTTCCAACACTTCAAAATTATTTGATGACAGTAAATATAAATTTTATGATCAATTTTGTTTTTCATGACACCCGCATTTATACATATATTCAGGGATCTATATACTAATTTAGTATATTGATACTGATCTATTTTACCATTGCTTGTCTCATGAATAGGACTGGCGAGAGTAAAACAGATTAATCTGGACGCTGAACCTAGATTTCACATTTATTTATATATGTATCTACCAATTACATGTACTAAGGTACGTTTTCGTAATCCAATCCGGACGATTTTCTCAGGAACACGGGTCCAGATTAACGAGGTTCCACTAAACTGTCATATCCGAATTTATATCCAAGGCAAATAGACAATTTAACAAAGCTCGACTGTATTATTATCATTCCCTAACTTATATTAAAGACAAACTGGCATATTAAAGAGACTCAACTGTTTGTTTTTCCATTTGATAATTTTATGATAGAATGTTCAGTTTCGAAATACGCAAAGACGTCCACTTCTGGATAATACATGGCTATTAACATTTCCATAATACAAGACCTTGACCCACGATAAGACAGCCCCTGGTGTTCCCATGAAAATGTACGGAGTTGGCGTATTACTTCTGTTGTCGGGGACCTGGGGAGCTGTGGTCCAAAAACGGGCAAGTTAGTAAAATAAATCGTCGAGGCAATTTTTTTTGACTTAAAAGTAATTTGACTGGACGGATATATCCGAATCTTTCTTAAATTTTTCATCGTTTACTTATTACTACTATAGCTTAACGCCCTTTCATTTTGCGTTACAATGGGGAAAAATACACCCCCATCCCCCACCCACCACCCAGTCATAATAGACTTTTTATAACAAAAGAATCTTTTATTTAATATAATAAAGTGTTCTTTGATGAAGTGATGTAACAATCAAAGCCCAAGTTTTTTTGTATCCTCTGCCAGATTTGAATCTGTATTTGCACAGAAGTCGGAACCGGGGGGGGGGGGGGGGGGGGGCTGGGCTGGGGCATAGCTTTTATATTTTTTAGGTCCTCATTTCGACCATGGCCACACCATTGGTCAAGTGAACAGCCACACCGTACGAGAGGAGTCGGGTCTGTGTGCCAGCAGACGACACACCAACATCCTGTACACGCATAACGACTCTGGCGATAGTGCTCGATTTTACGCTCTTGACGCCACGACAGCCGAGTTACAATGAAGCGCATTGAAGTGGTAACATTTTCCGTTTGGATGAAAAGTTCTGAGTCATGTTTTGAACGTCAATTATAACATACTGACACGCCCATATTTTTAGAAATGGATATAGCAATATGGTGAGTTTTACGGACAATTCTATTTGAGCTGGACATGTCACTAAATTATCTTTAAAAAAAACCTAAAAGAGAGAGTTACATTTCTGTAAAAAATATGCAGTGAACTGTTTTCAACTTATCATGTCTATGTGTTTCCAGAGAGTTTCGAGACTGTTTACTGGTGTTTATTTAGAGATCTATATCTTATACAGTTGTATGAAATTAATATCATAGTGTCTTTTAAAATACCAGTACATTGGCAGCAATGCGCTTCATTGTTTCACCGTAGAACAACGTTGTCTTTATAGCATGTGTCCTATTTGCTGGACATGTCTAAAGTATTTAAAAAACACTCAATTGCATTTCAACAAAAAATATGTGAGTGAACTGTTTTCTTTGCTCTGTACCTGTGTTTTCAGAGAGTTTGAGACTTCTGGCTGAATATTTAGAGATCTATATCTTATGAAATTAATATCATAGATCTTTTATGGTGAGGGAACCACCAAGTATCCATGACAAAACTCTACATATTGGCGTATTGGCGAAACACTGGTGGAGAGAATTCTTTATGGTAAGTTGTAAAGCACTGGTTGATAATGGACAGGAACATCTTAAAGTTCATTGTTTTCTATTGCTTCATGCCAATTTTTGTTACGTGTTCGATTAATCTTTCTCTTAGTTACATTTTCCATTTTGAACAGATGGGAAGAACACAACGCAGAAACATTAATGGTAGATCCGCAAGGAGAGCTCTATATTATCTCAAAGGTTGACGGAGGAAGGGGGAAATTATATCATATCCCCAAAGAAGCATGGGTGGAATCCTCCCATCGCTATCACCTGACGGGAGGGCGGGAAATACCAACCCCCGATCACGGGAGGGGCCCGGTAGCGGGTGACATTTCCCCAAACGGCCAGGAGGTCCTTATCAAGACCTATCACAAGATTTACTACTGGAATGTTGGGGATAATCGGGACTATATGAGCGCTTTAATGCACTCTCCGACACAGGTCCCATACATCAGTGAACACCAGGGAGAATCCGTTTGCTGGGAAGCTAATGGGAGCGGTTATTATACAATTAGTGAGGGGACATCAGAAGCATTACATTATCATAAACGACTATCGTGATTTATTTAAATTGCACACTGTATTGAATTTTAAATTGCACACTGTATTTAATTTTGAATTAAATGAAATCGTGTGTTGGTTTTCATAGAAGAGAGTGGAATCAATGTTAACAATTTATGTTATCTTTATTGAACAATGACTACAACTTTAGAGGTACCGTACTGTTGGAAATTTTTAGTGACACGGTTTGTCCATAAAAACCGGTGGTTTATTTTTAGCGATATGTAATTTTAGTAATTTTAAAATGTTAAATTATAAATAAAACGCAATTAATATGAAAGATATTCAGCTAAATCTCTCTAATTATGTCAAAATCAAATCCTCGCTAAAAATTCTGCTTATACGTATGAACCATTTTCGAGTTTCCGTCGAATTTCTGCAGACGCAAGTCTGACTAGCACCCAAAGACCTTATGAACTTGAGTTTGACACACTTTTAGACAAAAATTCCAAACTTTTACTTTGAACGTAACTTTTGAACTAAATATACTAGGACTTTCATATTTCATGTCTGCATTCCTTGTGGCAAGACCTTTAATTGGTTACCAACAACTTTGACCTCCTGACCTTGGTTATTTTTGTCACAAGGACTACATATGTGACCCTTTGACCTTTACCTTGGAGTTTTATCTACTTTCTAAAAACAAACCTTGGCCATAACTTTTTCACGGTTAGGGCAAAGGCTTTCATACTTCACATATATAGTCCTTGTGACAAAAACTTGAACCTTGGCCATAACTTTCGAGGGGTAAGGGCTAAGGCTTTCATACTTCACATATGTAATTCTTGTGAGACCTTTCATTGGATACCAAGAATTTTGACCCTTTGATCTTGACCTTAGAGTTTGACCTACTCTTTAAAAACAAACCTTGGCCATAACTTTTGCACGTTTAGGGCAAAGGCTTTCATACTTCATACATATAATCCTTGAGACAAGACCTTTCTTAAGAAACCAACAACTTTTACCCTTTGACCTTGGAGTTTGACCTACCTTTCAAAAAGTTTAACCTTCGCTATGTTGCCATAGAGGGGCATCAGTGTTTCACATACACATCTTGTTCTTTAAAGTTTTCAAGCTACTGATACTTTCTTGCCTTACTCCTACACTTTCATGAGGATGGGGTGGGGGGCATTAATGTTGAGAAATATTTTTCAAATCTCAATTTAATAAACAACTTCCTTAATGAATGCCTTTCAACACTGTACAATGCAAACCTTTGATCAAGATTATTTGTAAATTATTTCCGATTTGACTTCATATTTTTTAATGACAAATTCTTATTTATATAGCATACTGTCTTTTGGAGCAGCTTTGGGATAAAACCTAAGTTTAACAAAATAACAAACTCTTGTTTTATGCTATCATTGGACTGGTCATCCCCATGACATATTTATTTACAATTCATAAAAAGACAACCAGTTCCATTACATCTAGACGACAGTAAAATAATAAAGGGGCCACACAAAATGTACAGCAAGACATCAGCCCAACATACGTCACACCCCTCCCCCTCCAATGGCAACAAAGGACATGACAAACTAATAGTCAATACAAACAGAAAATTAATCAAGGAGAAGTAAATTCAAGTTTTGAGAAAAACATTACTAAATACAGCAAATTTAAACATACATTGGGATTGTAATGGACAAAACTTCTTGCAGAGAGAAACTGACAACTTGACTTTCAGTAGTTCAAAAGATTGTTTCAAGTCAGTCATCTTAAATAATACACTTGCAGTTATATGTGAAATAAATCCTCCAACATTTCATTTTGTAAAATATTTGCCAGCAATATTTTTACAATGGTCTCTTCTGAAAACATGCATCTAACCTATTGTATGTATCTATACTTCATAAATCACATTCTTTCAACTTCTCTTCATATTTATTTCCAAAGTAAATACCTTTGAAAATGTATGTAATTTTTTTTAGAATTAACTGTAAAAAAATTATCATTTTAACAGAATTTTGGTGTAAAAGTATACACACACATATTTGATTCAAATTAAAAATCAAAAGATAGAGACAGTATGAAAACACTACAAGAAAAATACACAAGTGAATTGATAAAATTTTGCAAATAATGCATCATGATAAAAAAAAAATCTGACACCAAACAAATATGAAGTGGCTGGGTTGGAGGGGGAGCCATTCCAATTTAAAGCTACCTAAAATAAACAACAGTTCTAATTTTGGATGTCAGAGTTTTGGGGGTGAATTATACATTGACAATTAAAATAGCACTTTCAGCAAATAATTAATGCATGTAAAACTGTCCTCAGCATTGAACAATCTAAGCATCATTTCAATGTATAATTGCATCCTGACAGTCCATTAAAACTTTCAACACATTTTGAAACTTTAAAATAGATCACAGTCTCAAATTATGGGGGAAAAAAATCATGTACTTATCAATGAAATCGATTCTCTACAGCCAAGAGATTGAAAATTGCTCAAACATCACAAATTTGTATATAAGGACAAAAAACAGTAATCTGTGTCAATAAAACAAACATGAATGCAAGAGACATGTTCTAAAAAAATCTTAAAACAAAGATTAGAAGTTGACCTGGTAATATTTATATGGATTTTAATGAGTTGAAATAAAAGCACACTATAAACTCATATTACATTGAGATCAATTTTTCAGGTTTCATTGATAACAAAATACAAACATTATACAGTTAGTGGGGGGAAAATGTTAAAATAAAAATTCAACTAAAAACAATTTCTGCAATGACCTATAGATGCGTTGACTATGAAAAAAAATAGTAAAAATTAATTCTGAATGAAGGATATGATCAAAGCTGTCTATTTTAATGACAAAATATGTAATGAAAGCCCTTTGGATTCTAAAATAGGAAAACTCTGACCATATCCATTGTTGAGAATAACACAATAGAAATCAAATTACATGTCACAAAAACACACTGAACAAAATAACCGTCTCTAAAGCATTACTCCCAATATACATCATCTCTGACAATTTAATTCTTCATACGTGGAATCTTGGATGCCAGCAATTGAAAAATTACCTTGACATTTGATGCAGTTAATTAAAACTGTTGTTTAAAAAAAACACTTAAAATCTTTTCCAGGTTTGACAGTTAAATCCATTAATGGCTTTTCAACTGCCAAACACAATTCTGGCTGATGTCTTATAAAATTAAAAACAACAAAAAAAGTACAGAAAAAAGATAGGGTTATGTATGCATTAAAAGAATTGTTAAGTTTTTCCTTGAAATATGTAAAATGTTACTAGTATTTTGCTTTTGAAATTATTTTAACTACCACATTTAAATTATGACAGACTGCTTTTCTAAAATTCCAGTTGAGAATGAATGTTCCAAACATCATACAATTTAAATCTCCAGCCTGTCTTATAATTGTCATGGACAAAAAAAACATTTGCTTACATCAATTTTGTCAGTGAAAAAAAGATCAATTCGTCATTGAAAAAGAGCAGAGGAGAACAAAAAAATGCCAATCTGACCTCTTTTAACTTTAAATCTCACTGCAATGTTTGTGTCCATCTTTCAATAAAAAATACAGAATAACATCAGAATTAACACTGTATATGAAAATTGCACAATGACTGATCACAGCTTTGACTGTTAAAAAGATACTAACAAAGATAATTAAAAGCAAAGTCATGTAATATCACATTCACTTTATATGTCAAAACATTGACTATCAAATGGAATTTTAGATCATAAATTTTCCAAAGAAAAATTTCATTATCACACTTAAATTGAATGTTTTCATGGTAATTTCAATCAATTTCATTACATACAGTGCTGCAATGCAAGAGAAGGGTACAAGCTAATTTAAAATATAGAAAATTCCTGGAGATGTTTCTGTAAGAATGCAATAAGAAGAATAAAGTAAAGAATACATGTATTTGTGGCCCCATTTGAACATGTATACAGCAGATTTCTGACAATGAACCCCATGCCTTTATACAGACAGACATACAGACATCAGTGTATTAGGTTTTCTCTCAAGTTTTGAGTACTCTTTGTAAAATTATGAAAATGGATTTATATACAAAATTGCTAACACGGTTTTTGTTTCCCTTGTTCACAAAGAATATCAAAAATGGAGATAACACCTTATTAAAAATTGGCAAAATCCGCAGCCCTCTACCAAAGCAAAGAAAATGGCACCACTTGCCAGGATTACTAGAAAAGGCATAGGAAAGTCAATCTTAAATTGAAGGAGATTCTTTAAAATGTTTTAAGCCTTGAGGAAATAGTTTTACTATTAGTTGTTTTAATCTTTTCTGTAAATTTTTTGAAGGGTTGCCAACCATTTACACTGACACATTTTAATTAAATACTCTTGTAATGCTTCATGTTGAAATGGAAAACCATAAATACTATAAAATGCTTAAAGGCAAACAGTTGTCTTATAAGTTACCAAATAAAAAAAATACACAGTTGATCATTTCACCTTGCACTGCATGTACAGAGATTCAAAAACCATAGAAGTAAATCTCTATATTAATTAAAACAATTCACTGAGCCCTGACTCTCTCACAGAAATACTGTAGCTGATCAAAGAGAAGACTGGAAAATCAAGGACTAAAATATTGAATCTTTCCTCCTTCTAGCTGCCACAAAGTGTTTTGATCCACATGAAAATGCTGCCATTTTCTTTTCCTGGGTGCTGACTGCAATGTGCAGAATTATGTTCTAATTGCTCTATGAACTTGCTGACACAGAGTTGGAATCTTCCACAGTGGGTGTTGAATTGTGGTTTTGATAACTTGTCAAACTTTCATATCCTGAGCCATTCTGAACATAAGAAGTACCAAGTCCATAAAGGTGTCCACAATATTTGGCATCGTCAATATTATCCTCAAAGAACATCTGCAAGAATTAAAAATGTAAGTGTATAAAGAAATCTAACAGATACTAAGGCACAAAAAAAGATACATGTAATAAAGTTTTTTTTTAATCAACTTGCAAGAGCACAATATTTGCAAATGGTAGAGTTTAATTAAATGTAAAATTTCCAAAAAAAAAAAATTCACGTCTTCACAATGGACATTTTTTGTTAATAAACAACCAAAAGGGCTGCAAACAAATGTAATTTTATTTCAAAGTTTTGTTTAAATGGTTCATAGATATAATCAAAACATGAATCTTCACCTCTCTCATTTTGAAGAAAGCAGCTCCTGTCAGTAAGCTATCACTTCCTGCTTGATGTTGAGGGCCGATCCTTGTGATCTACAATGTTACAAAACACATGATTTATGCTTGAAAATGTAGTAGGACCTAGTTAGTCCAGATGCCAATTATCTGGGGAGTTCAACTTCTGCAGCATGTGTTTATATGTAAATTTTCAGACACTTATGAGTGTCCAAATTAACAAGGCCACACTGTATTATATCAATTTTGAATAAAATTTAAAGTACAAAATGTAATTGGCATTCACACATATTTCCTTTAAGGCAAGTCAGTTAAAAACTGTGAAAAATCTCTGACATAAATTCTCATTTGAATATCAATCGATAAACAGTATGAAAATGACAGATTCAAACTACAAAACTTCACTACAGCAAATCTTCATTAATATTAATAACGTGTGTTGTGGAATGTATAGCAAAGATATAAAAACACATCTTGATCGTAAAGCGGTTTATTTATAAACTTCATCTAATCTTTAGAAACATGACGTACAGCATTATGACATCACAAACTAGAACTGTCCAATTGGGACAAAATACCCCCCGCTGGGTTTTTCAGAAGTAAGTTTTTGCATAATAAAGATATGTATCAAACACGAATATAAAATTTTTCCATGACCTTGAACTTCAACAAGACACACCCTTGGGTCATTCTTGTGGAGAGGAACCTACCAAGTTATCATAGGATATGGACACACAAATGCCTGACCTGCCCCCAAATGACCTTGGGTAAGTAATGACACACCCATAATTGGGCAATCTTTGTGTGAAATGAAAACCTACCAAGTTTACCTTTAAGAAAGAATGGAATACGTTATTAAATTTTTCTACCAGTGACCTTGAAAACCTTGGGTCAAACACACCCTTGGGTTTAATAATTGTGAAATGAAAATTACCAATTGTTCTCCATAAGAAAGCTATAAACCTCCTTTTAAATTTTTACAGTGACCTCTTCAAGGTCATGACACACCCTTTGACATCTTAGATGTTGGGAAAGTTTATCCTTAAGAAAGATATTCCGGAAATTAAATTTTTCTACCAGTGACCTTGAACTTCTCCGCTGGTCAACACCCTTGTGTCATTCTGTTGAAAACCTCTTATAGGAGGTAACCAAATTATGTTTTTCATGACCTTGAAAAATGACCTTGGGTCAAGGTCAAACATTGGATCATGGGCAATCTTTGGATAAATAAACAGTTTATCCATAAAATATATGTCAAACATGAATTTTGAAATTTTTCTCCCAGTGACCTTGAACTTCCCCAAATGACCTTGGGTCAAGGTCATTTTTGTGTGAAATGAGAACCTACCAAGTTTATCCATAATAAAGATATGGACCGGACACGAATTATGAAATTTTTCTTCCAGTGACCTTGGCAAATGACCTTGGGTCAAGGTCATGACACACCCTTAATGAGCAATCTTAGTGTGGAGTAGTAGATTCTAATGTCCCTCTGTACATTACATTTGCACAGACAGACGGACAGCTAGACAGACGGACAGACAGACAGACGGACAGACAGAAACAAACTTCGTCAAGAAAGGTAAGTGAATAATCCATACTCAACAAGATTTTGTGGATAGGGCTCATATAGGCAATGCCTGCTGCCCAATCCGTTTATGTAATTTTTACATAATAAAATATGTTCAAAACAAAACGAGATTTAATAATTGTGATGAAAATTACCTCTAATTGTTCTGCTACTTCCTGCAAACCTCCTTTTAAATTTTTACAACTCTTCATTAGATATTTGACATCGTAGATGTTGGGAAAGTAAATCCTAAGATATTCAAAGAAATCGGCCTCCTCCGCTGGTAACTGCGTATTTGTTAAAATCTTTAGGAGGTAACCAAAGTCATAACCACTGAAAATCACATCAAACATTAATTTATACCACTGGATAAATAACAGTAAAATAAATTAATGAAAGTTCAGCTTCCCTATTGGTACATTTTTTTTTCTATTCTGGGCAAATATGTCAGCAGAGATGCATAACAAGGATTTGAGCAGTACATTACATTTTAAACAAACTTCGTCAAGAAAGGTTACATACTTATACATTTGTAATAAACAATTAATACATTTCTGAATCAACAGTTTGGGTACCTTTTTTACAATTTGAACAGAAAATCATACAACTGTCATTTCACTTATTTTTCAGGAATAATTCTTTAAAAACTTTTAATTTCTTTACCTGTGAAATGAGAGCCATTTGACTTGGTCGCTTAGCACTATTCCTGATGTCATTAATAATTCCGCAAAATCATTCACATCTATCCCCTCTTCTTCATGCTTCTTGAACTGAATGCCTGAATGTTGTAGCAAGTCTATTGACTCCTGAGCATACATTTCTTCTCTGAAATATCAAAAGTTTCATATTTATCAATGTTCATGTAACATTTATCAAAATCTAGTCTACATTTTGATTCTATTTCTATTTTTTTTCTCTCAAATTAAGCATCATCTCATATTTATCTATGTAACATTTATCAAAATCTATATTATATTTTGATTTTGTTTCTTTTGTTCTCTTCATACATTATGTACTAGATGTATCACCATAACGCCCATATTACTTTAGTCTTTTGCTACTTACGTTAAATTATATCTAAAATTGAACTGCCACGTAGATATGGGGGATGGGGTCTGTCCATTTTCATCCATAAATGTAAGGCCCACCTGGATGATTTTTAGTAAGTCTACATTACATCTTAGAAGTTGATACTGATAGTCTGAAGTGCTTCGGAACTCTCCTATAGGCCTCGCTACAACTCCCGGAAATTCTGTATCCTGTACAAAAAAAAAATAGTCACATCAAAATGTGCTCCAGTATTTTAAACTTAATTCAGCCCAAACTATCAGCTGCCTCTACGCTACCTCTCCTTGGTAACCAAATAAACTGCCAATATCCCAACATTGTAAAATTGTGATATTTTGTCGACTACATTTGAAAAACTATTAAATGTATTGAATAGATATGTCCGATTTTTGACAGAAAAGTACTAAAAACTTCTGTGTAATAAAAGGCTGCATTAAATTGAATACAAACCATAGCAACAAATCTGTATCGCTGAATAACATGGCGGATCTTTTTAAACTCCTCTTCCAGATTGCTGTTCCAGACATCTTTGATGCCATACTCAGTCTGTGCTACCGAAGGCATATCAGCATATCTGCCCCTACCAAACCCTGCCTTCCAACACTTCTAGATTACGTTTACACCTCTCCTAAACAATGAATGTAATAATATGAACATCCTTTTCTTTTATAAATATGAATTTTTAAGGACAAGGCTTAATTTTTGTCCTCCATCTCCTTTTCTGAAGTTTTCAATTTATAAAGCAGATACATAATAAACTTTTAATTTTCTGAATTATGGAATATTTTTGAATATCAAAGATGTAAGCCCTGTCCTGCCAAATATCTTGAAGCCCAAGAAAATAATTTCATTTGATTTTAGCAATAATCGAACAATGCAAGATCATGATAACTTCAATCCTGAATCTATATTCTAACTAACTCCATACCCCTTTGCTTGTTAAACTTTGCTACCAATGATAGTACTATAGTTGATTCCAGAGAAAATCAACAAATATGAGAATTTTAATGTTTGGGAAATTTCAATACGTCTAGCCCGGCATCCATAATGGCAAATCTGTTCACCTACAACAAGATAAGTGCATCTCAGGGGGCCGAGCTCACAATTCTCTCAAACACAAGTACAACCATTATTTCAGTCTGATAAAATTACTGAAAACATAGATTTTGAAAGGCTTCCATAGTGCTATAAAAACAGGTTGGTGTATGATCAGGGGATGCTCACTCCTCCATGGCACCTGATCTCACCTTTGATGTTTTGGAGGTCCTTGTTTGCTCTACTTCTATTTTGTATTGTTTTATGGAATTTTGGTCTTGAATATTATTATCTCCATGTTTCATCAATAAAAATCATCCATAAGACTTAACTGCATCTACAGTTTCTATTCCATTTAAAATTATAACCTACCACTAAGCATCAATCATTTTCTATTCATGACAATTACCTGCTGGTACTGGACTCAGTATTAATTCATCTGGAATTGTCATTTATTTATTTTAGCAGATAAAAAATCTCAATTATTTGCAGCAATCACATATTCATGCCTATGTGTTAAACTTTGTTCCTGTGTTGGCTTAACCATGTTAACTAGTAAAGCATTACAAGTAGTTAAATTCCATGCAAAGTAACTGAAACTAACACAATGCATGCATGCTATACAAAATTTTAACGTTTATTTCCTGAATGAACACTGGATTTAATTTTCTAAGTTTATTTTACTTACACTTATCTATATTCAAGATATTGTGCTTAACTGCAGGAGCAATTAAATAATCAGTGAGTAGTGCTGAGGCGTCTACATTTCTCTTTACAATGGTCAAGTCTTCACAGTACAAAATTACACGCATGCTCTGAAAAGCGGAAATCGGACTATCGCAGAATTTGATGACGTTCATAGACTTCCTGTTTTCATTTGACTAAAAAGTTGTGTCGTGAAAGCTGTCAAAATATACAACAATGAGTTGGATCTTTGGAAATAAAAACAAAAACACCTCTTCATCACAAACAAATCTACAGGCCCACAGGACAAAACAAATCGATTCTCTAAAGAAAGCAAATTTGAAGTAAGTAACCATATATGTTTGCCATAATATTTGTAAATATTTCATGACTCATACTTTCATAAGAACTAGTATGAAATACAAGGGAAATGACGAAACAGTGTATAAATGTCAGTGTATGTCAGTGTTTTCAGAAAATTTCTAACTATAATTTTTTTGTTGTAGTCCAATTGAAGTTCTACCGAATACAGAATACAGAATAACATTTGTTACAGGAAACAATAACATAACTTTAGTCGTGTAAGTAGAATTTAATTAGAGAAATTCAGCATAGTAATATCTGTAATCAAATAGTACACAGCTCCTAACCGCAAGCCTTATAACTGGAAGTTGCTCGTGCTAGACTGTTTTTGGTGTCAATGTATAGATTATAATGAGTTGACAAATCACACAGCAGGGGCATGGATTGTGTACGCTGGGTGCAACTGATGAAAAAATCCTGACGTAATGCGAAATGGCACACTTAAGTGAAATTAGTTATATAGGGTTCAAAAAGCAAATTTAAAGAACTGGGGGACAATTAGATATGGATATCTACCATGTCTACATTCTTATATGTTTTAATCTGATGACATAATCAAAAAATAGGGTACTTATCTGAAATTCATTCAGCAAAAAAAAGAGATATACATGTCATGTTTTTTTTTAAATTTTAGATCTCTCCCTCCTCTGTTCCCACAAGACCCACCCTCAATATCCGTTCATCCCCCAGTATATCATCAATGGGTCGACTCGACATCGAAAATTATCAACTGTCCAAATCTCTCATCAGTAAGTTCATGTAACAGGATGAAATAAAACCAAATCAGTAATAATTATAAGGAAAGTACCTTGTAGGTAATCAATATCTGTACAACTGTTGTAATCAGTATTTTAATACCTAGCTGTATGTCTTTCTTTCCAGTTTTCCATGCATTCCAGTCTCGCTGCAGTAGTTCAGTCCATTATTGATGAATTTAAGTTGCACCCCCCTCAGCTTCAATCAAATAATTTGTAAGCATTGGGGTTTGCTAATTGCTATTTTATGTTATAATTTACACTTAGTTGCAACTTATCTGCCGAGAGGACAATATTTGAGCACTTTTTGATAGATTCAAAGCAGAAAAAAGACTCTGAAAGTATTAGCAAAGGAGTAAATTATATTTTACTTAAATATATCTCAAAAGTAACTAAATTTTTAGATAAACTGTTTAGTTTTCTGTCTTACACTTACTTGCTTATTAGCTCACCTGAGCGGAAGGCTCAAGTGAGCTTTTCTGATCAAAATTTGTCCATTGTCTATCGTCGTCGTCGTAGTTGTTGTAGTCGTCGTTGTTGGAAAACTTTTCACATTTTCATCTTCAATCACACCACGAACACCTCGGTGTTGCCAATTTCAACCAAACTTGCCACAAAGTATCCTTAGGTGAAGGGGATTCAAGTTTGTTAAAATGAAGGGCCACACACGCTTCCAAGGGGAGATAATTATGAATTATTGAAAAATTAATGGCATTTTAAAAAAATCTTCTTCTCAAGAACCACTGAGCCAGGAAAGATGAAACTCATGTGGAATCATCCTCAGGTGGTGTAGATTCAAGTTTGTTCAAATTTTTATGACCCCCAGGACGTGTTTCGGGGTCCACAATTGATTAAAATTTTACATATGAATATAAAAATCTTTAAAAATCTTCTTCTCACTAACCACTGGGCAGGAAAGATGAAACTCATGTGGAAGAATCCTCAGCTGGTGTAAATTCAAATTTTTTCAAAACATTTACCCCCCGGGGTAGGGCGGGGCCACAATAGGGAATCCAAGTTTTACATAGAAATATATAGAACAATCTTTAAAAAATCTTCTTCTCAAGAACCACTGGGTCAGGAAAGATGAAACTCATGTGGAAGCATCCTCAGGTGGTGTAAATTCAAATTTGTTCAAATCATGACCCCCCGGGGGTAGGGCGGACCACAATGGCCGATCAAAGTTTTACATAGGAGTACCGGGTATATCTTCTTCTCAAGAACCGCTGGGCCAGGAAAGACGAAACTCATGTGGAATCATCCTCAGGTAGTGTAGATTCAAGTTTGTTCAAATCATGGCCCTTGGGTGTAGGGTGGGGCCACAATGGCCGATCAAAGTTTTACATAGTAGTATATAGGGGAAATCTTTAAAAATCTTCTTCTCAAGAACCACTGGGCCAGGAAAAATGAAACTCATGTGGAAGCATCCTCAGGTAGTGTAGATTCAAATTTATTAAAATCATGACCCATGGGGGTAGGGTGGGGTCACAATGGCTGATCGAAGTTTCACATAGGAGTATATAGGGAAAATCTTTAAAAATCTTCTTCTCAAGAACCACTGGGCCAGGAAAGATGAAACTCATGTGGAAGCATCCTTAGGTAGTGTAGATTCAAGTTTGTTCAAATCATGACCCCCGGGGGTAGGGTGGAGCCAAAATGGATAATCAAATTTTTACATAGGACTAGAGAGGGAAATCTTTAAAAATTGTCTTCTCAAGCACTTTAAAGCCATGATTAGTGATATTTATATGGAATCAATCTCAGGAAGTGTAGAATCTAATTTGTTCAAATTATAACCCCCAGGGATAGGGTGGGGATCCTTTTTTAGCCTTGAAATTTATTTTAAAAAATCTTCTTCTCAAGAATAGCAAAGTCATGATTAGTGATACTAGTTTTTATATGGAAGCATTTTTGGGTAGTGTAGAATTAAGTTTGTTCAAATACTGATTTAAATTTATTCAAATCATGGCCCTTTGGGGTAGGGAGGGAAACAAAGGGGAGTCAATTCAAATTTTTATGAAGTTACATATAGGAAGAAAATGTTTTTAACAAATCTTTTGCATCAAGAACAGCAAAGTATTATGCTGTATTAATATGAAGGCATTCTCAAGTAGTATTAAATTCCCCCCTTCAGTAAACTGTTCTGTTCTGATCTGATTTATGCTTTTCCCAGCCGATTTGCTCAGGTGAGCGATGTGGCCCCTGGGCCTCTTGTTTTCTTTTGTACTGTAAAGGAATACATTCATGACATTTCTATTTTAATTATTCTCAGTGGTGTAGTGGGACCCCCTCCATTTCCCCCGGCTACTTCCTCAGTGTCTGGTTATTCTAGTTCTGGGAGTCTAGCAGGTTACTACCAGCCACCAGGTGCTCAGTATGGAACCGGTCAGCCAGAACCAATGCAAGGCACTGAAAATTCCACAGAGGTACATTATAGACATTGATACTAGTGTGGGCTGTAGCTGTTTTAAAAAAAAATTTAGCAGAATTATTTATGGACAGAATATGACAAGTTTTATTTGTTTGTTTTCTAGCAGGCTGGAGTATCACCAGGTAGAGTTCCTGATGTGTTTTCAGCCTTTCCAGATCTTAAAACAAAAAGGTTTGTAAGGTTATTGCACATGGAATTTTTTCATAGATAATCTATTCTTTCAAGTTTTACTGTTCAGGTTTACATATATATCTAAACTACTGACAACTACTTTTATATACATGCATGTATATTAAAAGACATGAAATATACATAATTATCTTACTTTTGTTTTTTTTAATATGTCAATAATGTCATCTGTATCTTTTAAAAACAAGATACTTTTTTAAAGTTTTCATTATCTATTCAGTTTAATTTATTTTGATTTTATTGAAGGGAAATAGATAAGGGGATACTTATTTGGGGGTGGGATGGGTGGTTTGAAGGTTTTGAGAATTATATTTATTAACATAATTGTATTCTATTTAACACCTTTTTTCCCCAGCCTTACACAATTGTATGAATTACAAGATGAAGAAGACAAAATTTTAGAAATGATCCAGAAATTACCAGAGGTGGGAAAATTTGCCGAGGAAAGAGAGAAAATTTCCAGTGAATGCATCGAATTGGCTAGTAAGTAACTTTGTACATTTTTTATAATCTATAAATAAGTGGGTAGTGAAAAATGCATCCAGATACATGTATCTTGATATTAAAGTATGAAGTAGTAATTTGAGGGCTTGATTTTCTATTTTATTGGAATATACATGTATTTTTCCATTTGCCATTGTCTTTTGCTTTTAGGTGAAAAAAAAACATAATGGAAAAATATAAGGCATCACCATAAAAATATACATTTCTTAATATATGCCAATATGTTTATTTGCAGGAAGCAATTTAAGTTATAAACCAATACTGGAACAACTCAGACAATGGATTTTAGAAAAGGTATGGTGCTGATATAATATATGGCGAAGTTATTCCTTTTCAGGGCATTTGAAAATTGATAAATATAAATTATCTTTTTTTAAAAAACAAGCAAATTCAAAGAATTGTGGTCCCTGGCTCTCTGTGTCTTTGTGGAAGAGATGTCAAATATGAATGTCCTATCATATGTCATTTAGAAATTATCACCAAAGTTTTTTTTTTTTTTTTTTCAAAAATAAGGTCAATCGTGAAGGCCAAGGTCAAGGAGTCAGAAATCATAGCATGCTCGGAAATATCTTGTCATAGGTAATGCACATGTCAAATATGAAAGCCCTATCTCTTCTCAATCAAAAGTTAAAAGGAACAGGATGCGTTTGTGAAACACTGATGACCCTGTATGGTAACAAAGCAAAGATCAAACTTTTCTTAAATGCAAATTAAAATATATTGGATTCCAAATTTTAAAAAGTAGGTCAAACTCCAAGGCCAAGGTAAAAAGGGTCAAAGGTATCCAATGAAAGGTCTTCTCACAAGGATTACTTATATGTGAAGTATGAAAGCCCTAGCCCTTACCATTCAAAGGTTGTGGCCAAGGTTAAAGTTTTTAAAGAGAAGGTCAAACTCCAAGGTCAAGGTCAAAGTTGTTGATATCCAGTAAAAGGTCTTGTCACAAGGAATAAATGTGTGAAGTATGAAAGCCCTAACACTTCAAATATTATGGTCAAATTTTTTTTTAAAAGTAGGTCAAACTAGAAGGTCAAGATCAGAGGGTCAAATATCTTGTTATCCAATGAAAGGTCCTGTCACAAGGAATAAATATGTGAAGTACAAAAGCCCTAGCCCTTATTGTTCAAAAGTTATGGCCAAGATTAAAGTTTTTAAAAAGTAGGTCAATCTCCAAGGTCAAGGTCAAAAGGTCTAAGTGCTTGATAGTTGATATCCAATGAAAGGTCTTGTCACAAGGATTAAATATGTGAAGTATGAAAGCCCTAGCCCTCACCCTTCAAAAGTTATGGCCAAGGTTATAGTTTTTAAAAAGTATGCCAAGGTCAAGGTCAGAAGCTCAAAGTTCTTGTTATTCAACGAAAGGACTTCTCACAAGGATTAAATATTTGAAGTATTAAAGTCCTAGCCCTGACCGTTTTAAAGTTATGGCCAAGGTTAAAGCTTTTTCATAAGTACGTCAAGGTCAAAAGGTCAAAGTTGTTGATATCCAATGAAAGATCTTGCCACAAAGAATACATATGTGAAATATAAAAGTCCTAGTATCTACTGTTCAAAAGTTTTGGCCAAAGTAAAAATTAAAAATTTTTGTGTAAAAGTGGGTCAGACTCCAAGGTCAAGGTCAAAAGATCAAATTTGGTGGTACCCAAAGAAAGGTCTTGTCACAAGGATTACACATGTGAAATATGAAAGTCTAGCTCCTTAAATCAAAAATGGGCAAGGTTAAAGTTTTTGTGATGGATGGACAGACAGACAGACGGACTGACGTACAGACAGACAAATGAGATTTAATGTCCCCTGTTATCCTATTCAAGGCATGGACATATGGGAAATGGAGAATGTTCCTTATTTTTAGAAGATTTGTGTGAATTTCAATTATAATTTATAGAACAACGTTTATGAGAGAGCACAAGAAGAGTTTGAACAACATCAGAAGAGACTAATGACCAGATCAGAGGATTTTCACCCCTCTGTGATCCAAAACAACCTCAAGGTGGCACTAATGGAAGCAGAGGAAGAATCTGAAAGCATTGTAGACCAGTTCCTGGAAAGTAAGTTGCATTTAGAGAAGATTGTTAGATTTTAAAAATGTGAAAGGAGATCCTTGGGCCAGAGCATTGTCTGATTTGCATTTATTTCTCTCTTTCTCTGTCCAACAAAATACATAAAATGAATTATTTTCATCTCATATATATGAAATAAATTATTATTCAAGATCAAAAGTCCATAAAACAGTACAATCATATACATTTTATTTATTGATGATTTCATACAAGAGAACCCTGTCAAAAGGTAAAATTACTAGGGTACCTCTATGATACCTGTGTATGTTGCTTATGCTTATACATAAATTTATGTTTGCTTAATATCAAAATTCTTTTTTTCAGAAAAAATGGACGTGGAGGAATTTAAACAGAGATTTATTCAAACAAGAAGTGTAAGCATCATTTATTCATTAAACTAATGTGTTAGTTTTTTCAGTATCTACTTTGTTTGTAGTTTATAATGAAAATTACATATTGTACATTTAAAAGTGTAAATGTTAATTTGATGAATTTTATTTTTGAAAACACGTGCAGTAAAGACTGCATTACATGTATGTACAGTCAAATCTCTTTTATCTCAAGTCTTATGAGAATAAAACTGTAAGATATTGGATGATCTGAGATATTGAGGTTAAGGTGGAATGCCACACCAAATTTTTATTCTATAGATCTTTGAGTCATCCTTTTTAAACAATGGTTTCAGCATTGAAAGGCCGTTATTAGCCCTTAATTATTTTATATTAATTTTTTTGTATTTTTTCAATAAACATGATAAAATTCATAATTATATCAAATAATTTAATTCTGTTTTACATAAGCGGTCTCTCATTGGCTCTTTCCAAAAAAACTCATAACATTTTGTATAATCATGTTGCTTGTCGCGGGAAGTGTAACCAGTGTCCTAAAACCATCAATCCCCTCATTTCCAGTCCTTCGTTTCATGAAGAAATGGGCGTGTCGTTATGTTACCTTTGACTTCAAACAGTTGCTCGAACGTTTCCTCATGTAAAATTTTACCATCAATGGCTGCTATTGTATGTACCAGTTTTTATCTCTTTTTCTCATCACTTCCGTTAAAACTGTTGTATTTGGATGAAATTTGAGATATTAAAAACAACACAATTTTACATCCCCAATTTTTAATTATTTTAAAATTAAATTATAAGGAATGATCCTTTTTAAACAATATGGTTTCAGCATTGAAAGGCTTTTTTATAATCCGCTTAATTATTTTATATTAATTTTTTTGTATTTTTTCAAAGAAAATGAAAAAATTCATTTATATCCAAATAAGTTGTTTTGGAGTTAAAAGTTTACTGTAAATGAATGCATCATATGAATATCTTATAAAATATGTAAAGAAAGGCTGGTTAGAACTTTTTAATTTTTTTTATAAAAAATTATGAAAATAAAACACATTATTTGTGAATATTTTTTAAACCTATGGTTAAAAACACCATAAAATTAGTAACAACTAAGGACAACATGTTTGTCAATCATATTTTAAAAAGAAATTGAAACGAAATTGAGAAATTTTAGAGAAATCAATTTTTTTTTAATATTTGGACCTAACCCGATCAAAATTAAACTGATCCCGATCAAAATTAACACAAAATGAATAAAATGCTAATTTATTGCCTCTTCATGTATTTACAGTGAAGAAATCTATTTTATTGTCAGGTTCAATATTGTTTTAACCCTTATAACACCCAATCAGACTAGTGTTATTGGGGAAATGTTATTTATTTCCAATAATTTGCAATTATGGTTGGGATTGGTTTAATTTTGATCTGGATTGGCCAAAATTAAAAAAAATCAATTTCTCTAAAATTTGGCTATTTCGTTTCAATTTCTTTTATAAATATGATGAATGAACATGTTCTTCCAAGTTATGACTGGTTTCAAGAAGATTTTAACCACAAGTTTAAAAAATATTCACAAATTATGTGTTTTATTTTCATAAATATTTTTTTATTTAAAAAAATTTAATATCTATACGGCTTTTCTTTACATATTTTATTAGGTATTCATGTGATGCATTCATTTACAGCAAAAATTTTACAAGAAAGTATCTTATCTGGATGTGAATAATTTTTTGAATTTTCTTTGAAAAAAATACAAAAAAATTCATATAAAATAATTGAAAGCGAATGACGGCTGAAACCATTGTTTGAAAAGGTTGACTCAGAGATCTATAAAATAAAAAGTTGGTGTGGCATTCCTCCTTAAAATAATATGTGGTTTGACTGGATTAGAATATCAATTAAAAACATGTCTTAAAATAAGAAAGCTGTAAATATTCATGGTGATTGGCTGCAGGTATCAAACCAGTTGATTATATATATTTTTTAAGTCATTTGATTTTTTTTCTTCATTCTAGTTGTGTCATGCCAGAAGGTCTAAGGATGAAAAACTAACTCAAATAATACTACAGCATGGATATAGAAGCTGAAAAACTTGCTGTGCATGAGTTTTGAGGTTCATAAACCGGTCCCGAATTTGTGTTGGAAATCACTTCTCATAAAGTCACATGAAAATATTCGCATCCATTATGAATGAAAACATTTAGGAAGATTTCTGTCTGATTGATTTTTCAAAAGAGCTTTAAAACAGGGTTTAATCTCTATAATTTGTATCAATTTGTATAATCAGATCCAGAGATTGAGCATCCAACATTGTTTTATCATATGCATGTAAATGTACAAGTACTTCCAACTATATTTATATAATAGTGTCACATGAAAATATTCACTGTTGTTATTATTTATGCCCATTTGATTTTTTCCTGAAAATAATGGTGGTAACACAGCGCACTTGCAAAAACTGTGTGATGCTAGAATTTTCATGCTTAGTTATTTTGGTTACTAGATTTTCTCTGTCACAAAGAGCTGTTAAAGACTGACAGGGTTTAATCTCTATAATTTGTATCAATTTGTATATAATTAGTTTGAAACTTTGTTGTACACATTTATCTCAGATTCCTTAGAATAAATATAACTGTTTTCAAATAATATTTGTCTATTTTCTCCTACTTGTGTAAATTGTATAAATTAAGTTTATATATTTAATAAAATTCTCCTATATGCATGTAAATCACGTACAGTGCTCTATTTCGGCATAGTATGCTTACGCTATATAAATCCTATATTTATCTGTACAAAGACAGGAAGCATAATAATTATCTATAGTAAGCTCAGCAAATACACTAAACATTGTAACTTCCAAAGAATACTTTTAAAGAGAAAGAAGTCCATAATTATTTTTAAAAATTCAATCATGTAAAATTTGGAATGATTCATGCTTTTCATTTTTCTACTCAACTGGAACATTGAGTGAAGACTTTTGTACTATTGTATTTTTGTTTCATTTACTTTTGTTTAAGATACATGTAGTCTCTGTGCAATACATCTTTTAAATGTTCCCCTATAGACCGATGTCTTTAAAGAACAGATGGTATTTTATTCATTGCTTTCATACAGACATTAGCACGAATAATGATTACTTTGTATTTGCCTATTAACTTACCATTGTTATTTTTCAAGAAAAGATTTGTTGGTTTAATTGATTCTAAAAAAAATGAAATGTTTGGTGTGAAGTTTCATATAGTATATTTCTGACATGGATTGCAAGTATAATTTACCAGAAAAACTTGAGCGAAAAAGTCAACAACTAGACAAAAAGTGTAAGTAATTTATAATGCACTCATCTTGTTGTGTAAAGTTTTTTGTGAAGGAAAGAAGATGGTTGTTAAAAGGCTGCAGTTACAAAAACTGTTATGTGATAAAAGCTATTGAAAAATAAATATTGTTAACCATTAATGGTGTCACTTGGTGGAGTAAAATGTATCACAGGTACAGTTGTATATCGTAATCTCAAACAGTGATATCTCAAATACGATGAAATTTTCCAGTGATTTGGCAATATACATGTTTTGACTGTATATTATAGTACATGTATAAATTGCACTTGAAGTCCATGGAAAGTATCTTTTTGAAGTAAATTATACAAGCTTAACACATTTACATAACTCCTGCATGCTAGGGGTTCACCGCAAGACACTACTGACTTGGCGCCACATGTATAAGGAGTGAAAGGACATTGAAAAGTATTTTTTACATTAAGAGAGGAAAAAAGTTTTAAGTCAAAGATGTAAAGACTTTGGCCATAATGCTAAGCTTGGAATCATTTTGAATTCTTTATACATTTATACATGAAATTAAACTCTGACCTTCCGGCTCTGGGGCCATAAAAATTAGATGAGCTCTCTTTTGATCTCAGTCTCACTTTACAAAAGGGAATACATCGTGGACAGGTGAGATGGAGATCAAAAGTGAGCTTGTGCAAGTTTTGTGACCCCAGAGTCTGTTTTCAAAAATCACCAATGCTAAAGATTACCATAGTTAAACATTACTACATTGTTAAATCATAGTTAAATCTGGAAATAAAATAAGTCAAAACGAAGTTGGTATGATAGGACTCCCTTTTTGTTCAACATAAATGATTTCCCTTTCATTCAATATCATTCAAAGATATCCCTTGACGAAGATCAAAATACAATTAACAAAAAAAAATAAACAGTTTAAAATAATTTATTGAGTCAACAATAAAAATTAAAATGTCATGTACATATATATTACTTGAAACTCAGATGCACACAACAATTAATAAAAAGTGCATCAAGAATTAAAGAGGGCAGAAATTTAATTATTTTGAAGACAACATTTTGATAAATCAATATATATACTGTCACTTTTTTCAAAATAAAAGACAAGTATAGTAATGGTTATGAACTATAATTTCCACTTTGAGTTAATATTACACATAGTACATGCACATGTACTAGAGAAAGCCAATCTTGCCAACCTTTAAATACAAAATTAAGAAAACTTTTAAAAAGCCCTCAAGGTTGAATGATCTATTAATAATGCAAAGGTTCATAAAAAATAAAAATGAAGGCTTTTAATATATACTCTTGGTAATTCTAAACCACTTGCCTTTTGGGAAAAGATTAAAAACTTTTAAAGACTAATGCAAACGTATCTGACAACCATTGCACAAGAGGAAAATACAATGTAAATAAATAAATCTACATCAATCAAACTTAATAATAAAAAAAACCCACATTGTTTGGTTAAAAAAATTTAATTAATAGTTTCTCAGGCCAAAAAAATCAAAATTCAATGCGGCAGGCAGGCTTTTTTTTTTTTTTTGAAGCATGTTCAATAAAATGATAATATCTTCTAATTCTTAATTTTTGTTCTCTGAAATTAGTTATATGTATTCATCTTTAAATAATGTTATTCTAAACATTTATTTAAAAGTTAATTCATAAAACACTGTAAATTTAGAAGAAATATATTGTTTTTTTGAATTTTTTGGCCTGAGAAACAATTAATTAATTTTTTTTGGCCTTAGCATTCATGAAAAGGGGAATATCTCCATTTTCTTTTTCAACTTGGAAAAATAGAAAATTGAGTTATTTCCCTTTTCAATATGTCAAAAAAATTGATCAATGCGGCCGTTTTTGAACTGATGCGGCAGTGCCTGAGAAACTATTGATTAATTTTTTTTGGCCTTTTCCTTCCAAAATTTAAAAACAGATGTGCCTGCCACACTGAAAAAAGTAATAGCTGTTTAGTTTAAAAGGTAATTTTACAGGACAATATACACGTATAAACTGTTGCACATTTTGCCACTTTAAGTAACTTGGAACATTTTTAATGCTTAATTCTTCTGTGTGAGAGATAAACTGTGGTTTGTACACGTATCTTTTAAGAATTATCAATGCATACACTAGTTCATTAATACATTACCACAAAAAAACATGCATAATCTGAATACAAGAAAAATTTCAGAATTTCTATTCAAGATGACCAACCAAATATTACAATAAATTTGAATAAAATAATTTAATAATAATACAGGTATAAAATATTCAATATGTTAGCGATGTTCATAATAAAAAGAGAACACAGTTTTCCTGAATAAAATTTAGTCCTCGTCAAGATAGCTGACATGATGTTTTATTTGCTTCTCTACGCTGGGCGGCTTCTTGCTACAATAGAAAACAGACAAGGCTGAATTCTAACCTGTTTTCTATCTTGCTGCCAACAGCATCTGTTGTAAAAAGGAAAGGAAAATAGAATTCTTAACATGTGATTCACAAATAACATGTGTACTGCTTGTGTTGATTTTTGGTTTTTGTTTGCATGCAATGAAAATGGAATGTTTGTATTCTTTGCAGGGAATAACCCTGGCCTTTCATCTTCAAATTTTATGACTCCATATCAAGATAGTCTTCTGTGTTGAGTAGCATATGACTTTTGAGATTTCTATCTTGTTTTTAATAAATCAAACCGACTTTTGAGACTTACCCTTCTCCTCTGTTCTCGCTGGTTCTCTTCCTGACTAGCTGCTATGGCCTGAGCTAAAAGTAGGTCCTCTTTTTCCTGTTGTGTCAGTCTGCAAAAATATGATTTCTATATATATTCAATCTGTTCACTTTATACAAGTTCACTTAAAATTACCATTACATATCACAAGTTATAGTTATAAAACCAAATATATACATTTGTGGTATCTCTCCACTATATAAACATATAGAGAGAAAATTTCTAACTTGACCTTCTTTGCTTTTCATGTATAAAAAATGAACAAAATAAGCAAGTAAAATGATACCTATCGATTCAACATGTGTACATAGAGAAAACGAGGAGCCTAGCTTTTGTTTACATTTTTCTTCACTTTTGTCAGCTGCACAGTCTCTAATGTTCATCCTTATTTTTGGGGTAGACCTTTGGTTAAATTTTCACGATAAACTTTTACTTTATCTTTAAATTTTACTCACGATAAATGTGTAAATATGTTGGAAAATATCTTTGCAATCATGCCATGAACAACTGCCAAACACCTCGGCGTTTTCTGTTCAATATGGCCTGTCTCCGTGTTTATCAGTGTTTCACGATAAAAGTTACTGAAACCGTAGAAAGTTTTTGATCAAATTGCAAATTAACTGGCTCGGACAAGTGTTCCCATCGGATGTTGTGTATCATCAAACTTCGGACGTGTTTCTTGTGTCAATTGATTATCATTTTTCATAAAAATATTCCCAGATCTCTTCACTATATATATTCCCTTCGAAATAGATTCCTTAACCTAATGAATTCTAACCGCCATGCAAGCCGATTTACACCTTGCGTCATTTTTCAAAATCTACGAAGTGCAATAATTTAAATTCGAAAATATTCAATTGTCTGTCTCAAATGTATATATAAGTAATAAATAACAAGTTTATAAACTTCAATGGGAATTGAAGTTTATAAACTTGTTATTTATTTCTTAAATCAAGGTGTCAAATTTATTCATAAATAAAGATAATAGCAAGAAAACAATATTTTGTCCTTACGGTTTTGAAGGTGCTTGTGGCTGAGATGAATTAGCCAAAGATTGTTGAATTGCCTGTGCTAATGCCTCATCTTCTGTCTGTAATAAGGAAAAGTAGAGTTCAATAAATTAATTGTACCAAACAAGTGTCTACGAAATATGAATACTGGTCACAATGTAAATGTAAAGATCCTATGTTTTTGCTACATGCAATAACAAACTAGGGGCATAGGAGGGGGAATTGATATTGAGATTTTTTTTCCTTTAAATCATGCTTAATAATAGAATACATGTATAATGTACCTACCATTCCCCCCTGAACAGATTGAGCTGCAGCGGCTTGCCTTTGCCTTCTCTCACTGAAAATAGATGAGTTATAATGAAATTCTTTTTTCTTCCAATATTTTTCATACATATATTACAAAAGAAATTCTTTATAGACCCCTACCTGTCTAGTTCCCTGCCTAGCTGTGACAAAGACGTTGTCTGAGGTTTAGTTTTCGGTTTACTACTAGCACCACTTGTTGTCGGCTTACTGGAAGACTGCATATTTCTAAATATAGCTGCAGCACTGAAAAAAATACATTTTATTATTTTTGTTGTACGACACTGAAATAAAGATGTATATTTATATACCAAAGTTAGATAAACTTAGAAATGCTCAATTACAAAATAAGATATTGAAAATTTCAGAGAAACATGCACAAAAGTCATGTCAAGTTTTCACTTTGCCGTCAAGAATTGCCGATAGTTATAGCAACACTTCTTGCCTCTGAGATGATAAAATAGATTAGTTTATTTTTTTGTATGCAGTTGGATTAAACTTTACGTTAGCATTACATTAAAATATTTTTTCCCCTTACCCCGTCCTAGACATTCCCCTCCCTGTGTCTTGGAACCCTTTACAGTCGTGATCCGTCTCAAAGCGGTGCTTCAGACAAAAGTTCTGTTGACATTTTTCACATAAAACTGGAACCAACTGTAAATAGCATGAAAAGTGCATTGTATTACACATTCACAATGTAAACTTAAATAAATCAATTACTTGAGGAACACATCTGCTTTGTTTTCTTTTATTTCAAGTACAGGTAAATATCAGTATCTTGAACATGGGATATCTCGAATACCCCGCTTATGTCGAAGTCTATCGCTGGTCCCAGCCGTTTTCTCTCTATAAATGATTTAAAAAACACCTGATATCTCGAACACGGTAATCTCGAATACCCCGCTTATCTCGAAGTATATTCAAAGTCCCAAGCCCTTTTCTACCTGGCTTATCTCGAACTGCAGTGAATTTTTCGGTCTATTGAACACACCTGGCATCGTGACTTCACACATTCTCGCCAGTGGCTATTAATTAACACCTTCAAACCTGGAGAATCTTAATTAATCCCAAGCTCATGTTGGGTATCTGTGACAGGTTAATTGGTATGACAGCTTGGGTGTTTGGTGTAGTCTACGACCGATAAAACAAACCACTTCGCAGCAACTCAGAAATTAAATACAGACAATATTACCGATATTGCATTTAATAATATACTCTGTATAATTAAAATCGTAAATTCATTAAACTCAAATATTTTTCACAATAAAGTTAAACAGTTAAGTTGCAGCGCATAATGCACAGTGATTGATTACATTCATGTTTATCTGCATATCAATAGATAATCTTGACCGCCATTTGCATTGTTAGTTTCGTAAACTATATGTTCCTTAGTAGCACTTCGTAATGTTATACTTGCAAGCTATTAATAATAAACAAGTACACAGTTTGAATACTGATTATTTTTTAAATAACATTTTGCATTAAATTTCATCAAATTATGTTTTTAAAAAATTCAATAACGCTAATGATACATCCCGTTTGACAACGTAAGCATGGCCTGGAAAATGTAAATTCGCTGTATATGCAATTAGGCATGTATATTAAATTGTTTTACAATTATACACGATAAAGAAAACAACAACAATTGTTTTTCTTAATATTTATTGCGAATATGCTTGAGTTTTTACCATAAAGACTGCATGTTTGGTAATACAGGATAGTGTTACGCATGAAGATATATACGAAAAAACGGGAAATTATTGATTCGACTTTGGAAGATAACTTTGGATATCTCGAACCCCCGGATATCTCGAAGTCGTGTCCAGGTCCCCCAAACTTCGAGATACTGATATTTCACTGTACTTAAATCTAATAGATTGAGGATAGACATTGATAAAGTGATGTGTAGACAGAAGCTTTAGTGTTTCATACCTCTTTCTGTTTACACCCTTTGTGTGAACATTTGTTGGTGTAAACCTGAAATTTAAATTAAAGATGTTATTCATCAAGAAATTAGTGGATAAATTCAATATACAGTCTTTAAAAGTATACAGTATTAATTCTATCTGATGGAAACAATCTACATCATAGAATATAATATGGCTTTAGTTTTTAAGATCATGTAAAAACATTATAACTGTACATGGCCCACTATATTTTTCTCTCTTAAAACTAGTTAATAAATCATTAAAGTAAACCAAAATTCTAAAATTAAAGCTTTTCACCCAAAAGCCTTAATCTTCACAAAAACTGAATATGGTCTGGATTACTTTCATAACTCTTTAGCTGCTAGCTTTTTTCCTATCTGGCTAATGTCAATGAAAGCTTAATTAATCCTTATATTTACCTAATACTAAGTAAGACTACTTAGGATACCGACTTTATGGATACACATCATACCTTTCTCCGTTTGCGAGCGGGGTCAGATTGACAGTCCCGGTCTATGTGTTGGCCTACGACCACATCCGGCATCTCCTCCTTCTTGACAGGGATTGGTGTGTTGCATAGTGGACAAACAGGTACCTGGTTATCCTAATTTAGATTAATGAATAGATGTTTAAGAACAGGTCTATATATTTTTAACATTAAAAGGGGGAATTTAACTTGAATCTATGCTTGTCTGCTTGAAATTACTATGTGTCCGATGGCCCGACACATAAAAATTGCTATAATAGTAGATCTTAAGCAGGGGTGGCTAATGCCTGGCTAGTTTTTACAGTGCATTTCAAACACTGGTGACATTCAATTCCTCATAAAAATGAGGTGTTCTCACTGACCTTCTTGTATGATTCAGTACAATTGTGGGTATTGTAGTGTATGTGGTCTCGGCTACAAAAGAAAGCAAGACATTCAGTTCATTCACCCCAGAGAGGATTTGCGACTGCTCTTTAGATAGTTGCAACTAGATGATCTTGTTTACAAGTTAAAAGGGAAAGGTATGTGCCTGAAGTCTCCAGTATGATCATAAAATACACGACCATTGTCTTTATGTATCTTAATTTTGTCCTCCATGATATTTTTACTGTTATTTCACGAAATTCAGGTACAATTTTTAGGAAAGTAATATCTTTGTACGATTCATTGAAAGGATCTAAAAATGAAAAACAATGTTTTCTTCAATTTACATAAGACTGTAAAATTGCTTACCAAAATATCTGAGAACAAGCATCACATTTCATAGGTAGAAAATCTGAAAGTAAATGTGATTTTCAGATACATGACTCATAATTTCCTAAAATTTTGAATATATACACTGATTATATAATATAAATTGAGTTTATATAATGATAGGGCCAATCTACAGCAAATTAGTGGCTCTAAGCTTTGACATATCCATTCCATATCCAAATCATGTAGTCAGTTCTGTACTTTATCCATACAGTATAATTAGTTTCAAATAACATACCAAGTTGTTTACACGTTTTTTCATGGCAATTTTGGCCCAAGTCTGGAAACTCCATCTTTTACAATAAACAAGTAATTCTACTTTCTTCTACAAGTACTATATGGTGACCAGTGACTTTGCTGTTTAGTTTTTCACATAGCTATTTATAAGTTTCGTGACGTCATATCCGCTAAAGAGTAGTCATTAACTAAAATACTCAGTGGTTGGACTCAACTCCGAAGAATAAAATTTTAAAAGTAATTAAGAACGACAAAACCAAATAAGAAAAAATAAAAATAAGTTTATTTTCATACTAGATGTATTCAAATCTTAAATAATGTATACGCGCGCCATAAAGAGATTTACTTTTTGTAACTAATGCATACTCCCGTCTAGAGAATCCCAGAATATTCTTAGCAGATACCACGGTACACTGTAGGTCCCTGACGCAACTCTGATATTGAACACATCTAGAATTCATTACTTTTATCCAAATAAAAGTCGATTTTGAACATCTTTTTATAGTTAACAACCCCCCCCCCCCCCACCCCGGCTGAAACTTTTAACATAAAAATTACAACTTGAAATAAATTATAAACTGAATTGAAAAAATTATACTTATTAAATTAGGATGTCACAACAAACTGGGTTCTGAAACTCTTGACACTTTCTTTTCTTTCTTGAAATTGGTTCAAAACCCAATAGAAACATTGATTTATTTTGGTAAATATTGGCTATCACCATGGATTTTTGTACTGAAATTTTCATTGCAAGCATGCTACACTTGGATCTTTAATTGGCATCTGTAAATTTTCAAATACTTGTAAAATAAATAAATAATAATAAAAACACCTACGTAACATTGTAATATTTGTTACAGAATTATGTATTATTTTACAGAAAATTTCGGTAAAACCATTACCATGATTACAGTATTACGGTAAATTACGTAATTTTTTTAATTACTGAAAAATTCGGTAAAATTATTAAAAGGTACACCAACTCCTGTGCCCACTAGCTGTCATTTTATTCTAGCTACTATATCTATAAATTTTGAAACTTTTGAAGGATCAAAACGAAAAGAATTAATTTTAGTTTGGGAGGGGACACAACCACATATTTATAGGGAGTTGCACTACCAAGCAAAAATATTAACGTGCATATATATTATCGCTTGAAAAAAGGACACCAGAGACGTTATTATGGAGCACCAAGAAGGTATGCTTTCTAAAATAAACTATTAATCGACAAAATTGAGGGATCCCCAAGTTTCCATGGACGTGAAAAATAATTCTTTTGGAGAAGTAAATTGCTGATATATACGAAAGTCTATAAGGAACAATCAAATTGAGAAGAAGAAAAAAAATTAAAAGGCGTTATAACGCGAAAAAAAGCGTTATTACGCGTTTACGCCTTTTCGAGAGGCGTTATAACGCCTTTTAAATTTTTTTCTCTGTTGATTGATCCTAGGCTTTTGTAATCGTATGCATAAAACGGTAACACGGTGACCCTCGTCGTCGGAAACCCACGGGTGATCTCGTCTTTGATAAGTAAAGACGAGATCACCCGTGGGTTTCCGACGATGGGTGACCCTTTGAACTTCTGCCACTGAAGTAATAGAAATACTAAAAAATTCCTAAACTGCCAAAATTTAACAGTTGAAGACTGCTTTAAAAATCTGCCCTGTGCAAGAATACACCTTAAATTCTGTAAATATATTCTCGGCGTTTATAAGAAAAGCACAAATTTTGCAGTACTGTCTGAATTAGGAAGGTTCCCCCTGCATTATGATATTGTCAGGTTGTTGATTAAAAGTTGGTATAGATTTGAAAATTTGTCCATAGAATTTCCTTTACTTAAAGATGCATATGAATGTAGTAAAAAGCTTTTTGTGAATGGAAAGAACTCATGGTTTGCATTTATACAGAAATTAAGAAAATTACTGAATATTAAAGATGAAGTTATTTGTTATGGGAAATATACATTTAAGTCATTTTGTCATAAAATTTTATTAGATTATTATGTGAAGAAATGGTATACAAGTCATAAAAGTTATACTGATGGCAAATTATCCACATATGTGAAACTCAAACAAAATTGGGGTTATGAGAATTATTTATCAGTTGTTAAAAATTTTCATCACAGAAAATCTCTATGTAAATTAAGAATTTCCTGTCACAGATTACAAATTGAAGTGGGAAGATTTACCAATATTCCTCGAGAAGATCGATCATGTAATAGATGTAATTCTAACAACATAGATGATGAAACTCATTTTTTAATAACATGCAAAAAATTTGCTCATCAAAGAAAAGAAATATTTCAGTTAATTAATCATAAATTTCCACTATTTTCAGCTTTAGATGATGACCAAAAACTTTATTGGTTACTCAATACAGAAGATAAGGAAACTCTTAATTTTGTGGGCAAATTTATAAATGATAACATGTTATAGTAGCATTAGTCTTTTACACATACATGCATATTTGATGTATTCCTTTTAGACAGGATTATTGTTAAAATGATTTATGTCAATTACTAATTGTATAATTGTTTTGCTATTCATTGGCTTATCTTTTCCTTATTATTATAACAATCTCATACTTGTCTGTTATGGGCTCTAAATTAGAAATAAAATGTTCTGTTCTGTTCTGTTCTATTCTATGTCAGTGGCGGATCCAGGAAACTTGTAAGGGGGTGGGGGGGGGGGTGGGGGCGTGCAGCCACACTACAAATTTTCTTTATTAAATCTTTTGTATATTTTGGACACCAGAATGGGGAGGAGGCTTAATTGCCCCCCCCCCTCTAAATCGGCCATTGATTTGAGTTGAAACACAATTGGATACACATTCCTATATTGCCCTGATATCCTATTCTCTTGTGCTATTGAATGATCATTACTCTCAGTTTCAGTCAGTATAGGCCATAATGCCTATGGCTATTTTACCTACACTGTATTTGGCCAAATTCAGACATGTGATATATGTCATGTGGTTTGAAGAACCAATAGACTTCCTTTAGAATTTTTCCCGCTATTGGTGAACTGCTTTTGTTCATGAAAAAGACAGGTTAAGCTTACTGTTTCTATTATGAAGTCAGCCATATTAAAACCATTCTGACAAACCTGACAGATTATTGGTATGTATGTTTGTATAGTATTATAAGACATATTCATGCAGCTTTATTGAGTTTGCCTTGCTCCATAAACACAGTGACGGAGCAAAAAAAAAACTTAAAGGGGGGTCGGGGGGGGGGGGGGCAGTATCTTATGCATATTTTGGACACAAAGAAGGGGGGCTGGTCCCCCTCTAAATCCGCCAGTGACGAAACAGGTGATTATTGGATAATCTTGTGAAGTATAATGTTTTTATCATAAGTAAATGTAATGTGAAAGTTGCATTGAAATGTATATATTACGTAATATTTTATATGAATAATTTTCAAAATTAATGTTTTAATGCTAGTATATACTTTTATGCAATAAAGAGAAATAATTTGTAAATTAATTCAAAATGAAAGGAGATAGCAAGAGCTACATTGTCCTTGCAATATGCATATTACCTTATACTGTTATAAGTTTATTGTTAATTTTTATGCCGCTGTAATTAACAGATTAAGATCCAGTCGAATATAGTTTTTGTTCTGTCTGTTTATCTGTTTGTCTTTGTCAACAAAAACTATAACATTTAAATACCCATAATTTTTTTATTGGATGGGGCTATATGGCTTAATTATATATTTGTTATTTCACAGATGTATTCCTTGTGATGAGCTTTCTTTGGGTACCACCAAATTTGACCTCTGGACCTTGAAAATAGATTTTGACCCACTTTTAAAAAAAAAAACAAACAAACAAACTTTAACCTTGGCCATGTCTTAAGAACAATTGGTGCTTGGGCTTTCATACTTTACATATTTATTCATAGTGATTAGACCTTTCAACAGGTGTAAAAGATTTTGACCTTTTGACCTTGACCTTAAAGTTTGGCCCACTTTGTAAAAAACTTTAACCTTGGCCACAGGATTTAAACTGTAAATGCTACAGCTTTCATATTTCACAGGACCTTGCTCCAGGATCATGAAACATTCTTAAACTTAAGTCAAAATATTCATGTTGTACTAGAATTTTGTTAACGTCAAGTAGACAAAAATTAAAGTATTTTTTAACATTGCATTACCAAAATGTTGTTATGTGCAAAATTAGAGATCCATTCAATGATTAATAAACATTGTCCAGGCGATTAAAAAATTGACTTAAGTCTTGTCTGTTTCATGATCCTGGGACCTGGTGTTTTCCTTGTGAAAAGACCTAATTACTCTTGAAACCAACAATATTGACCTTTTGGTCTTGGAGTTTGAGAACCTTCAACCTCAGCCTTAAGCTGCCATACAGGGGCATCAGTGTTTCACAAACACATCTTGTTTTTCTTTTAATCTAGAGCAAATTTGTTTGACTCTTAAATCACTCTTTTAATTTCTTTATGATCTATTCTAGTTGTCAAAGGTTACTGATCGACTTCTTCCAGCATATGAAGAATTCGAGAAGGAACAGACAGGTCCACGCAGTCAAGGTAAGTAAAACCTCAAAATAAATTTTAAAAAGTGCAGTTGTGACTTAATCTACTGAGCTATAGTCAGATCTGTATTCATGTAATGGGAAATGTGCACTTTAAATTAGTTACATTTTTTGTGCCTTCGGAATCAAAGATTTGGGGTTATATAGTTTTTGTCCTGTCCATCTGCCTGTTTGTATGCATATAAATTAATCTTGCCCATAGCTTTTGAGTGGGTGCAATTGGGTCTACAGCATTTCCCTTGTATTAAATTTTACTTTTTAAAAAAGCGATACTTTGAAGGCTTGTTCCCTATTCACATATACATGTAGATAAATCCTTAAATTCTTAAGATTCAAGTTTTTTTGCATGATAAAATCACAGAAAAATTCAATTTGCCTATAAATTGGGTGTTTTTTACCAAAATTTTGGGGAAAAGAGTTACTGTTCAATTGGGACAAGGTTCAGTTAGTAGATCTGGATGTAAGGAATATCAGGCCCTGATCAAGTTGGGGCTAGGTTAACATGTGTATTATATTTGACTAAACCTTCAATTGGTATAGATATTTTTAAATTTGACCTAAGAGTTTGACCCTGAGTTTTGAAAACTTTAACCTTGGTCATAACTTTTGAACAG